TTTAATTTAAAACACAAAGGAGAAATTTTTTTGTCCACAAATTTGCACTAAATAACCTGGTTTTGAAAAACAATTTAAAATCCTTTGAGCAATTAAAAACCAAAACTCATTGTCACAGTTTAAAAAATAAAAATCAAGGTTTTTATAATGCATATATGTCTCTACTCGAGTGTGTGCCACTGCCTGATGTGGTATGGTCTCTGCTCTTACATATGATTTGTTTTATACTTGTTTGAGTTGTCGTTTCCTTGTGGTATTTTATCATTTATTTCTATTGCATCATGTGAAGTGAATGCGGCTGGATGCAGGTTCCCTCAGGGCAGTGGTATCAGTGCTAACAGTTCTATGTCCATGATTTAATGTTAGTCGATGCGCACACATGGGAGGGGTCTGTTTTGTTTTGGAGGCAATCAATTTAGCAGAATTGAGAAATTAAAACAAATTTTCTTCTACTAAAGATTTTTAGCTTAGACACTTTCTTTACTTGATGAAGCTAGACATGTTCTAAAGGTTTTAACCAATTTCAATATTTTTTTTCTTATTTCCAGTGATTTTTCCAATGGGACGTCAGAAATTTAGCAAATGTGTTGTCTTTATTCAAGTTAAAGTTTTCAGTAACTAGTCAAAGGTGTTATCAAAATGTGATTGAAGTATTTCCCCCTTCATAAATCTAACCTAATACTAATTATGAAAATTCATGAGATTGCTCTGCTCTCCAAACAGGTTGGTTCTATCAATCGTTTTCACATCTCACTGTGTTATTTATATATTATCAAAGCTGGTGTTCAAACGATGAACAATAGGTTTGTTTGTTTTCTCTGCAGTGCAACCTGCTGTACAAGTTAACTTCTGCATGTTTCTAATTTGCAGATCAGCCCTGAGGCTGTGTGCTTAATGGTGACATCATTGGCAAAAATGGTTATGTCATTTAAATACTATGCATGAATGAAATGCTTAGGATCTCAGAGCAGCTGTTTTCACTCTTGACTGGAATTCACATTTCTGTTTTTCAACTAAAAGAAATTGCGTATATGCATTCATATGTTGACCTGTTTTTAAATGTCCAATATAATATGAATTAGAATGAGGATTTACAATATTATCTGTACAGGATTCAAAAAAGGAATGAACAGAAAGATGTGATGTCATTTTACAAACGTTGTAAGTTGCCTGTTTTTGTCACCATACACTGAGTTGCAAAAGTAATCATACAACTTTTGCATATGTCGTCATGGTTACAACCAGATTAAATGAATACGATAAAAGACTTGATTGCTGTGATTGCAACCAAAGGGGTTCCACAATCAACTTCCAATGAGTCTATTTTTTAACACAATCATTTAGCTTTTGCTTCTTAGTTGTCTGTGATCTTCCAAAAAAAAAACATGATACAATCTTTGTGGTTGTAAAAACAAGTGCTTTTGTAACCCACTATACTTCACCCAAAGCTAAGATATTGGCTATTGTGTTCACATTTCAGATACATTTTATATAATCCCAATATTCTCAATAAATATTCGTTTTATCATAGAATTTTCTGTATAATTACTTGTTGAAGCCCATAGTAATCCATTCCCAGTATTGTATCAAATTATATATCAACTTTGCAGTAACTTAACCTTCTGGTTCATGACTGTAATATCCCTGTATCCCTTTCTGCTCCAGGAGAAATCCAGAGCTGTTTGAGCAAAAGTGTGCAGGAACCACCTGGGAAGAGAGCAGTGCAGTCCCCAAGGCGAAGCAGCAGAGGTGGCCTGTTTTTTAGGCTCCTTCACGATTAAAGCCCTGACATACTTTCATGCGAGCTATTCTGTTACTGCCTGCACAAAGAAATTGCAGAATCATCCTGTACTTTTCTATCAGGTGTAAACTGAAATAGGCAGTGATCTTGAGTACACTTTGTTCTATGCAGTGTTCCATTGCACTGAAGGAGAGATGCTGCTATAGAGATGTGTTCTCCCAGGGACTTAACCTTCAAGTATTTTCAGCTTTGTTTTCCTTTAGTCATTTATACTCACATACATTATTTATATCCTCATATACATACCCTGCCATTGCTCTCTTGTCAGTCCTCTAGCAACTGCACCTACAGCTATGCCTCTCCTCGTGAAGACACCTCTGCCTCCCTCTGGTTTTACCGACTTTCATTGGAAATATTTTTTTCTGGATATGTAATATGTGGAGGATTCACCCCCTGTGTGACCATTTTGCTCAAAAGAAAAAAAACTAATCGCGTAGAGGACCAGAGCATGGATCTAGGAGCTCCATGCCGTTGGGCGGCACGGTGGCTGAGTGGATAGCACTCTCGCCTCTCAGCAAAAAGGTCCTGGGTTCGAATCCCGGTCGGGCCAGGGCCTTTCTGAGTGGAGTTTGCATGTTCTCCCCGTGTCTGCGTAGGTTTCCTCCGGGTACTCCGGTTTCCCCTACCACTAAAAATATGTACAATAGGTCTGGCATGCGCCTCCTGTACTGGCGACCCCGCTCCCATCTCTGTGTGGAGTGAGAGACAAATGCCCAAAAATTAACAATTGTAAACCGCTTTGAGACTCAGATTTGCAGTGAAAAGGCGGTATATAAATAAAAGATTACTTACTTACTGCTAGAGACATACCTTTCACATCCCCTTCCTCAAAGGGGTGGAGCTAAGGGGAAGAAAGGGCAGGGATAGAGGGCACAAGAGGACTTGTTTTAGCTCTTAGATGTAGAACAATGATTATTGTAAATGGGGTTATGTCCTTTTTAAGTATACTTTTGATAGCTTATGTAATTCTTTATAGGCTTATGATTATAATTAACTACTCAAGTGTTTCTGATCTATTCAAGTAACTTCTTTTTATGTAGATGTTCAAATGAGAGATGTGATTTTTAAGACTCAAAACAGTGCAGTAGCAACAAGGAATTATGTAGTTTTTATTTTAATGATAAAAGTATACAGGCTTTGGTGGCTTCACTTGTAAGAGAGATACAATGGTATATTTGCATCATAAACAGTAGATCAATCATTGCTATATAGACGGAGCATGATTTAATGCATTGAAAAGCACCGACTTTATCAGCTATATCTTTGTTTAAACCTTGCATGTCTTGGTGTTATGTGTGTGTTCTCCGTCAGTGTGAGGTGGACAGATGGCCTTGCGTTCTGGCCTGACTTTCTAATTAAATATTCATCAGTTTAAGAGCCTCTCCTCCCTCACTCTCACTCTGTGTGGTATGGGAGGAGCTGTACCAATGCACAAGTCCAGAATCAGCAAGAAGTAAATCAAAGAAAAGTCGATGGGTCTGCGGTTCTCTGGTCCCAATACAAACCAGAACATTGAGTCTGACAAGTAAAGGTTTTTATTTCACCAGCGTTAAAGGAAGCAAAGTAGTCTATGAGGTGGACTGTTTGTTATCACATCTGGTCTAGAGCACTGTACAAATTAGGAATACAATACTCAATTTTATATTTTGAAGCAATGCAGTTTTAATTCATTTGTATCTTGTTTCAAATGTGTAGATAAGATTGTAATTGTTATAAGCTATAAATACAAATGTTGCAAATAATTGATTAAATATTTGTTAATTGTTAAATTGATTTTTTTTAACTAAAAATAATTGGTTATTTTTTCCATACTTTATATTATGCGCTCATTGTAGACTACATTTTTCCTCTTTCATTTATATACAAAAATAAAGTTTGAAAAAAAAGAAAAGAAATATATTCACATAGTCTAATCAATATACAGTATATTGAAGTCATCTTGCTCTCCCTGAAGTAACTTGTTAAAGTCTTTGTCTCTTATAATAATAAAGAGAGAGCAGAAAACTCTATTCTTTTCTTCAGTTGCCTCGTGTGTTGTATCCATTTGTAGATTTGGCATTTCTTGTCAGGAAAAAGCTTTGATCCCAGCCCCCCACCGTGACAGAGCAGAGATTGTACTCACTGAAATTACTTTTTCTTTAGTCTCCAGCAGACTGAAGGAAATGCAAATGTTTTGACATCGGAAACAAATTGTGTGTTTGATTTGTTTAATTTGCATTTTTATTACATGTCATCTCAATACAATTTTGAGTCATCCAGGGTTTACTCTTCATATCAGAATTGGTATTTAAAATATCTTTCAATGATGGACTCAAAGGCCAGAGCATTTTGAATTGTTAAAGATGTCAATGATTTATCCAGACGCATTGTTTTAAATACTGTGGGGAAACGTACCTAAACCCCAAATGTATTCAAGTAATCATGTGTTTTCAAATAAGAATGGACATGACCAGATCCCTGTAATCTCAAAAAATAAATCGTGTATATTTTGGAGTGGACTGATAGAAATAAACCAATGGGATGCGTTCATCCCCCTGCAATTTGTCAGTGCATGCACCTGTCTTAGTTGTTATTGAGTCGGATTTTCTAACTATGCCCTGAACCAAAAACCCCCAAAGTGCCAATTTCACGTTTGCCACCCACTCGCCCTTTTGTGGCAAACAAGAGAAGATCAGATGAATTAAAGACTCGGGACGCAGCCGGGGTTGTGTAATGCAACGGCAGGCGAGTTTTGCTAATTGCTAGTTTGTTGGGGAAGCTAGTGCTTGTATGGCAGGCAAATCGCTCACAGACTTGAGCTCACAGACCTGAGCTCACAGACCTGAGCTCACAGACTTGCCTATTGCTTTCACATTTCAAGCTCGGAGGCTCCGTCACAGACTGTGTTATCAAAGAAACAACGTACATGTGCTGGGAGTTGGGTTTGGTGGAGGGCAGGGGGGGTTGGTTTTGACTCTGTGCTATTTGAATGCTAATACTCCTTTACTGACCCTTTTTAAACAAAAACAAAACATATTATTTGCATTGGTTTGTCTGTACTGGAAAATTTGATGTTATTGACTAGTGCAGACTGGCAAAAGTATAAAAATTATTTAGTGCATCGTCTACACATCTTCATCCCTCGTCTGATATAACCAGTCATGTTTTTGTGCAGGGCGCGTGTTGAGAGGAGGGTCCACCCCCATCCCACTGATTTAGAATGGCCTCTGAGGGCTCCACTATTCCCAGTCCTGTGGTCCGACAGATTGACAAACAGTTCCTGATCTGCAGCATATGTCTGGACCGCTACGACAACCCCAAAGTGCTGCCCTGCCTGCACACATTCTGTGAGAGGTGAGTCCAAGGCATCAACGGGGGTACAGGGTTCCATCCAACAGTTTGTGTCAGTTACCATAAACATAGGGATACTGCTAATTTGTATAAATGTCAAATTCAGGGGTAAAGTGAAGAGTGTGAAGTGTATAAAATAACTTCAAACCAAGACAGGAAAACTTGAAGGTGCAAAAAAGAACAGTCTGGAATGCATCAGTTTGCTACAATAACTCACCTAGACTCCTACAAGGGTCTGCCTGGCATGAAGTGTGGGTGAAGTGCCTTGCTTAAGGACAGTTTGGCACTTTACAGCCACCCCATTGTGGCACCTGGTGTTTCCATCACAGTACTAACCAGGCCCTGCCCTGCTTAGCTCTGAGATCTGACAGGATCAGGCTTTCACATGCAGAAAGACCTCTGTTGTATTAAGTATGTTTCTAAATGCACCATTTCACACAATATACTCCTCATATCAAACATTCCACCACTTTCTGTTTTTCAGGTGTCTGTTGAACTACATCCCCGCCCACAGCCTGACCCTGTCCTGCCCCGTGTGCAGACAGACCTCTATCCTGCCTGAGAAGGGAGTGGCCGCTCTGCAGAACAACTTCTTCATCACTAACCTCATGGACGTCCTACAGCGGACCCCCGACAGGCACAGCCCCCACGACCCCACTCTTGACCACGTCAGCCCTGTGAGGCCGGCCCAGCTGCTGTCCTGCCCCAACCACGGAGGCAGTGTAAGAGCCGCACAGTCTACCCATTCTAGCTAACGTTTCTACACATGAAATGACTTTTCTTGGTGGGACTGATGCCATGATAAATATTGAAAGTAGTTTTACATCTGACAAGTGACCGATAACAATAAAAAAAATATATATACTGGAAGTAACACTGGGCTCTAAAATGGAAAGCTTCCACCAAAGTCATAACATTTATAAACAATTAGCCCAAGAAAATGTAGTCCCATTATTATTGTGTGCATGAAGGAGTCTAAGATATATTTCAAGGAGCGTGTCTGAAAAAATATTATTCAGACATTGTCCAACTGTAAAAATAAAGTAGCAATGTGTTTGAGTCATCCTCAAATGGCCCATTATATGTCAAAAGGCATTAATAAAATATGCTCTTTTCGAATACTTCTGATAACAGTAGTTGAGCCGAGAGAGTCAAATTTCAAAATTAGTTTTACAGCCCCTAAATCTTGTTATTGTTTCCATTTCATCATCAGAAAGTCTGTGATCCGAGTCGCCAGAACTCACCACGTCGAGCTAATCTAACTGGTAAAGTAACTTATGGCCACAGAGCTAAAAAAGGTCTTGTTATGATTCTCAAATCATTAATGACAAAACAAGCAATAAAACCAGGTGAAATAGGTGTTGGTTATAGATCTGTTGTTGACAATACCCTTGTCTATCCAGATATTATGGCCCCAGCTGGATTCGTCTGCATATTTGACAACCTGAGTCAGGGAGAGTGGGAGAGGTTGCAGTACCACTTCTGGCCAGATTTTTACATGCTGCTTCTTTAAATAAAACTTCTGCTCTGAGAAAGCACTGGGTTGAAGCACTGTACCATCACCTACCGATCGGCTTGGACTGCCTGTATATATTGTTTTGTCTGTTTATGTTTCTATTGCTTCAATTATGGACTAATAGAATTTAAATCAGAAATGAAGACAAATGTATTAGGGATATAAAACGTACATTGTACCATGTTTTAAACGCCACTATTGGTAAATGGATGTTTCCTCGAACAGGTGATGGAGTTCTACTGCCCCCCCTGTGAGACTGCCATGTGTCAGGAGTGCACCAATGGAGAGCATGGAGAGCACCCCACGGTTCCTCTGAGAGATGTGGTGGAGCAGCACAAGGCCTCACTGCAAGACCAGCTTTGTGCAGTTAAGACCAGGTACCAGAGGGAGAAACTACTCCCACATGTATTTACGTCACATGGTACTTGGCCTGCATATAAATCAAACTGTATTTCTGAGATGAGGAAAAATCCAAGGCACTCTTGACATTTAAATGAAAATCCTTTAATGCTACACGTTTCGAGCTTTCTTCAGGGCATGTGTCTAAGCTGTATTTCTGTTTCTTTTGATTTTTTTCAAACAAACATTTTCAATAAATAAATAAACAAATATTAATAATAAACAGTTAAATACATTTAATATAAGTTTATGATATATAAATTATATATACAAATATGGAGCCTATAGTTTAACATTGTGATGGAGGGCAGATTGAAAATATTCCGTGGTAATTCTGACAAGAGAGTTTAGTTTAGAGCTAATTTATCTGTAATTCCTGGGCCATTCTACATAAAAAACCAGTACATCAACAATGATCTAATTATTTTTAATTTTTATACAATATAATATACATGATATTGGCCAGTAAAGGACTTTCAGACATAAGAATAATATTGCAGTGCATTTACACTTAAATCCTCTCTGTAAAACCATGAGCACTGTACTACAGGAAAATTTACAGCTAGAAAAAAGCATGAAAAATAACAATTGTGAAGCGCAAAATAACAACTGTTCTAGAGTTACTCAGGACTTGAGGCCGTTTCCAGCTCATTCAAAAGTAAACTAATGATCTGTGGAAACATTTAGGCATTTTCTAAGAATAGTGTTGTAGAATATGAAAGCAACCTATACACCGCCCACATATACTGTAGGAGCAAATCACTCTTTGTCAACATTTCCAGATATAAAACAATAACATGTCCGCAGACTTCCGGAAATCGACTCTGCCCTCCACACATTGTCTGAGATCCTGCTGCAGCTCACCCAGCAGAAGAGCTCCATCGAGGACCACCTCCACAGCACCTTCGATGAGCTGCACAAGACCCTCAACGTGAGGAAGAGTGTCCTGCTTATGGAGCTGGAGGTCAACTATGGCCTCAAGCACAAGGTCAACACCAAACTCTCATATTTACAGTTTTCAGTCAGCTGTCAATGCCAAACACTGTTGTTTAAATTGGACTAGTTTAGTTCAGCTTTGTTGTGTTTATTTGAGCCGCTTACATTCTTATATTGTTACAACTCTACAATACTACAGGAGGAAAAGGCTGGAGCAAGAAAGCTTAAGTGCTTTTGCTGCTATGTGTCTGTTGAGGTTCTCTGTTGTGACAGACATGGGTTGTTTTGCACTGCCCAAATCTCCTCAGCCAATCAGAAATCCCCAGTGACACCCCTCTGTTGTGCTGGTCCCTCCCATCTGGGAGTGTGTCACATGGGGGCAGAGCTAATCATTCACTATAATGCACTTTCTACTGCTTCTCCAACCACAACTGTCCACGGGGAGAACCAAGGCACTCAGGCTTAGGGTGTGTCAGGAATCATTTTTGCATGGAGGCTATTATCTGTAAGTGAGCGTGCTGGTGTCATATAGCCCTGGATGTTATGCTGAAAGAGCAGTTTTGTTGAGAATGTGGGTTGATGACATGGCCACTGCTGCTGCAGGTGAAGATGACTGCGCTATGGAGGTGAGAGTTGAGCTTTTTGGAAAGATGTACCAAAAAAAAGTTTGTGGCTTGTTCCAGATAGTAATGTGGAAAGCGATGAACGGCACCATTGTCACATGATGAAAATAATTTATGGATTGTTTCGTAACCATAGTTGAAAAACAATGAATGACTGCTAGGTCATCTCATGTAAGATCTCATGACTGAACAAAAAAAAAGGCACTTTATATGTTTATGTAATGAAATAATGAAGTCATTTTTGTTGTTGTTTTTCTATGTTGTAATATTCTATAATGTTGCTATGTTATGATATATCATGTAACAAGGTGTAAGTGATGGAAAAAATACATTTACTAATGATAATGATGATAATAATAATCAAAGTAATGATAATCATAATATCATACAGATCATAATAAAGAGTTTTTCGGACTCCCAATAAAATTTTGGATTTTCACTCTCAAACTGAGAAATGGTACAGATAATACTAAGAGCTGATGGACTCCACATTTTCATAAAGAAATGTCAATGTAGCAAGAACTCTGATCTTAAGCTGCAGCCTGGTACAAGCATATCTGTTTTTACGTTTAACATGTCTATTTAAAAAGTCCTGATAAAAACAAGAGAGATATATGTTTTTGCTCTGTCTCCCTCTGCAACATTTCTTTATACTCCATGTTGATTTTTCTTTTTAAAATACAACTTTGAAATGATAAACTCCTTGTATAAAACAATATAACTCATTGTCTCCCTCCATATAATGACACCTGCTTCTCTCTGCTGTTCATTGCAGGTACTGCAGGCCCAGTTGGACACACTACTGTCTGGCCAGGAGGGCATCAACAGCTGCTGCAACTTCACGGAACAAGCCCTCAGCCATGGCTCCGAGGCGGAGGTCCTACTGGTGAAAAAGCAGATGAGTGAGCGCCTTGTGGAGCTGGCCAATCAGGACCTCCCGTTACAACCTGGAGAGAATGGCCAACTGGACTTTATTATAGAAACGGACGGACTCAAAAAATCCATTCACAATTTGGGAACTGTTATAACTACTAACGCTGTTGCATCCGAGACTGTTGCAACAGGGGAAGGGATAAAACATTGTGTCGTTGGAGTGCCTATGTCCATAACCATCACCACAAAAGACAAAGACGGAGAACTTTGTAAAATGGGGAATGCAAACATCACTGCTGAAATGTCCGCCTCTGATGGGTTCAAGTGTGATGGAGAAATTTTGGACAACAAAAGTGGAACTTACGAGTTTTTGTTTACAGCGCCCAGAGAGGGGACGTTTTCCCTGTCGCTGTGTCTGTATGGGCAGCCCATCAAAGGAAGCCCCTTCAAAATCAAAGCCAGCCGGTGCATAGACCTCTCGCCCACCAGTGACGGACTGAAGAAGAGGCTCAAGTCTCCAGGAAGTGCCCATGTGAAGCAGAAGGCCATCAAGAGGCCGGCCAGTATGTACAGCACTGGCCGCAGGAAGGAGAACCCCATCGAGGACGACCTCATCTTCAGAATAGGTGCAATTCATAGTGACTCGAACCGTTTATGGCTTGCTTACAGTTTTGCACGTTATATATTCATTCAGTCATAATATAACACAAAAACCATACTGTATTTCATATTTTAGTGCTGAAGCATCAAATAGAAGACAATACAGGCATTAGATTTCAAACATACAGGAATTAACCAGACTGTACCCACAGTATTTTCTGTATGGCGCAGAATTTATTTATTCTTATTATTAATATTATTTATTAAATATTTATTGTTATAATCTAATCTAAAAAACTTCAGGTAAAAAGATGATACATTTTTGTGATTTATCCTACTAATATCTACAGAACAATTTTTTTGAAATATAATCAGTCCAACAATATTTCCATTATTGGCACAAATATCCACTATTGTATCGATGCATACCATGTATTTTTAGATACTATCTAATCATAAAAAAGCCACCTCTTTGATATAGCCATAGCTGTCTTGGGGCAGAATGACATAAGTTTGACCACTTTCCTCCAACCACCATCCATTCACACACTACATTCATACATCTCATTTGAATGTCACAAGTTGGCTTTATGGGAAAGACCATCTCAAATATTCCCTCTTGGGACTTATAATTTTCTTGTCTCTTGAATATAACATTGTTCCTGACATTCTACTTGTGTTTTGTGCTTTTGTTTTTAGGAACAAAAGGGAGAAACAAAGGAGAGTTTACAAACTTACAGGGAGTGGCAACATCCACAGACAAGATTCTGATCGCAGACAGCAACAACCAGTGTGTACAGGTACAGATCTGAATGTTCTGCTTGGAATATGTGCTAACTTTTTTTTAACCTGTAACATTGATATTGTAGATTTTCTCTAACGAGGGCCAGTTCAGAAGCCGCTTCGGGGTCCGGGGTCGAACTCCCGGTCAGCTGCAGAGGCCCACAGGGGTAGCTGTGCACCCCAATGGAGATATCATCATTGCAGACTATGACAACAAGTGGGTGAGCATCTTCACCTGTGAGGGCAAGTTCAAGGTGAGATGGTAATTTTTATTAAATTATCATTATTACTTTTGCTTGAAAATGTTTAGTTAAGTTTGTGTTTCTTTGCTGCGTAGAATAAGATCGGCACAGGGAAGTTGATGGGACCCAAAGGTGTGTCTGTGGATAGAAATGGACACATCATTGTTGTGGACAACAAGGCCTGCTCAGTCTTCATCTTCCAACCTAATGGAAAAATGGTCACCAAGTTTGGGAACCGTGGCAATGGAGATAGACAATTTGCAGGTTTGTAATCAAGCAAGGACACTACTTTGTCATAAAAATAATTATACATTTCAAAGTTCTTCTTTTGTTTTAGGCCCACACTTTGCTGCTGTGAACAACAACAATGAAATTATTGTGACAGATTTCCATAACCATTCAGTCAAGGTAAGACTTGATGCCACAAAGGATGCGTGCACACGTGCCCCAATTTAACCAAAGTCTGGTTCACGTGGCGCTTTTTTTGCTTCCTACAAGTGTACTCCGTTCCACTAGTTGCATAAGTCAGTTCACAGTCAATCTGAAGTGAACTGAGTCCAGTTTGACCAAAAAGGGCTCTAGGAAAATGGAACCATGCCCAATTTACACTGACTTTTGTAGCTAGAATTCTGTAGTAAAACAGCTTGTCAGTGATACTTTTGTCTTATAGGTGTTCAACACAGAAGGGGAGTTCCTGCTGAAGTTTGGCTCAAATGGAGAAGGAAATGGTCAGTTCAATGCTCCCACTGGAGTGGCCGTGGACGCCAATGGGAACATCATAGTGGCTGACTGGGGAAACAGTCGTATACAGGTCAAAGCCATCACTTATACACACAAATATACATTTTCTAATCAGGCTGCATGTAGATTTATGAACAACAGTCATCATCCCATTAGCCCATGAGGGAACGGTTTGTGTACAAGATAATAAAATTGGCATAATTTCCTTGTAGGTATTTGACGGCAGCGGCTCGTTCCTGTCCTACATCAACACATGTGCTGACCCTCTGTATGGACCCCAGGGGCTGGCTCTGACCTCTGATGGACATGTGGTGGTGGCTGACTCCGGGAACCATTGTTTCAAAGTGTATCGCTACCTGCAATAATGCCGTCAGCACTCGCCCCACTCAGGACGCCACTGTACACATTGACAAAGATGGCCCACTTCACTTTGCCCTCTTCATCTTCAAACCACACAGTTATAATGCCTGTTGGCTCTGTAAAGACAAAGCCATTTAATTTCATGAAGACTTTTGTTGTTTGGTATTTCACATTTCTCAGAATCATGGAAATTAAATGGGCTGTAGAACAATACTTTGTAATAATACCAGCTTGAAACAATATTTAAAGAAACACTGTTTTACTCTAAAGACCGAACCGAAAAAGTGTAAAAAAAGAAAAGAAAAAAAGAATACCATATCATGCTACCTTGTACATAAAGAACTTATCTAGGTATATCCTCCTTGTGAGAAGAATTAATCCCTTTTCATAGATTTTACCTTGATAACAAACTACATCCAGAACCCTTTCTAAAAATAGCGTCACTGGTTGCAAGAGGAAAGGCATCTGGCATGGGTTTACTGGTTTGTTGTGCCAAAAGTTGAATGAAAATGAGAAACTAAAATCATCTGTTGTATGGTTTACAGTGTTGCTATAAACGTTATTCTACAGGTATTAACCTTTTAGTTTTACACCTGTTCCTGTTTCTGCTACTTTATGTAGTGTCAAGCATGACACAGCCAACTATTGCATGTATGTCCTATTGAATGAATGAATCCTTAAATAGTCCTTCACCAAAAGACACAGAAGAATTGTTGAACACCATAACTGTCCATATTATGTCCATGAACTGTATACCAATTATATTTGGAAAATCCATGCAATTGTGCAAATAGGTAATGTTACCTTTTTCGGTGTATTTTGGTTGAATAGTTACTACAATTGAATAAGCTACTACAAATGAATGAATATGCACCTTGGACCTATTGAACAAAGATGTTGATAGGGCTGACAGTGCGAGAATGATTCATGAGATTTTTATTGTGTCTGGTACTGTTTATTGATATGTCCGGTTGTCTCCAAGCACACGTTTTATTTTCTACAAAATGTTTAAATTATTTCTTTCACATTGTCTTGTGAAAAAGGCCAAATGGAAATAAAGTGCCCATCCAAACTAATGCAATCTTGTTTATTTTAAAGCAGTTTTTAAAAATACGTTTCTAATTATACATTATTACTGGCAGTATCTGTGTTATTATTATCCAAGCCCAAATTATACGTTTGTAGAATTTGTAGAACGTTTTATTTATTTTTTGGAATGGCAATGGTCTTTTCAAATGATTGACATCACAAACATAAATAATAACCAAGCCCAAGAAGGAAACTGTAATATTGACATGTAACAACAGATGGCGTTAAAAACATAGACTGTGTGTTGAAAGTCATTGGTTTAGTTTCTTTCCTGCGAGACCTTCAAAGAACTGGGAAACCTCATTATTACTACTCCTGATTAAGTTTATTTTGGTTTCATAGTTTCCTTTAAGATTGAAAAAAATAGTACAGATTTGTTTAATGAGTTTAATGAGTAATAAAACTGAATAATTGTATCCTTTAGTGCACACTTAGATCTAAATATTCAAATTTCCGACGGAACTTGAACGCCTCGACTTCGCGGGAAATTCAGCGCTTGTTAGAGTTCCGCTTTCAGCAACAACAACATAACATTTGTTGGATTTTAGCACCGAACTCTGCCCCCTTTTCTTGTGGATGTTAGGAAGTAAATAGTTCGGATCACCATGGTAAGTATGTTATAGGTTTTAGTTGAATGATTGAATTAGGTCACGTTTATGCCATGAAGCTAGCGCATAGTTAAAATGACGAGTTCTGACACTTGATTTTGGATTTGTTGACATTAAACAGGTTAAATATGTCTTGCTGCTACTGTCTCTCCTGAGATGGTCACCGAAAAAATCTCCATATAGGCTCCAAATTATAATTAAAGTTTTACTACGGAACTGATTTATGAGGTTGTTGCTTGTCTATAAAGATAGCCTACTCATACTTTAGACCGGTTTAATAAACTATTATTACTCATACTATATCATATTACTGAAATAAGCATGTGAAGGATGAGTTTGTTTGTTTATTTATTTATTTACATGACAGATTAGGGCTGGGCGATTATTTCCTGCTTTGGACGATTTCGATTTTAAATTGAAGACAGACTTTGCCCTTAAAATTATTGTTTTATCTTTCCGCTCAATATTCAAGTTTCAAAACTATTTTTTTATTTGTTTCCCCCATATGTATTATAAAAGTCCTGTACAGACTGCTGATATGGCAAGTATAATTCATGTGCTGCTGGAACTCTCACGATATCCTTCATTCGATTTTCCGATTTTCACATTTTCCACAAATTCGATTTTTTCAAAAGCCAATTAATTGCCTAAATTCGATTTATTGCCCAGCCCTATGACAGATCTTTGCTTACAATAAAGAATGTGTTCAAACATAGTAATGATAACACCGGGGTTAAAAAAACAGTAAATAATATGCACTGCCACCGTCAAAAAATAATAAATTTGCACAAAATGATGAGAGTTAATTAAAGCTATTAAGTAAGTAATGTTTTACAATGTTCCAAGTTCAGATATTGTTCCAATCACTCCACACACGATATTGGAAGCGAGTCGAAGAACACACTGGCGCATATAGGAGGAATTTCTTCTTCCGGGTGGATCATCAAGACTATTGGTCCTTCCAATTGTCAATCATTCTGGTGATACAGAAACTTTGGTTTAAGAAGTGGAGAGGGCGATTCTTTCCTAAAATTGGGGAAAATCCTCCTGTATAAGGATGAAGATGCCATAGTGAGTCCTTCGATCGGATATAGGAATCACTACAATGACTCTTAAAATTGCATTATTCTTCTAATGTTCAATGATCGCAAATAATTGGTGGTGCAGTGGCTGAATTGTGTCCCTCCCAGTATCTGGGTGGGTTTCCTCTGGGTGCTTCAGCTTTGCCTGCCGCCCAAATCATGAACCATAGGAATAATCAAACAGCTCTGGTCGTCTTGATTTCTGACCTCTGGAGATGGTCCCAGGCATGACGGATGGGTTTAATGCAGATGGCTAACATCTAACATATAGAAAAAAAATGCCATATGTCAGAATACGTGGATTGTTAGTGTCTAACAAGAAGGACTGTGGTGATGATCCAGAACACTTTAAACATTCTACAACTTGTGATGGACATTTATCTACATCTCATGGACAGTGGGTCTTCTCCTATTCGGACCATGTGTCTATGTTTTTTGTGTCTTAACTGTCGATTCTCTGATCGGTGTTGGTGATTACAACAATTTGCTGTTGTGATTTAGGGCTATACAAGCATAAAGTGAATTGAATTGAATTGAACTTAAATCGTTGTCATTGTATATTAATAGAATATTTATTTTTAAGTCCAAAAAGAAAGGTTTGAGTTTGGAGGAGAAGAGGACTCGTATGCTGGAGATTTTCTTTGAATCAGTAAGTCTCACTATGTAATGTTTACATTTACTTGTTGGATATGGCTAACTTCCATTATAAACTGTTTTAAAGTCTAACTTTCAATTGTATTATTTAATATGATGATGGATTAATGGTTATTCTTGTAACTCTCTTTGTAGAAAGATGTGTTTCAACTGAAGGATATTGAAAAGATTGCACCAAAGTCTAAAGGCATCAGTGAGTATTCCAGAATACCTGCATTGTACATATCACTCTACTGCATAATTCCATTCACATAGTAATATTAATATTAGTATTTCTACTTCTACTAATAATTATACACAGTACAGATACTTGTATAGCCTTTTTTTTGGACATTCAAAGACGCTTTACAAAAGGACTTCCTAGATATTAGAAATATTAAAAGTATACTTTTTACAAAACACTGTTATGTTAACCGTGTAAATTTTGACCATTTTGACCTGGTTTTTTTAGATTCATATTTTTACTTCCCGGTTGTGGTTGAGTTTGAACTAATAAAACATAAAAATAAATGTATACAGCAACAATGATAAAAGTCCTTAAATGTCACAGAAATCATTATTTGAAAGTGTTATAAAAATTGTGTTTGTTGTAAACTATGCAAAACTCGTTCTGTCTATAGCTATTGTGATGCCATCAGCTCTCAAACTCAACTTTCTGGAAATTTCAACACATTTTTTAATTTTTCCTCACAAACTTTAGCTTTCTTGGTTTCTTTCTTGGCTTTGTCCTTCTGCCGTAATTGCTTGGTTTCATATAACGTCGGCACAGTGGTGATAAAAAAGATAATCAAAGCTTAATTTAACTCAAGTTAAATGGTTTTTACTAAATACAATGCTAAAATGTATCAAAGTAGTGAAACTGAAACAATTACAGAAACACGTTTACACAACAAGTTTTACAATGATATTTTGACTCAGAACTAGTTTAAAACCTTGTGGTTCCCTGAAAAGTACTAATATTTTGTGAAGTGAATTGAAAAATTACAACTAATCGCTTATTAGTTACAACTATGAGTAGTTGGCAATTAATCTATTAATCGACATTCTATACTGTATATAATAGTATAGTATATAATCTGTCATAAATGAATATATCTATCTATCTATGTAAACAACTAACCAATTCTGTTATAATAAGTCTATAAGATTTTCCAGAGCCCCCTTTGTATCTGCTTTATTCATTAATAGTCCAATATGAAGTATGGAATTATAAATGGTTCAATAAAACTTGTCTCTTCTCTCAGGCCAATTTCTATGCACATTCACATTGACAGCATCTAGTGGTAGTATGTAAGAATGCAGCAGTGACATTTATCATTGGTTTAGCAGCTAGCTTATGAACTGCTCTATAATTTGATATCTGTTTCAGTCTCAAACACTAACGCTCAAAACGCAGTAGACCTTTGGCCGAATTGCAAAAGTCAAACTCAGGAATAATAATAACGTGTGATGAGCTTTCCGGCAAAGCTTTCATGAATATTTCATCTTAAGAGAACTGTTTGAAAGCAGCTTAACTGATTTATGAGAAATCCAAGCGTATTTTTGTGTGAACACTTTGTCAATGAAGATATTGTGCGACGCTGATTAAAAGCACATGTTTTTTGCAACCACCATTGGGCATGATGCAGTTACGGAGGCGGGGGGAGGGAATGGTAGAAACTGTCCTGACACACTGAGAAAGAAGGAAGGAAGTGCCTAGAAGGACCTGATTGAGAGCTGCACTAACATGACATACACATGCATTATTAAAATCATAGTTTGCAGAAGTTGTTTCGTGCACTTGAGTTTTGACTGTGGTGCTGTGCAGGCTCTAAAATGTGTAGGAGTATCATGTTTCAGCGCTAACACGGTTGAAGATATGACTCCCGCTCTGCAACACTGGCGCGTCAAGGGCCCTTTAAAGCAGCTAGATACACTGCAGATGTGTGGGATCAACTCTTCAACTGAAATAGAAGTGCATTGCTCACTTTTAGGTGCACCCTTGAAAATGTCATACTTTTAAAATAACATTACCCATAACTATAACCAAAGATTTTACTGACACTATTTTTTGTGTAACATTTTGAGCCAATTATTCGAAGCCAACTTTCAAGCTCAAAATAATAAACTTCAAAAACCGTCAATAACCCTAAATCAAATGAGGAACAAGAAGCATGATTTTTTTTTTAAAATCCTTGATCTATTTTTTCTTACAGATGATGTGAACGTAAGCAAAACTTCCAAGCACTACTGCACTTTCTTTTTGTTGCATTGAATGAAAGTGTGTTTTTCTTTATGTAACCCTTTGCCGCTCTGTATCCTCACTCAGGACTTTAAAATGTATCTTTGTCTTATTCTTATGATCATCTTTTCTTCAATCCAAAAGCAATCCTTGCCTTGAGTTGCTGTATACTGTAGCAGCAGAAAACAATTTAAAAAACAAAACAAATATGTTCTGTTTTTGCTAACTTCTTTAACAAAACGCTGATTGATCAATGCAATGATTCTTTTGTATAGTTTACCAGTGGTTTTTCATTTTATCTCAAGGAATACTGTATGTTATATGTATGTGCAGCTCCTATGGCGGTGAAGGAGGTGCTGCAGAGCCTGGTGGACGACAACATGGTGGACTGTGAGCGGGTGGGGACCTCAAACTACTACTGGGCATTTCCCAGTAAAGCCCTGAACACTCGGAAACACAAGTTGGATGAGCTCAAGAAACAGGTGAGGAATGATCTCACAGTTCAGAACTACAGCAGGCTACAATGTGGGAAAATAAGCTTCAAAGGGCGCAGTTTCAAAACATCAGCAATTTTTTCAAATGTTGTGGCATGTTTTAGTGTTTTGTCACACCATGTTGATAATTCCTTTTTAAATTTTGCAGATTTCAGAATCAAAGCAGAGAAAAGAGTCACTACAGAAAGCAGTGGACGCTTCTAAAGTGGGACGTGAAGATACGGTCAGTACTTGCACTTTAATACACTTACAAAGGATTGGTAGACATAGTACTGATATAATCGTCTCTATTCAGCGTTTCTTCCAAACCGGTTCAACCACTTTGATCCAAGTCTACATGCAGGGCTCTTTATCTTATCTATTTGATTTAGCTTTGTAACCTTTCAAAACATATGCTCTGATAACAGAATGGAAACCCTGACCAAAAATTTAGCTTGGATTTGGGGTCCAATCACAGGGAGAGACGGCAGGACAAAGCCACACATTCGTCAAACAGAAGCTTGTAGTTTGTGAACGGATCCAAATGATGACAACAGCCGCACAACTCCAGCAACTGTTTTTGCCTCATGTTCAATCATTAGGAAGCAGTAAACATAATTTGTTGAATTGGGTAATTGTATGTTTCGTGCCATGCTGTATGTTATCGTGTTGAATTTATGCGGTTGCTGCAAACAACCCTTCAAATAGAGATGTACAATTGTATACCACATTTCTTCTATGAGAAAATTATTGGATGGTTCCCAGACTAAATATTAACTTTTGATTTAGTCTGTACTTGGCCAGACTGTGTGTTATCCAGTTTTCACTAGTGCCATATATACAGTACATACTCATTGGTATTATTACTTTCCAAGTCTAATCACTGATTAACGGGCGTGTCTCTGTGGTGGTGCAGAACAAGAGGAGTGCTCTGCTGAAGGAACTGGAGGGTCTGAAAGAGGAGCGCGTGCAGCTACAGGCCGAGCTGGACAAGTATAGAGAATGTGACCCAGAAGTAGTCGAGGAGATGAGTAAGTACAACCTTGAAAGTATGGAAAAATGCCGACCATGATGAAGGGGTATTCTGTTGACTAATATAATTCATATGAGCATAATTGCAGTGGCAGGTAGGGGATGCTTAGTCCTTATTATTTATATATTTTTGGCATTTCCTGGGATTCAAATTTAAACAACTCAATACTTTAAGCGATTTATGTACTTTTACTCCATGGAAATATTCCACTATTTAAGTGGAATATTTTTCTTATATTTTTACACAGAGGCAATTAAAGGCAGTATTTACAACCCTCACTCCATCAACTTCAATTGTGCTGACCTTTACTAGAACAGGCCTTAAGTAACGCGACACAAATTAAAATCCACGTTATTTCTGAACTTAACTCAACTTAAAAGCCCAAATTACTGAACACTTGCTAAATCATACGCCTTTGATTCTATTTATACATCCGCCTATGCAAGTCTATGAAAGCATTTACCTGGCTTTTAGAACACTGTCATAATCTCAGGGCCCCTGTTCTCACAGTTTTGAAACGTGGAGAGGAATTGAAAGTGCTCTCAAATACCACATTACCGCAGCTTTGTCTCGTCGACATTATATACTCATTCTCATCTTAAAATTGGTGCTTAATGTTCTACCTTCATGTTGACAAGTAGGAGATAATTGCATGTGTATTTGCTAGGGCTGTCAAACGATCCATTTTTTTTTTAACGCTTTCATAAAAAATGTAATTAACGTGAGTTAACGTGAACATTTTGACAGCCCTAGTATTTGCAAATGATAGGGGTGTAGACCATGCGCTGTTACCTGAGTGTATGCTCCTGTTGCTTGGTTACTCTTCATATTAGTGTTTAAGATTGTGGTGACTTTTAGAATGAAAAACCACTTGGACTTTGCGATAAAGTGGATTGACTTGATCTCCTATGTCTTGCCTAGTTTATTTATTGTATTTATTTATTTGAATGGAACCATGCATGTCAATGAACAGACATTTAAAAAACATGAATTTAAACATGACAGATTTTAAGACAAAGGCTAATTTCCATTTCTTTGAGTGAGGTGGAGTTAGTATAGCAATCGCACAGTAACATCATCAAACACTTCTCAATTTTCCAATATATTGTCAGGATTCAAGCAGACAGAGACGGATCGTGGTGTGCCAAACTCTGGAAGTTTATTTAAGTTTCTCTCAAGTTCCACTGGTTTACTCTGTTTCTTTCTCTCAGACAGAATAAAGGCAGTACACAGTTTATATAGTCATTGTCACGTCACACATCGAAAGACATACGTGTCACAAAGAGACAGTCAAATCATAGTCATAACATGGAGTCCTTGTAGAGTCCTTGTAGAGTCCTGCACGTAGGCCATATTGATATCTAATACTAACACCCTCCCCTTTGATCACATAATCACATGTGATCACTCAAATCGATCAATCAATAAAGTGGAAAAAGAAAAAAAAAATTAAAGCCGCAAGCGGCGTCAAACGGCCCTCGCCGCACCGCGCGACTCCCCGCACCGCGCGCACCACCCCGTTCCACGCCGCCCCGCACCAAGCCACCCCGCACCACGCCGTCCCGCATCACGCCGCCCCGCACCAAGCCGCCCCGCACCAAGCCGCCCCGCACCAAGCCGCCCCGCACCAAGCCGCCCCGCACCAAGCCGCCCCGCACCAAGCCGCAACGCACCGCTCCACAACGCCCCGCACTACGCCGCACCACACCGTACCACGTAGCACCGCGCATAGGATGTGGCGCCGCCGTGTGATGATTGGTTCCCGTAGCCATAGAAGAACTTAGTCAAATTGTAATGAATATGATTATTAGAGCTGGTTTGGCTCCCCATGTAAACTTTGAATCAGTCTGTAGGGGGCGCTTAATGGGCCAATTTCAAATATTTCACTTTCACCTGACCTAAACCCTGGAGTTGAACAATGGATTCAAGTTTAATGCAAATCAGTCTTTGTTTGTGCAAACGGGGAAAAAATTTATGTTGTCAAAAACAGCCAAAAAACCCTCACATTTTGCCGTTCCGCTTCTCAAACAACGTTTGACTGATTAAAATTCCCTGAAGTAATTATGAAGGTAAATGTGTTGAGATGATTTGGAACAATTTTGAGGCCAATCGGTGAAACGGCCGAGGAGGAGTCGCTTTCCAACCAACGTTTATGAAAATGATTGGTTTTCATGTTTCCATTTTGCAATGAAATTCATGGGCTTCCTGTTTGTCAGGGGGCTTAGCCATAATAACATTTTTCCCATGTCTTGACTTAAGGAACATGTGTTCCAAATTACATGGTTCTACGACAATTTTGACCTCAAACCCCTCCCATAGGCATTTTTAATATGGCTGTTGTAGGTGGCGCTATAGAGCCAATTTCAGAATTTTAACTTTCAAATGACCTAGACCCAAGAGTTGAACCATGGATTCAAGTTTTGTGCAAATCAGACTTTGTTTGTGCAAACGGAAGCAATTTTTCTATGGTCAAAAACTGAAAAAAAATACGCCACTTTTTGGCGCTCCGCTGCTCAAACAACGTTTCACTGATCAAAATTCCCTGAAGTCATTTTGATGGTACATGTGTTGAGATGATGTGGAGCGATTTTGAGGCGAATCGGTGAAACGGCCGAGGCTGGTTTGATGTTTGTGTGAGGTGTATATTTGCAATGAATGGGGAGCGTTTGTCGTCGCCACGGCAACAGGGTAAAAAATAAGCCTTGGACCCAATTGACTTTTTGAATCAAGAGGGCAAAACAGATGTATGTGCAAAATTTCAAACATTTTGAAAAAACTAAATTTGAAAATGCCCATTTAAAACTTTGAAATAGTCTGTAGGGGGCGCTAATGTGTCAATTTGAATCATTTAACTTTCAAATGACCTAGACCCTAGAGTTGAACAATGTATTAAAGTTTTGTGAAAATCAGACTTTGTTTGTGCAAACGGGAGCAAATTTAATGTTGTCAAAAACGGCCAAAAAAAGGTCACATTTTGCCGCTCCGCTGCTCGAACAATGTTTCACTGATCAAAAATCCCCGAGGTCATTTTGAAGGTACATGTGTTGAGATGATGTGGAGCGATTTTGAGGCGAATCGGTGAAACGGCCGAGGAGGAGTCGCTTTCCAACCGACATGTATGAAAACTTTTGCTGTTCATTTTTCCATTTTGCAGTGACATTTATGGGCTTGCTGTTTGTCAGAGGGCGGAGCCATAATAATATTTTTTTCTTGTCTTGACTTGAGGAACATGTGTACCGAATTTCATGACTCTACAACAAACTTCATCTTCAGAACTCCCATAGGGGTATTATTTTGGCTGTTGTAGGTGGCGCTGTTCTGGCATTTTTTGAGTCCCATTAAAATAAACACCAAAATATCAAATTTTTCGCCAGGTCTGATTTTTGGGCAAAATTTAACAACTTTTCATGCATATTCAGGGGGTCAAATTAAGGCTCAAAGTGCAGAAGAAAAAAGAAAGAAAGAAAGAAAGAAAGAAAGAAATTAAAGCCGCAAGCGGCGTCAAACGGCCCTCGCCGCACCGCGCGACTCCCCGCACCGCGCGCACCACCCCCATGCGCTATGTAAATAATAATTACGAATGATGACATTTAAGACAGAACTCTTAATATAAAAAACAAGACCAAATCTCAAAAAACCTTTTTAAACTTTAAAATATGTGTACTTTTGTACTGTGTGTTTAAATTATCTTGCCACATTTTAGAGCCAGTCCTCCTTCTGCTGGGGCATCACAGGAGGAGCAAGGTCAGGCGTGTAGCAAAACATAAACGTCACCAGCTTGCTATGGGTGAATTGGGTAGTTTAACTTAAATAATATAAATACTTTTACAGCTAAAATGCTAATTCCCTCTTTCTTTTTAGACGAAGTCTATAATCAAAATCCCTTTTAACACAGATTCTAATTTAAATGTTTGAAAAACGGCTTTTGTAACTAAATAAAAACATAAAACAAACACCAATCAAACAGTTAAGAATAAGCAGCAGACTTAAAAGAATGGAATCTAGAAATATGTTAGGTCTAAAAAGAATTGTAAACAACAGCTTTAGCACTAATATTGGGTTTCAAAAAACATAATAATTCAAAACATACTATTCCCTAACTGGTTTAAAAACGTAATTAAACTGTGTCATAAACACAATGTTCAAATGGCAAATTTCGCAAATTTAAAAACTTAATAAAAGCAAAATCCCAAAAGCAGTAGCTTTTGCTCTGATTCAGAAGCCAGAGCAGCAAAGAGGGGGGCCGTTTTACTGACAACGGCAGCAAGATAGTGCGACGCACACACACAGACAGAAAGTAGTGTTTTAGCAAAAAATGCCAAAACAGAAAGAAGAATAACTTTTGAAGAGTACTTTTTTTAAGCTAATATAACTTATGTAGTTCTTTATAACTTTTGACATCCAGGTCCTAGAAAGTGATTCACTTTCCAGTCCTCACTTATGGCCAACACTTTTCACTTTATGGATCCTCACTTATGGCCAACACTTTTCACTTTATGGATCCTCACTTATGGCCAACACTTTTCACTTTATGGATCCTCACTTATGGCCAACACTTTTCACTTTATGGATCCTCACTTATGGCCAACACTTTTCACTTTATGGATCCTCCTCACTTATGGCCAACACTTTTCACTTTATGGATCCTCACTTATGGCCAACACTTTTCACTTTATGGATCCTCACTTATGGCCAACACTTTTCACTTATTTGAACACAATTTAGAGAGTTCGACAGACCTCAAAAACAGACCAAAATTTAGCTAGTATCCAATTATGCAGACTTTACATATAAAAAGGTGTCTGCTTACCTTATTCTTGTCAAACAGGTGCATGCACGGACTGTCCGAGAGGTCTGCCAACTCTTTTCCGCGTCGGAATATTCAATTTAAAAAAACAAAAGTGACAGAAGCGACAAGAAGCATCCAGGAACAGCTCTTCCAGCCTGCTGGAATCTCCGCTCCCAGACACAGCATGCCGATCTCTCACGCCGAGGAAAAGAAACAGAGCAAACTCCCCCAAAACAATCCAGAGAATGGCACACACGGAGCCGCGCATTCTCCACCAAATCTGTCAGGATTTAGCAGACAGAGACGGATCGTGGTGTGCCAAACTCTGGAAGTTTATTTAAGTTTCTCTCAAGTTCCACTGGTTTCCTCTGTTTCTTTTTCTCAGACAGAATAAAGGCAGTACACAGTTTATATAGTCATTGTCACGTCACACATCGAAAGACATACGTGTCACAAAGAGACAGTCACATCATAGTCATAACATGGAGTCCTTGTAGAGTCCTTGTAGAGTCCTGGACGTAGGCCATATTGCTATCTAATACTAACAATATATAGACTGACCATTAGGAATATGACGCACAAATACATATTTAATAAATAATGCTATCTAGTAGCTTTTTTTGAGGCCATGTTTGTTGAAGTTTATATCATCAGGGCTGGGTAGTGCCTACACCCTCACAGCAAGAAGGTTACATGTTTGATTACCTAAAATCCTCCACTCTGGTCATCCTGACCAAACAGAACATCAACATCTGAAGGGAAAAAAACATACCTTATTCTTCACTATTCTTCACAAATCGTGGGAAAAACTTAACAATTTAGTCTATAGTAAGCAGCAGCAGCAGCAGTTTTAGTTTTGGGGTAAAAGGGTAAAAGTTTTTACCCTTTTTACTTTTACTCTTTTTGCCAATTTTAAAAGGCATCAATGAATGAGTAAACTCAACTGCATAAAGTATGTCAATTTAAACCTTTAAATCTTTGTGTTTAGTTTTATCATTATGTTGTACACTTTAAAGGCTGAGACATGTCTTGAAAAGACTTGTACTGCGTGGCATACTGGTACTCATATGTTAATCATAAAGCTTACATTCCACACGCAGATAAGATGACAAAAGTAAAACAAAGCACCACAAACAGGCTGTATCCTGTTGCTGGAGGTCTTAACTTTCACACACACGCTGGTTTATTTTTTACTCCCCACAACAAAGCACACCCACACAGCTGACACAACTGTTAGCTCCTCTATAACAGCAACACTCCTCTCTAACTCCAATAGTGGTGTAGCAAAGCACACAGCCTAGGGCCACTGCAGCACAGGGACATGTTCAATAGGTCTGTGCAAGATAAATGAGTCGAGTCACGTTTTGAAAGGGATGGACCCGAAATGATGCTTTTATCCTGTAGGACAGTTTTGAAAAGCTGCTCATTTTCAGGCAATAATAAGTGTAGGAAGTCTTTTTCTTTAGTTGCTAAAAGTTGTGTCATATCACTGGGGAAATTAGAAGAGTGATAGGCTTGTTCCAAATGCTATTGGAATTGGATTAAAGATAACGTGTTATGCAAAATAAACGTTTTTCCCAGATTAAAACATTGTTCCCTCATCAAAAGCAGACCTGGAGTTGTTTTTAGATCCATCCACACCAGAATGTTGCAGCACACATATGTAACTTCGCCTGTTCTGTCCATAAGCGCTTTTCTCAGACTGGTGTGATCTCATTGCACCACTATAACATCACACTCTTTTTCATTCACTGCATTCACTTTGTCTTTTTATCTGCACAAGAAAAAACATGGGGAACAAACCATAAACTTGGACCATGATGTTAAGTTTACAAAATAATACGTTGTTTTAATTTATACATCCCAATTTATACTTTTAATATCGCTAGTGACATTTGTTAAGTTATCACATACTTAATTCCATGTTTAAATTTTGGTCAAGGATGTTATTATAGCCCATTAAAGCAGTACTTTCAAATATATACAAGCTGCTGTTGCTTTACAACTTTATGATCCAAAGTTTTACAAGACCAGTCCAAAGCTGTAAATGTGTAACTATTAATAAAGAGATAAATGTTAGGGAGCTCTCTGTCTTCCACCAGTGTCTGCTGTCGTTTGGCTTCACGACTCATCAAACTTGGTCCGGTTTGTAGGACCGAGTGTGGCTTCAGATCAGGTTTCTGCAGTGCTACTGAAGCGTTTGACCTATAGTAGAAGGCTACCCAAGCCACGCTGCAACTTTAATAATGTCACTGCACTCAAAGTTACATCTGTGCTCAATATGTCTTGTGTTGTTTGCATGCTACAAACTCTTCATAGACGGAATCTCGCTTCCATCATCAGCAATTGTGGAGTGAATGGAAAAATATCTAAACCCTCAAAAATTGTAAAGCGCTTTGGGTGACCTTGCTCTGTAAAATGTGTATTATAAATAAATATAACTTGCTTACATATTGGATAACCGCATGAGAAGAGGCCTGGTGATTTTATTAGAAATGTAGAATTATATTTTATTTAATATTAATTCTTCATTTTGACATTGTTTTTGCTTTGCTGACGTTGGTATACTATGCACCTGTAGTCACAGATTTATGTGAGACCACATTTTAACCCTAGAAATGCAAAAAGAATACTAACCTAGATTCTAAATTGTGAAATAATCCTCCTATGAATGTAATCTATTCTGTCTTTTTGTTTGCAGAGAAATCAAATGTAGTAGCCAAAGAAGCAGTCTCCAGATGGACAGGTGCGTTGTTTAATAAGTGTGCAGTGAAAAGCCTGACGCCTGTAGAACGGTATAGAATGGAACTAGTTTGTTTTATGGGTATTTAACTGGAAACCAATTATTTAGGGCTTTTAGTGTTTTGTTAAGCACATTGAGTTGCCTTCTCTTATACATCTTTAATGCAAATTGCTAAAATAAAAACTTATAACAATGTAGGCATAGCAAACTTTTTGAAATCCTTTGGAGAGCTTCTTAGGGGTGGCGAGCTACAGGTAGCCTCCGAGCCACAGGTTTGGGGACCCCCTGCCTTAGGAGATAATGATGGGTAACATTGTTGTTGAGTTCTGTAGGTCAGAAAAGTTCAATTCGATCTGGAAACTGTACTTTCAATTCTTGAAGAAAAGATTGAGAATTGTCTAACTTCAGCCACATTACAAGCATGGAGTTAGTGGTTATTTTTTGCATTTTTGCACTGAAAATCTGACTGGTGATCAGACTTGGTACAGTAGATGTTGCCATATTGCCTTAACAAGTGCAGTTTGGAACTTTTCTGGTGATGAGGCCAGGCACCAGGTTGTTTTCATGGTAGACGATATTGCTTTGCCTAGAATGTTTCACATAAACATATTCAAGCTCACTAACTTATTTCCATGGAGAAAGGATGTTGATGCCACCAGGGCCAGTGTCAGTAACTATTCAGTTTCTGGATATGTGAAAAAAAATTTGAGTAGTTTCTTGGAGTGGCATAATGTATAGGGCTGTAACCAGTTACACTATTAATCACTACTAACTATTTTAGGAATAGTTATTGAACCCTGCATAGACATGCCAGATGAAAATGTGTTTACATGTATTTTAAATTAAACACATTGTGTAACAAGGCATCTCTATCAAAACACTCTCCAGGAGCAATGCCTGAGCTTTGTTTAAGTAAGAAAAAAAAAATTCACCGACCATTCAGGAACTAATCAGCAAACTCATCAATTGTTAAAATATTTTTTTATTTCAGCCCAAGTTGAATGCCATACTGAAAAAGATTTTTGCCAAAATACTTTTATTCCTAAAAGTTGCATGTATGGTAATGGTAATATACTCATATTTCTCTCACATGTACCGGTACCTAAATAACTAGATATGACTATTTTTTTAATTATTTGAAACGCAATGTCTACCATTTAAATAAATAAATATATTTTTGTGTGCAGATAACGTTTTTGCCATCAAGTCATGGACCAAGAAGAAGTTCTCCTTTGACGAAAGCCACATCAACAAAGCTTTTGGGATCCCTGAGGACTTTGACTACATGGACTAAGGGTTGACTCTTGAACTTTTTGCTCCCACCTGCATGTTTTGAGAACGTTCAAGGTATCTCCAAGCCTTAAACCAACGCATCTGGCGGCATTCATTCTTCTTCCCACCCGACATCCAGTACACCTGAGCACAGAATCATTAGTCACAAAATCCACACATGTATACTCTCTGTAACTGGAGAAGGGGCGGACCTCGCTGAAAGTGTTGCACTATTAACACTACTTAGCAGACTTAGCACTAGCCTTTAGCATCTCCGAGGCTACACCTGTTTGTATGAAAACCGAGCCTTGAGTTGATGATGGAAAGGAATCAACACTTTACTCTTCAATGCCCCTTATGTTCCTACACATTTCAACACCCTTTATATTGATGCATCTTTGTTATTGTTTTGGGTAATATGTTTTTGTTTTTTGATTGTATTGTATGCAAAATACAGCTAACTCAAGTTTTGTGAAGTTATATATTTTTGTTTATTAATTTTACTGTTCTTTGAAAATTAAAAACATTATAATCAATGTTGTTGTGTGTAAATGGGCAGTTAAACACGCTTTGATGTGCGGCTCTTCAGTCCAGATTTAAATACTTTTTAGTTTGTTTTAGGGTGTTATGGCAACAGAGTTCTGCGTCAGGTTTTATCCAGATGTAGCAATAGTTGTTCGGTGGAGCGGACACACCCACCTACAGCAAGTTACCCACATGTGCAAGTGTGTACCTGCCTAACCTGTCCTGCTATGATTCATAAGACTGACACGCTGCTGTCTTCACAACAAAAAATGAAGCAGAAGTCATGAACTAGTCTTTCGAAGGATTCAGAAGGATTGTATGTAATGGTGCTCAATTTCAATGCACTTTTAAGTTTAAATTAATCTTTATAATTGTGTAAAGTATGCATTCATTAGAGTTGAATGTGAATCATAAAATTTGATGTATTTAGCAGATTACTAATTTTCACATTATTGGCTCGCTGATAGAGTTTGCAGATGAGTGGAATTTGGAGCATGGATTGCAATAAAAAACATTAAATAATTCATTTTAGCCTATATAATTATAGACATGCACTGTCAGACAATTGGAAATTATCATTTGGGAAGTGTTGTGGAGTACATGTACCGGTATATTGTATACTGAATGCATTATTTTTTCTTTTGGTGCTATTTAAAATAGATAAAAATATAAAAACATTGCAGTGCTTGATCATGCAATTTAGTCAGGATATTACAAAAACACCAATGAAACAACGTTCTTAGTGTTGCATGTGTGTTTTTAAGAACAAATAAGAGATACAAGTTATCTTTACCATTATTAACGTTATAATAATAATAAAGTTAATAATAGTTATGATAATTTTGCCAATGAACACGAATATTTCTTTACCTAAGGTCACATCACAAGATCTCAATAAACCCAAAGAAGACAATCGACAGGCCCTACACAAGTGTGTGATTGTATATGTCTGGAACAATCTTCCTGAAAGTGTGAGACAGGCCTCTTCTCTGACAATGTTTAAAACCAGGTTAAAAACAGTCCTGTATAGCTGTGCATACAACTGAGGAATTTTATATTTTTTATTTATCTTTTAAATGTACTGTGATTATTTATGATTATAATGCTTTCTTATTTTGTTCAGCACTTTGAGTTGCCTTGTGAATGAATTGTGCTATACAAATAACCTTGCCTGGCCTTATATTTTGAGTAGTGTGGCCCCAGACAGAGGCGATGTGCCCATAGAAGCCTTTACTGGCTCCTGAGTGTACACTGTGCAGCAGGAGGGAAAGGAGGAGGAGGGAGCTTGTGCTGCTGAGAGAAAGACCCAACGCTGCGAAACACAAGGCTGAACTACCGAGAGGGAGAGCCACCAGGGCAGCATGGCGGGGCCGCAGGACTTCCAACAAGGCAGCCACTGTCACAGAAAAACATGGATCAATATATTACTCGGAATACTGCAGCTACTTCTACCATGCGTTCAACACGGAGGAGCCCAGCTGCAAGGTCTGTGCCCCCGGTTACCACCGTTTAAATGTAACGTGCAGCAGTTAGCCACGCTGGAATGCCGCAAACATCAACGGAAAACAGACTCTCATGCTGTATCCATTATGCATTTGTATTTATTATAGTTTTAATATTCAGATGTTGGTTTGTATGCCCTTGCTATAACACATTATTCCCAGTTGATCACTCATGGGAGCTGTGTGCGGGTACAGTTTTGTCAGAGCTAGTTAGTAGTTATGCTAGCTGTATATGTGAAAACAACTTGGCCGTTACTGTCAAGCCACACATGATGCCCCTAATGCTGTAATTATAGCACGTTTTATTAGTACCATAAGCCACGCAAATGACCAGACTGTGCAGAGCTGATGCGGAAGTAGTGCGTTAAATACATGTTGTGTGTAAGTTGGTTAGCCAGCGTGCTAAGCTTGTGCTAAATCTGCAGCTCCCTGTCTTTGTCAGACCGCAGAGGCGAAGTCATTTTTACTCACTGGACTGTACACTGTGCATCATATCTCAAGATCATGGGGAAAATATAATACTTTTCAAATTATTCTTACGTAAATAAGGCATAGATAAAATATTTTTAACAGACCATTTTTTTCACTAGACATGTGCCAAGTACAGTAATAACAGCTACAGCAATAAGTAATTATTTTGAATTAACAAAACATATTTCATTTCAACACTATTTCCATAGATAATCAAATGTTGTTTTATGTCTGTACTTTAGCACACTGGGGACTTTTGCTGATGAATTCCAATGTGGTTGTACTGCAAATGGCAAATAAATGAATCTGATCTGATCTGAAATGACCGGTTGTTTTCGTGTTTTACCTGTACTGACTGTTCTTGTTTTGTAGATTATGTAAGATTGATATTTTTTACTAAATTATAATATGTGTTGTTTTCTCCTGTGATTCATTGTGTATTTTTATTTTTAAAGCCTTGAGTCAGATTTCCACAAGTGTTGTGGAGGTCTGGCAGCCAGAGGAAGCAGAACCATTAATTCCACTTCAGGTTGGTATTGAAAATCTGTTTTTTTGCAGATGTTGCAAGTTTAAAACTTTCCTCCATTTCCCTCTGTTTGAGCTTTGCATGACTCTGTCTCTGTTTGCATCTCTTGCAAATGCTCCAGTGATCACGGTAATTTATGAAGTCTTTGAAATGTAACCGGAGTGTGCAGCCACCTGCCATCTGGCTCCTCCTCGTTTTCTTTTGTACATAGTGTCTATTGTGAGGGGACTACAGTGCACACTTGCGGGGCACACTCTGGCATGCAGGGGGGTGTGCCTGGCTGCTTGAGTTTAGCTGGGACTTGGACTTATTTTATGTTGTATTGTTTCTCGTCCCCCCCCTCGTAAGGCAATAGTAGCTTTTTTGCTGATAACCTGTCATGAGGTCACTCAGCTGGCTGTCATGTTACCTGTGGGTGTGGCACACTAATGTAAACAAGTGAGTAGAGCCGTGGTTTCTGTGGGAGGCGTGAGACCTTAGCACAGATATTTAACTTGGTGTTATTGACAACACTAAATATTTTGACACTCAAATCATTACTGCTTTACAGGTTTTTCTGCTGTGAGTTGATTTCACACATATGTATTTGGGCACTCTGCTTTAAAAAATGACAGTTTGAATAATAAATACGTAGCCTGGCCTTAGCCATCCGTACACTCTGTTCAATCATCATTTCCCTGCATGTAACGTCTGGGTCTGGTCCCCATGGTAGAGATAACAATCGGTTGAATTTCGACCGACAAATCAGCGAGCGTGGGAGGTGGGTGTTGTAGTTAGTTGTGGTTGATGTCAAGAGTTTGCATCGAACAGGCAGGTTTTAGTTTGGCAATAGCAAAAAATGCGATAGTAAAGTAATCCGGTCTGGTTCTATCAAGAAATTGAAGCCAGAGCAAGAGGAATGTTTAGCAAATGTAATCGGTGGAAAAAATTGTGGCGCTACTCCCCACGGGCCTAACGACAGACTCGGGCACACTACATACGTAACGTCACGTTAAACTCAGATCCAATCGTTTCAATCTGCAAAAGGAGTTAACCCTTCCCACCTGTAAACGGAGCTCAATGGAGCGCCTCCAGACCTTAGTACGAAATGTAATCTGTACTATGGTGTGGTACAACCAGGCTAACCAATACGTGCAGATTTTTTATCAAAATAGTTTAGTTGCAACCATAATTCACTGCTTGGAACATTATTTTTTTAATAATAATGTTCAAATACAGCACCCTGTAAACGGGGTGCTGTATTTGAGGCATTATTAGTACAGGTATATTACTAAGTAAGTAGTGTTTTATTTATACCGCTTTTGTCATTGTTCATTGTTCACTTCATTATTTAGTGTTTTGTTTGTCCTTGTCTACCACATCGGTACAGCCGTACAGGCGACGGCAAAATAAAAATTATGTTGTATAATACATAATAGATACATCTTTTGTATCAGAATCAGCTTCAGACTGTACATTATGCTGCCAAGGCACACCAGTCCGACGTCCGTTTGAAGCAGCAGAACTTCATGATCTTCTTCTTGTCCATGCTCTGGGTTTGCTGGAACTGAAGTCCAAACCAACAAAGTTCAGGGCAGCACTCCATCATTTTGTTAGCGGCCTGGGCTTAACTGTAAAGCAACTGTCAGGAAAGGCACATGTAGATGGTTCCATGTGGCTGGTTGTCAAATATTGGAGATATCAATAATTTATTTTAATCAGAATTTTCTGTTGCATGCACGGATACAAGATCCTTTATTCTCATTAGCGCACATACAGGAGAGTATTTACAATATAAGTAGCTGCTATATGCTGATAAATATGTAGGTACTGTATAAGTAGGCACAATATAAAGTGAATTACCTTTTGTCATGTAGAAGGGTATAGCAGTCGTAACATGGCCGGTATAATGGCCAACAAATCCTGTTGTTTTGCTCTTTGGTAAACTATGTAGCATATTTTGTGTTTATTGTATTGATTCCGGTGCAAAACTGAAATGTCAAGTTCATTAGCTTTGAAATAGGCTATATGATTTTATATTATCTGTTGAGCTTTAGCTTCTTTAATAACATCCTGACAAGCACCCTCATACGTGTTGATTGTCTTTTAAACGTATCAAACGTATAACGAGCAGAAGTTTACGGCTTTGTGCACTTTGATTAGATGGACTACAACATTTTGTCTTGTTTGCAGGTGGAAAAGGATATACGAAAAGAAGGTCTTCCACTGGAGGAAAGGTATAAAGTTTGTTTGACAATGGCATGAATTGTTTTTGTTTTTTCTTCAGTGTGTACCGTTGTGCACCTTTCACATGGAAGAGTCTGATCACCACAGGATAATAATTCCTATTCATGATTATTTTATTAGACGTAATTATTGACAGAACATAATCTTTTGTTTTGTCAACACAATTATACTAGTCCTTTTGAGGTTATAAGCTAATTTGTCTGAGTAGTTTCACATTACTTTTAGTAGATTTCTGGATAGATACTTCATTCATCCACCATAGGAGAAATTCAGGTGTACTGAATTTATACTTGACCAACTTCAACCAAACATACATTTTACACATTTCAGATCGATCGTGTCGTCTTCGGGGACTCTGTGAATTAATAATGATTAAGGAAAACTTTAGGATTGATTTTTAACCTCTTCAAAGGCTAAACATGATAAATATTAGACTTGGAAGTAGTAGTGCACCAATATCACTTTTTTCAAAACAGATACGAGTTCGAGTACCTAAATTTGAGTACTTGCCGATACCGATAAAAGTACTGCATTGTGTTATCCCTGAGAATTCATAAAACGAACACAACTGAAATTTATAATGTTTTATTTCTCATTTGATTGTATTTCTCATTAGAAATTAGCTTACCGTAAAAGCTTTCTCCTGCAGACTTTGGGAGATCACCATGGCAACACGTGCCACACAGCTGTCTGCTTTCGGGACGCTAATAAAAATTAAAAATCGGTTGCCCGGATCAAGACTATGGTATAGCTCAATCTTTCTAAACTAAGGATAAGTTAAAGTTAGAGTAATAGTTAAATATTTGGAATAAATGGAAAAACCGCTTATGTTGGTCCACCTACTCACAGAAAGTGATACACCTGTGGGGGAATCTGTATTTTTTCCGACTTGTGACTGTGCATTTCAATATGGAAAACCCAATAATTTTGTGTGAACATGGCAGCAGTCCACCATGCACCACCGAGTTTTTGAATAAATAATGTGATCTAATTTTGTGATTACTGCCCACTCTGGGATGGCTAGTATTGTACTGTCTATTCAGTTGACTTGACTTCTGTGTCAATGCGATATGTTTAGAGAGCCGTCTTGTTTTAACTGCGCAATGGACAGTCCAAAGTGTTAATTTCATTGTAGACTGGCTGTATTTAATAGTTGTATAATGATGTTGTTAAGCTCAAATGTACACAAGTGGACATGGTTTTCGTCCAATGACACACTGTTAAATGAGATTTTCAAATGTAATGACACATTGTCATTCATACCAAATGTACTTAAATCTGTTTGACAAATGTACACAAGTGGACATGGTTTTCGTCCAATGACACACTGTGGCTTGAGCACAAGGCTGCAGACTGTAAAAGGCCCTTAAAAATGCCCGTGTATGTGCACCATGTTGTTTATATTGGGGATTGGAGGAGTGGGGGCCGTGAGGGGGGGGGGGGGGGGGGGGGTGTATGATGACGAGGGTCTGGGGGCGTTTGCCTGAAAGGCACACAACCAAATTCCTGACTAATTTTAGAACTCCTTGAAAGAAAATGCAGCAAGCAAACAGTGTCTTCCCCAGCAACTTTTTTGCCATAGTCAATTGTTTGGAAAAATATGTTTTCACCTTAAGTCTAGTTGTCATGGATATGTATAAAAATACATTGTTATATAACTTTTCTGGGGAAGAGTGGCATCTCTTTGTCTCCATGAAGACGTTATTGCTTTCCTTAGACTTTCCATAGTATGTTTGGCATAAAACTATTGCTGTGAATGTCAGTAGTTCAAATAGCAGGTCAGGTCTCTGAAAACACTCCCTATTTGTGAAAGATATTAAACAATTATAGCACTCATGGCTAGATTCAATGCAATACTATGAAACATTGCAGGGCAGGCAAAGACATTGCAGAACCCCTATTGTAAAAGTTAGTGCAACTTTTAAAGACACATGGAGTTTTTAGTCGCTCTGTAAGGGGATGGACATGCAAATTAGCCTTGGCTATAAATGTTGTGTTTCTTATGTTGATTGTGTACACATGTTCCTATCAAATTCATTAATCAAACATACAAATGAAAATAAATACTTTATAGAGTTGTTTTGTCTGCCATGTTGGACCACAAAAAGTCATTTCCTTTTTCATGAGAGATGCAAACAATAAACTCTTAATATTATACAGGAGCTGTTTACAAACTCTCATGTCTCCATGTGCTCTCAGGTTATTAGCATGTGATAAAAAATATCAGCTTGAACACTGAAATGGTGAATTGATAACGCCTCATCCCCACTCACTGCCCTCCTCTTCCTCTTGCGTTCAAACACACAAGCACCTACCGTTATATGGACTACTGGCATGTACACAGCACACAGCCCATTAGGACCTGGAGATTATCCTTGTGGTCGTGTCTACTGTGTGTAGCTTTTATGGTGTTCCTTAAATGCATCTTAATGTGTATATATAGTGTATTTATGTTTTATATACCTGTTTTAATATCTGGTGATTAAATAGTTATGCAAGCTGGGTTGTCACATGATATTCTCTCAATGCTTTGATGGGAAATATTGATGTGTAATTACTAGGGCTGTCAAACGATAAATTTTTTTTTAGTTTAGTAAAAACGATAAGAATTTTTTTTAGTTAGTCGGATAGTAATGGTGAGTTAACTCACGATTAATTGCATTTTTAACATTCTATTTCAAATCCACTCCAATTGAAGTTAAATGAGATTTTCAAATGTAATGACACATTGTCATTCATACCAAATGTACTTAAATCTGTTTGACTTGCTCACAACCTTCTACTTTTGGGTCCAACCAACAAGAGCTGTTAATGAAAGGAAAAATGTTGGTACCCCGGCTTTAATTTTGCATTTCAGCGTGTCTCCTCCTCTCCTCCGTGTGTCACACAACATCAGAGAATGGCCCTGTGCGTGTATATATGCGTGTATTATATGACCACGTTACTGCTGTCACCATCACACACACACACGTGTCCGCGGCATTCTGAGTGATATTATTATAAATGGGTGGGTCATTCGGACATGCGTTAATTATTTTTTAACGCGTTAATGATATCGGTAATTAACGTGAATTAACGCGATAATTTTGACAGCCCTAGTAATTACACAATGTATTGTGTAATCAATATATACTTACAATGTTTTTTCATAATCTCGAGTACAGTACCATTTTTATGAGGTGACTTTGTTGACGGTCTTCTGTGGAGGCTTGTTACAGCCACTGTTGACTGGCTGTAACGGGCTGAGAGGAACTGAGAGGACCTCATTCCCACTTTTTTTAATCCCTGGGGTGCCCTTTCCTCACACACTGACCCACACAGGCTGACGTATGAAATCAACTCTGTATTTGACTTGACTTGTAATGTGGTCTTTTTGACAAGGCATGTCGATGTTCAGTGTGAACACTACAATCAAATATAGCAGAAATTTAGACCAAACCGTTGTAAAGCTCACGGCTAACATTTGTGTCAGGTGAAGGTTGTAAAACTCAGGACAATAATTTTTATAACTTACAGGAAACTGTCAATTTTATCAATTGAAATTGAGAACCAAATCTGTTCACTACGTTTTTATATTTACCATTTACACAACAGACTTCCCAATGCTTCAATATGCTCTTTTGTCAGACATGTAACATGCTGTGTCCTGGGGGCATATACAAATGCCCTAATCACCTCACACCGTCCTATTTGTCCTGTGATCAAAAACTCGCAGCTCAATAGTCAAATATGTAGCTGCAGTGTGATACCAAATTTAGACTGCTGGGGTTACTGTACAAAGGAAGTGGTGCAGGAAGGACAACGAGATACTGGTGTGAAGCTTTCAGTTTATCTGCAACTTAAGTTCTTCCAGTGACCAACACAACAAGGAAATTACTTTTAAATTTTTGAATGTAACTAGTCTGACTCTCAGCCAGGCCAAGTAGGGTTGTCACAATAGTGAAATATTTTATACAATGAAAAATATATACAATAGCTCCATAAGTGCATGTATATTTTTTCATTTGATCAGCTGTTGTGCTAACGACTTACTTCTGTCCATTAGCAGCAGTGGGTCGGTCACGTTTTCATAGGTTTTATGGGCCTAAGTTGACTTCAAATATGTTCATCTTGGTTCATTTATTTGAGGGTGCTGCTTGCAGATAATTAAGAGTTCTGTGTCTTTTTTCCAGCTCCTCTGCCTTCAGCCAGGAGCGCGGGAGGCCTCTGCACTTCCAGCCGTCGGTGCTGGAGTTTGGGACACAGTACGTACACTTCTCCTCTATAACACGCCCCAACACGTTTGTGGATTTACATTTTCCTCTATATAGAAGCCACCTAGACCAGCTAGAAACCACCGAGAATTCAGGCTAACATAGACAAACTGGAAGGCGTCTCAGGATCATTATTGTGAATAGTAGCGGGTAGGACAAATCCAAGTACGGCTATGAGCAAACTTTCCCAGCCTCCAGTACATACCAGAGAAGGCTCACTCCAGCCGGTTGCCTCTCTCTCAAAACAAATCAAATCTAGAATGGCCCACCCTAACTTTAGAACATTAAATGAATAAATAACGTCTATATAATGCACCCACATGAATGTCTAGTGTTTGTGTGTGCTTTGAGACTTTTACATTTTGTTTTTAAAGACATTTTAGCAATAGTTCACACTAGCACTATCGTTTTTGGCACCCAGGAAAATAGTTTTAGTGCTCTTATTGAAGCACTATAGATTAAAAAAGTGTGCCATGCTCATTAGCATTGTTTTAGCATTAGCATTTTTTCAATTTACACAATTTGATTCTTTTAAGGATTTTTAAAGAAATTATAATGTATTTTGTAAGTTCATATTACTTCACTTGATCACTGACCTCAAAATTGGAAAGTTGCTTTGCAAAACAGGAAGTTGAAACCTGAGTAGCTCTATTCATGCAGTTGAAACTTCAAACTGAAGAAAAAAGGGTACAAAACTAATCTTGAGATTGTCATCATGTTAATGCGTGCATACATATTGTCTGTGAGCTGTAGGTTATAAAGAAACCCCAGTGACCACACATTAATTACATCATGATGTCTTAACACAGAATTTATGTTGTTTTACCTTCTGTGCGCTAAACTCAGGATTCCAGCAGCACAACTACTGCATTTAGTGTGTCCACGTGCACCCGAAACTATATGTTGCTAATTAACATTGCTCTCCATTAATAAACTAATCCATAAAACGTTTTCCTCATGCCCTGCCAACGTTTTGTTTCAATCCCGTAATGGTACGCATCTTAAGCACTGCTGTGGGATTTATCACCAGAAGTTATATTTTCTAAATGCCAATAAATAACTGACTAGTTCTTGGCTTAATCAAACAATTGGATACACAACAAAGAATATTCTCTAAGTTTCACAGTATTAGAAGCTGGAAATGAATACTGATTCTGAAAATGTATTGAGGAGTAAACCACCTCAGCTGAGTCTTGCAACAGTTACCAAGGTTACATACACATGCTCATTACTCAAAACAAGCATGAGTAAAATTAGCTGAGATGTGACCGCTCTGGTTTGTCTGAATGTCTGTAAGCTTAAGCAGCAAAAGGAACATGTGCAGTCTTCAGAGGGATTCTATACTATTGAATTAGACGAGTCTAAGATGGTTGGATGTGTGCTAATGTTTACTGTCCAGCCTAGTGAAGTGCAGTCTTCTTGATGAAGTAGCTGGGGCCTACTTTGTTTTCCAGATACTGTGGATGAGCAAAGCTAATGTTTGTCTTGAATAAACACATTGCCTTTTTCTACTGCAGGACACATTGCCTTTTTTGGACAGTGTCTTGACACAGAGAGGGCTTTATTCTATCTACATTGCTCTGTCTGCGGTATATGCGTTTGCATTTTAAATGCAAAGCCAAGATTACTGAATAACTTCAGCGAATTACAGTGTGAGCAAATATGTAGACTATATCATAGATTATGGCACAGAGTCATGCGTTGACACACGGACCCAGAGAGTGAAAGCCCCTCCTCCAGAAGCCAGTGGTTTGTCTGCTGCTGTCTGAATGTAATGTGTTGTGCAGATGATGATTCTGTCCTTGTGTGGTTGCAGGCCGCTGGGGCTGCCCAGAGCAGAAACCATATATATACACAACCCTAGCCAGGAAGTTCCTGTGACGCTGCTGTCCATGTTTACATCCAGCAGACATTTTTACATCCCTTCCTTTCACAGAAGAGTGAGTTGTACATGCATTTGTCTTCTCTTCTGGTCAAATGATAACATGTGTGCTTTTGTTTTGCAGGTGATTCCTCCCAAGGGAAAAGCTTCTTTTAAACTTATATTCCTCCCGTCAGAGGAGGGCAATGTAGAAAACACATTCTTTATAAACACATCAGCCCATGGGCTACTGTCATACCAGGTAAATGCGTTTAAGAGATTTAATAAACAAATCAATCTTATGTAAAATCTTTATTTCATGAAGGTATATCATTTTTTGTTATCTTGTTTGACTTCTCTTAGTTATTCCTACCATCCGGTAACAATGACACTTGAGATATGCCCGTTGTTTCCTAAACCTTCCTTCTTGAACAGCTTTCAAATTGTCCTGTGCTCCAAATATAACACTGCTATTAGGTTTATGTTATGATGCTGTTGTTTAACCTAACATAATATCTGTATTAGCAGCACCTCAAGTGCAAACCAGAATATAGTTTTGAAATAAAACAAAACACTGCTTATTAAAAATAATGAATTTATTTCATCTGGTATATATTTGGCTCAATACTTCCTTTGCTAAACTGCCTACATGTGTACCAACAGCATTTATAGATATTGACCTGTAGTAACCTTTGACATGCTATATGTTTTCAGGTATTTGGTGTGGGAGTTCCACGGGGCTCTTTAAAGTCTGTCCACAGAAAGGACAGCCTGCTCATATTTCCCCAAATCCAGAGCATTAAGCTGACACAGATTCAGGTACAGTCTCTTCTGTCCTGTGTAGTGTATACCTATAGTTCTCACGTTCTACGGACCAGTCATAGACCTGTAGTTGTTGCTCAAATGCAGCCGCCTTGGTGACAGTTCGTAGTACCCCAATAACAGGAAGTGGAGGCACAAAATGTCACACAGTTATTTAAAGGCAAATGTACCTCATACAGGAAGAAATTCAAACCTAAATACAAGCAAGTGGAAATACAAATAAGGTCCAATTTGAAAAATACATTTTTTGAATGGACCATTAAACAGAAAATAAAGGGTTGTCTCACACTAAGTTACAAGCTGAAAACTGAAAAGCTGCACTCCCTCTCGCGAGTGAAAACAGACTCCATTCAACCATATTATTTTGATTTAGAATTGCGTTTCTTTATTGTTTGAAATCTTAAACTAAAATTGTTTTTTCATGGCTTGATGAATGAGCTTCTTATTACAATATATCTATGGTCTTGTAGCACTTTTGGGGTAGTTACAGTTACATGCACTTATGCTCACGTTTCTTTCCATGTTTTGTTTTTGTAGGAAGGTGCCTCAAATATTACTATTCTGGGTCTTCTTCTCGAGTGCAGCCTGCCCAAGAGCTTTTTCAACAGTCCTGAGGTACTCTTCTATATTGTCTCTCTATAGTCACAATTGTTGATCATATCTGAGTTTGAGCCAGCCTAGAGTCGTATTTAAACAAGTAAAAGTAAAAATGAATTGCATTGTGAAGTTTGAGATGCCTTTTTGTTGTGAGAAACTAAAGACATTTCCCAAAACTTTATAATACACCACTGAATCTTGCGTCATACCACTCACTGGAAAAAGCTGAAGCATGAACCAATGCTATCTGTAATGTCACCAACGCCTTATGAAACCCTGAAAACAACACTGAAGGTTTGTCCTAGAATGTCTCAGATATCCCTGACCGAGAGTGTTGTTGGACTGGTGTGATGACCGCTCTCTCTGGGTCTCCCTCTCTGTCACCTCGGCTCGTCGCAGGTCTCACCGAAAGAAGCCGTGGTACCCTTAGCTTTTCAGGGATTAGGTTTGCTATCACAGGCCTTGAACGGCGGTGGCAGCGGGCCATTGCATCTGTCTGCAGGTTGTCAAATGGTGATTCACCCACTCGGCCTGACTCTGACCTTTACATGTGGGCTGCAACTGATCTGCTGGTTTCACAGGGGTGTCGAGGTGTGTGAGGGAAGGCCTCTCTAGTGCTTTACTCATCTTAAACTCTTCACTTCGCCATTCCTCCGCTGTGGTATATCACTTTGAGGTTCCCATTTCTATTATGTTGAATCCTTTGTCTGTTTGTTCTATAATGGAGCTGCTAGTTTAAGACATTTTAGATTTTAAATATTGCATTTTTTTGTTCAGTTTGACTGGCCAATGGAAGATTGGATGTAAGATCAAGGAGGAAACAGAAGTTATTCTGTGTTTTATTTGTGACAAGTTTGGTTATAGCTCATCTTTTGCATCTGCAGTTTTGTGTATATCTGTTGGTTGTTTTTGTGGGCCGGAACTGGACCGAGATGTGTTTTGAAAACTATTTGACAGATGTTTTACTAATTGCGTTAAAATTCATAAAAAAATTGGTTTTCCTGAGTTTATTTCAAAAGCGTTTTAAGTATTTACCCGATATGTAGGTTTTCCTCTGATCAGTTGGTCTTAAAGAGGAAACGGTTCTGAAAACTGTTTGTCAACCATTGAATCAACACGTCAGTTGGGTAAAATCTCTCCCTGCTCATGGACTATTCCAATCACTCACCTCAGGCTGGAAGCTACGCTCCAGCTGGACCATCTTTCACTAAGAACAAAAGCAATTTCCTAAATTGTGACTTCACAATGGAAATACAAAGAATTTGTGTTCATTAACATGCACTGTCACAAAAAAATAAACAATGAATAATGAATAAATGTGTATGACCCTGTGTGTTTACAGGGCTCCTGTTTGCACAGCGAAGAGCGGCTCAGTCTTCAGATCAACCTATCGGCTCGTGGGGACCGCCCGGCCGACCTGGAAAAGCTCAAACCATATGTCATTGAGCACATCCTGGTGCTGCTGGTGGCACACGGGGCAGGCCTGCTCACTGCAGGTGGGCTTCAAAGTCCTCACCAATGTCCAGTTTTAGCAGACATAAACAAAATACATTTCTCTTCTTTGTGCAGCTGAATCAAAGTTAGGAGTTTATATATTAAACTCGGGAAGCAAAAGGCTCGACGTGAAGGTGAGGATGTGGTGATTGAGTGGATGATTATCAAAAATGTGACTTGACTCAATGTTTTCTTATTTCTAACCAGGACATGCAGGTGCTCTCCAAAGTGGAAGCCAGCCTGGATATTAATCAGGCTTTACTGAGACCTGAAGCAAAAAACTTAACTCAAGTGGCTACACTGTCCTGCAGAGGTGACGTCTATTATTATGACGTTTTAACAAAAGCTCTGTTTTTGTGTTAATGCTGACCTGTTTATTTGTATTAATAGGTTCAGTGCCGGGCCACGGGCGGAAGTGCATTAGTCATGTCAGTTTAGACATAGTGGGAAATCAGACCCTGGTTTACCTCCCAGGACTACATATCACACACAGGTAAGTTACCACCCCAATGAAGGATCCGGTTTCACCATTTCCATGTTGCAAATATCTTGTTTTTTGTTTCAATGTGCTCCAACTTGAGTGTAGGAGCAAAAAGATTTTTTTTTTTATGACGAACATACCCACACAAAAGTGTGTGTGTGTGTGTATCAATGTAATCAAAATTGATTTGGGATATTGTATGGTAATGACACACATTTTCAAGCAAAGAGAGAGACCACATGGCTCAAAAAAAGGGCTTTGCATATTTTTCTTTCATCTTTTCATGTGTTCCATGCGCTGGCTTGCAGCTTGAATAGTTTTTTATGTGTGTGTTGCTGAAGGAGCACAGAGGAGGTGTTCCAGGTGAAACAGACTGATGCGGAGCGGGTAGAGTTGTGGTTCTCAAACCCCCTGTCTGTGCCGCTGACTGTGACCAACGCCACGCTGTCGCAGAGGTTCAACAGTGCACTCAAGGTAACGCTCGTCTATAATGGCTTGGTCCATGTGCAGAGATACAGAAAATATCCATCCAGTGCTTCTATGGAATGGCAGCAAATGTAAAACTTTGTACATTGGTCAACTGAACTACTAATTATATAATGGATGAGGTTCTTTTGGAATCTTCATTAGCCTTTGCTACATCCAATCAATTATGTTAATCTATTCTTTAGGCTCTATTCTGTTTTGTAAAAAATGGTGTGGAACAGTTTTTTAAATAGATATCTTGATTAAAACTATTCTTCAGATCCTAGATTAGCTGTTTCAGACTAATTTTAGTAGGAGACTGAATTTAAAAAGTAATTGCTGGTCAAAAGTGGTTTTCTTGGAAAGTTACATGCTTTTTACATTATTATAATAATAATAATGCATCAGTTTTGTATAGCGCTTTTTTGGACACTCAAAGACGCTTTACATGTCATTATTCTTTCACTCCATACACGGTGGTGATAAACTACTACTGTAGCCACAGCTGCCCTGGGGCACACTGACAGAAGCGAGGCAACCAGTATGTGCCATCGGCCCCTCCGACCACCACCAACCATTCATACACACCAGACTCATTCTAAGCAATGGGGGTGAAACTGTCGCCCTTTACCATTATGTTGGTAATTTCACCAATGTATTACTTTTTTGGTAGATTTTTTTACTTTTTGTGTTGATTGAACTATAATAAAATTGAGATCAGTCATAGTGTAGTTTAACTGCAACAAAATACATGTTGAGTTAAAAAAAAATTGTCATCTTTATTGTTTGCTTTACATTTTTGGCTTTAACATGTCATGGTTGCAATATTACATCAATTCTTCCAGTTAAGCATAGTAATATTAAACTACAATTAAAACAAACTTGTAGGCAAGTCACTTTTAGGTGATGGTTATACAAGTTAAAGAAATGAGTTTTTGTACTTTATCAATCATTACATATTATTCATTGTCTTGTTTTTTTTCCATTTAAAGTACTGTAGGAGCTGTAGTAACCTGAAGTTAAGTGACAACATTCTATTTACCTTTGCTCCCCTCTTGTGTCCAGGTGGTTAACTTCAGCCGCCCAGTTTCAGTTCCTCCGGGCTGTTTTCATGTGCTGTCCCTCCAGCTGCTCCACAAAAGCCTTTTGCTCAACCAAGTGTTCACCCTGAGCCTGAACACCAGCCAGGGACCAACGCTGCACCTCCCACTGTACTTCCACTCCACTTTCTCCAAGGTAACTTCACAACTGCACTCACTTCAGAGGAGTAAGATTAAGAAATACATTATTCGTTCCACAGTGGGGAAATTTCAGTGTTGCATCACAAGTTATAAAACAGTAGGAAAGAGGAGCACACGGCGCAAGATAAGTGAACAATAGCTATAATAATAAAAATAAAACAAAATCTCTAACTCTAGCATCAATATCAAGTAAAAAATCTCTATCTTAAAAATAATAATAAAAGAAGTGTAAAAGTTTAACATTTGGCAAAATAAGAGGCAATTATAAAGTACTGTGTATTCTAGTGCAAGCAAGGTGTAATTATATGTTAGCATCTGTACATTAGCAGCAGTATGTTTACATCTGTGCATTAGCAGCAGTATGTTTACATCTGTACATGTTAGCAGCAGTATGTTTACATCTGTACATTAGCAGCAGTATGTTTACATCTGTACATTAGCAGCAGTATGTGTACATCTGTGCATTAGCAGCAGTATGTTTACATCTGTACATGTTAGCAGCAGTATGTTTACATCTGTACATTAGCAGCAGTATGTTTACATCTGTACATTAGCAGCAGTATGTTTACATCTGTACATTAGCAGCAGTATGTTTACATCTGTACATTAGCAGCAGTATGTTTACATCTGTACATTAGCAGCAGTATGTTTACATCTGTACATTAGCAGCAGTATGTTTACATCTGTACATTAGCAGCAGTATGTTTACATCTGTACATTAGCAGCATGAGGCTAGGAGACACAAGGACTCGGTAAAGTGACAGTGACATGTGGTTATTGCACATTCTGATATAAGTTAAGGATATTGCAACGATGCATGACACGTGGGATCAAGTTGGCAGTGTTCACCCCTCAATACAACAAGTTTTTTCTATAAAACAATAGTAAAAAAAAAATAGATTTTCTTGAAAACCTGAAAACAGTGTCCAACAAATGGTTGGACACTGTGAAACTGAGACTCTAGTTTACTTTAATTAAACGAAGGAACAATGTCTACAAAGAGAAATTCCAAAGTCCGCCCAACTTTTCCATGGTAAATATGAAGGAGGGTATAGCTGGTGTCTGGGGATTGGATCTATTTGACTGTATAATATGCATGTTATGAATATTTGTAAGTCTCTCTTTAAGGACTTGTAATGATGTAAAAAAAAAACTCCATGTGGTACCCTATGAACCTTTTTAGCAAATTTTTGTACTAAACTTTATATCCAGGAGTTTGATGGTTCTATTTTATCAGTAGGCTTGACAAAAGATGAAAATTGTAGTAAAATCCAGTTGAAGTGAACAATAGTGTTGTTTGTGTCCTTTCTCAGCAGGGCGGTGTGCTGTTTGGTGTAGAGCGAGAGTGCAGCCGAACTTGTCCTCTCAAATTGTCTGAATCAGGTGACCCACAATACCCCAGGAAACATGAACAAAATAACATGTTTACTTGTCTTAACACTTTTCTGAACTGCGCGTCAGGTCGCTCAGAGTGGCAGCGCTCACTCCTTCCAGACTTCTTCCCCTCTTCTTGGGATGTAGACAGTAAACTGGCCTCAGAGCTGTGCTCGCGATGGCACAGACACAGAGACAAGCCACCATGCAGGTTTGTGCATTGTGTTTTTCTTCCTAATATGAATTTTTAATATCCATAGTCTGACCCTCATGTTATTTTATATGGCCCTTTGTTTCGATAACTCAAGCTAGCCATTGAGTTCACATAGTCATCCAACTAAATTACAACTCTGCCAATATAGACCAAGCGTGTTGAAAAACTCAGAACCCAATCATTTAGTCCAGTCAGTGACTTGTTCTCAGTGAGTTGTCATTCAGCCAACTTCAGCTCCATCAAACATGAATCATTATGGACATGCAAGTCTGGTTACTTTCTTACTACCTTTCTTACTACCCTTGGTTTAGATGGCCCAGGCTTCCTGTGGAAACGTCCTCCCCATTGGACTTTGGTGCAACACCTGTCAATGAAAGCAAGGTATGCACTTTATTCTACCTTTTATTCTACGTTCCAATAATAATTAGTTCAGCAAATTTGCTGAAACTCGAATGAATGAACTGAATGAATTAATGAATAAGTCATTTAAATGCAGTAATCGGTAATTGTCTTTTAAAAAGTAGAGCAATGCGTTAGGTCGACTAATGAATTTGTCTCACCTTCCAGGTAAAAACCTTTGTGCTAAAGAACCCCTCCTCCTCAGTAGTTGCTGTAGAGATTCGCATTCTCTCCTCATACCCTGCTCCCCTAGATGCTTTGGACCTCCTTACAAAATGGTAACACTCAGTAATCGGTTTTGATATTATCTGACATTAACTTTGTTTTGATGTGCAGGTTTAATATCAGCCCATTGTCTGTAAATATCAGTACTGCAGAATTCTCTCTGTTGGCAAGTACACCAAAGGTACTGCTCTGAAAAAAAAACAACAACAAAAACACAAACGTTCTGCATGTGTCTACCTCTGTATTAATTCTTTGATGTGGACTTCCAGTACACAGCCAATGTACGTGGCCTGAGTGGGGAGAGCGTGCTGCGTCTACTGCTGCAGCCATGGGAATCCAGAGAGGTTGCTGTGGTCTACACTCCGTCTGAACACAAGCCCACAACTACCATTCTCATCATCAGGAACAACCTGACAGTGTTCGACATGGTGACAGTGAGGGGCCACGGGGCCAAAGAGCTGATCCGAGTGGGGAGTAAACTGCCTGGACCTGGGGCTTCACTGAGATTCAACGTCCCCCAGTCCACACTGATGGAATGCCAAGATGGTACATTTACATTTACAATAGTACAATGTGCTTTTCTATCCAAGGCTATGTTCACACCATACATGACCTGATCTTGCTGGAGACCTCCTGTAAAAAATAGAATTTGGATGTGTGTGGAAGTATGTACTGGACTGGGCTCTGACTTGGTTTTGTTTTTAAATGGTAGGCCTGCGGAACAACAAGCCACTGTTTGCCATCAGGAAGAGCTTCAAAGTGGAGAATGCAGGAGAGCTTCCCCTGACCGTCATGTCGATGAACATAAACGGCTACAAGTGCCAGGGCTTCGGCTTTGAGGTGCTACAGTGTAACTCGTTCAGACTCGACCACAACGCCTCCTCAGAAATAACCATTGCGTAAGTCCACTCAATACCTCATACTAAAATACCTTTTGAGGCTGTAGTTTGGAAGAAAAGCAGCAAAATATCTAGATTCTCTTAGCTACTGAGGTCTAATGGGCTCGTTGCAGACACAAATGCCAGGGTACAAATCTAGGATAAATGCCTCATCATAGCTACAGAATAGGAATTCTAGGTAACTTGCTTTTAACATGTAAATTGAGATGGGGGATCATGATGAACCACTATAGTTCATAAGTCACTTACAATCTGAAGTTAAAATGTCACAGACTCAACTCAACGTTATAACTCATTGGCTTACAGCTTTAAAAACCTGCAAACATCTCAGAAAATAAGAATATTTAGAAAATGAACAAACAAGCAAAAGCTTGGATCTGGTTATATATTTGTCATTGAAGTATCAAGAAATTGATTAATTGATTGATTTGAATGTGTTTGTACCTTAAATCAATCAATTAATCCTTGTTGATTGCACTCACTTTATAATTATTGGGTCTCTGGTTTTCCTCAGGTTTACCCCAGACTTCACGTCGTCCTGGGTGATCCGGGACCTGACGTTGGTGACAGCACGGGGCACCTCGTTCCCCTTCACCCTGAACGTGACCCTGCCCCACCACATGCTGCCTCTATGTGCCCAGGTAGTACCCGGGCCCAGCTGGGAGGAGAGCTTCTGGCTGGTCACCCTCATCTTCACCTGGTTCGTACTGCTAACTCCAACTGATTGGTGTGTGATCGCTGTCCTATGATATGAACTTTTCTTTCTCTCGCAGCTTCTCTCTGTTTGGTGTGTGCTTGATGGCTTTCCATCAGGCTCAGTACATCCTCAGCGAGTTTTCCACACCAAGCAGCAGGAGCAACCATAACCCTGCTCCACCCCGAGACAACGGCACAGTCAACATCACGCCCAACGGAGTGAAGTATGGGCTCTTAACAAGCTTTTGTTTTGTATTGTATATAATAGATATATTGTTACTAATCCATCGCTGCCATTGATCTAAATATTTTTGCTGCAAATTGTGGTAATTGGCAGTTGTTTATTTGTGTGCAGTAAATCCAAGGGCAGCTGTAAAAGCTACGTGGACTCGTGCCACCCCTCTGACAAAGGAAAAGGTCGAGGATCTCCTGCTCTGGCCAACTCTCCTCCACAGAGACCTCCGTCCTCTAAGAAAACTTCCTCCTCCTCTGCCCCCTCCCAGACCCAGAAGAAACCCAAAGTGTCCCTGTACTACTCAAAGTACAAGTATAACCCAGCCCCCACGGCCACTGTGAGCATGGAGGAGACAGAGGAGACAGAGGAGATGGAAGATCTGCTCCCGGAGACTCCCTCCAGTCCTGAGCCCGACTCCATGGAGCCAACCTTCCTGTGCGAGAGCCAGTACACAGAGACCAGCGCTGCGGAGGCCCCGGCAGTGCTTATGTTTCCCATGGAAACGCCTGCTAGCTTCCCTGACAACGTGACTGTGAGCGCAGGTCCTCGTCCCGGACTGCTCATGTGCACACCCGTACAGAGCTTCACACCAACGTACGACAAGATGGCGAATGATCCAAGAGAGCGGGATGAGCATGAAGTAAGAGGAGCCACTTCAGCTGCAGCTTGCCATGATGCCGTAAATGTGGTCATCTGCACAAGTCAATCACTAAAAGTGTTTTAGAAATAGCCATAAAAATATAATCCCATTAGTATATTCAAATGTATGCAGCCTCCTCGTATCTTCACAACTGCCAAATTATTTCATTCTGAACTGGAAAGAAAATGGAAAATACTGAGAACATAAAAATTGTGTTCCAGCTCTTGTTCAAAGCATGTCATTGAAGACATGCTTTGAAAATATGAGTTTACAGTTGTAGGGTTCACATAAGCCTTTCTCAATTAAAATCTAAATCAAATCCATTTTTGTCCACAGCTCAGAGCAGATGGAAAAGTCCCGAAAAAGAAAGTTCAGTGTGCAGAACTGGCCACTGCACCAGGGAATAAGGGAAAGAGGAGCCGCAAAAAGACTGAAAATGGCTCAAGGTAAGTTATCTTGCCCAATGTCAGGGATTAAAGAGTTCCGTCTAGGTGACGGATTTCCGTCAAATGAAATTGGTCTGGAAAAAAAAAAAAAAAATCTATATATATATATATATATATATATATAATGATAATAATACACACAATGAAATGATTGATTTATAAAAATAATATATAGTAATACATATACGTGTGAATCTGTTATATATATATATATCGATGTATAATAATAATTTGAATATAATTGTATTTATATGTATATAGAAATAATAAGTAATATAATGACGAGTGGGCCTTGAACGTGCCGTGGCCACATGAGCGCTCCGCAAATGAATCAAGGCAATGGGACGTAGCTGAGCTCACGCGCAAATGAAGACGCGATGAAGTTAGCATTGGTAACACGGAGGTGAAAGTTTCTGGAAACTGCACGGAGCTTTTGAAAAGGAGAAGAGGAGGAAAATTGAATCTCGAACGGAGCAATAACAGCAGCAGATCCGCGGACTGGTAAGCTGGGCGCGTACTAGAGGAAAGGTAATTAACGTTTACCAAACGCAATGCTATTTTACTTAACGGAATGTACAAAACGGACTTTGCTGCAACTGGGAATGGGGACAAACATGTCTTGGTGAGCTTTTGATATTGTCTTGTTTGCGATCTTCTTGCAAAACTCAGCGTGATGTAAAAGAGCCAATCAATGAGTCATGGTTCGAAAAGATGAGAGTGGCCGGTGCTTGTGCGTACTTTGCCATAAAAAATTGCATATATGGGAGTAATGAGAAAAAAGTTTTGATTCGCCACCAGCTCAAAACTGCGCACAAGGCAGCTGTTTGTGCACTTTCCCACACTTCATCTTTACCTGGTGCATCAGCAACAACTAACACTAGGCTTGCTCTGGCAGACCGTGTCTGTGGCTTTATCGCAGAAAATAACGTTCAGAATATCACTACCGCTGGTAGATTTATTTAAATCATTTGCAGTTGATCGAAGTGCACTGTGCACTCAAACTTGATAGGGAAACCTTTTTCTTAAATATTGACGTGTCCACAAACAAATGTGGACAGAATTTTATCGTCCTTTTGCGATATTTTGACGAGGACAGAGCCAAAGTGTTGACGCTCCATATCGCCTCAAGTAAAGCTACTCTCACTAATATTCTGTCAAAAAGTTTACTCGTTTCTTGATCCACTTATATTTCATATCAAAATACACTGTATATCTTTGAAGAATTCATTTGAGCTGTATTCAATATACAATCTATTATACAATAATATATTGTAATTAAAAATATAACTTGGTCCTGCATATTACTGTGATTTACATGTGATAAATTTCCATGCAAAAATTTTCAGTCAAATCTTTTTTTTTTTTGCTTTAACCCCTGCCCAATGTGCAAATGTATGATTTTTTTTTTTAAGGGGTTGCTCTGGGTGTGTCCTGGGATTAATAATGACACATAACCTGTTGAGAGTGCAATGACATGTGCAGTTTTATTTCATTACAATATAATACAAACGAGCTGAATGAGGTCATTAATATCTACCCACCTCAATGAAAATCTAGGCCCAAGGTGTGACAATTTAAACATTTGCCTCAAGCCGCCTGGTTGTAAGAAGTAGAAGCCTATATAATGACCTATGTTTACAATGAGTCTGATGCACTCACAATCTCCCTTAACTGCTCCACAGCGCTCCTGAAAACAGCGTGATGACTACAGAGAGGGAAAGGGAATCCGAATGGAAGAATGGCAATCACAACAGTGCAGCACGCAGCAGGAACCGCAGCGACTGCAAACCTGAAGCACCAAAGACGGGGCCGTGTGCAGAGAGTCCCCTCAAACTGAACGGTAACAATATATTACAACCAAAGTATACAGTTATTGTATAGTATCTTTACTGTTATGGCAATCAGATGTCCTCCTATGAAGGACCAAAGTGGAAACCCTTGTGTGTGTGTTCCAGGCGTATGTCCTAGTCGCTCTCGGCGCAGAGGCCCTTCTGACCGGCGCACTGGTCCTTGTGAGTCCGGCTCAGAGTCCGGCAGCTCCTCTGGCAGTGTGAGGGCCAGCCGAGGCAGCTGGGGTAGCTGGAGCAGCGCCAGCAGCATGGAAGGAGACAAGGACCCCAGCGGACGAGTGCACACCTGCCCTACCTCAGCCACAAAAAGTATGTGCCCTCCTGAGACTTTTGCATATAATGTTTGATACCATAGAAGGGCCTTTCTGTAGATTAAGAAGTCTGTTCTGACCAATTCGATTTGACTTTCTATCTCCATGGAGTCATGCATGTTACGTCGGGCTGTAACAGGTTAATTGATTAATTGCATCTAATCGATTTATGAAGTGAGTTGACAACTATTTCGATAGACTTTATTTTTAACTTCTCAAGGCTTAACATGCTGAGAAGAGGTTTTATGATTCCAATAATTTGATAATGATTGCAGAATGAAATTAAAATGTATTTACAAACTTTCAGGGGCATCACTTGAGAAATTTAGAAAAAAAATCCTTTATTCTCTAGCCTCTTTGGAATCTAGACAACTAATCTATTTATCAAACGAATAATATACTAAGTGACTATCAATACATTACATACATACCTATTCCATAAAGTTGCATAGTTAAAAATACTTTCATGCATCTTAAAAAAAGAGAAGGAAATAAGGCAAAAAAAAACTTTTAAAAAGTAACATGTACATTACAAAATGCACTGAAATGTTCTTTCTAGTAAGTACCACTACAATGTGTTTTTGTTTTCAGAGGAATCCATGCAATACAGCACTTACCCATCAGACAGAGAATACCAGACAATGAATGCAAAAGCTTTCAGGTAGCAGTTAATCTCCAGCGCTCTCATTGCGGCCAACATGGTTCTAATAATTAAATGTTTTCCTCCTTCAGCACAAACACATTGTATGTAAAAGACATGTGCCAAAGTTCAGAGCCCCCAGTGCCCAGCTTTAACCCCAGTTTTGCTGCGGTGACTGCCGGAGTGGACAGGAATATGGGTATGTTTACCTGTATACGTTTTAAAATGTATTTGTTCTGTGCTCAGGACGTTTTTTTTTTTATGTTTTCTGTCTGTGTGGTCAGAACTGTGTGGCCAGTATGTGCCTGAGGAGACGTGGTCCCCTCCATCCATGCCTCTAACCAATGAGTTCAGATACAACACCACAGAGGCACTGCCCTACATCCCCCAGGCTTTTGCTCCCACCACATACAACGGGTATTCTTCCCTTTTAACTGGCTTTCTGTGGGTTTTTGTTGATCTGGCACTCACTGTTGTCTTTGTCACAGGTTTACGTGGAATAGTGCCAACAACCACTGCAGCCCGTACGCATACTGTGAGGACAGCGAGTACATAGGTGAGTGGGGGGGCAAGATTCTTTTGTCAATCAAATCTGTATCAATGGTAAAAAATTTGGTTTGAAAATGAATGTAAGTTAAATTTAAAAAATTATTCATATCACCTTTTTTATGGTCCCCTTCGGATAATCATTCAAAATATTGATTTAAAAATATGTATACAGTTTTGAATTAAGCCAGGTTATTTTAGGGTGAGTAGATTTCAAATCTAAATTTGAAAATCACATTTGCCAATAGAACGTGCAATTTCTGACATAATTGATTCTTAGTTGTGTGTGTGAAATTGTAGAAGGTACAGTTTTATGCTTTAAAATAAAAATAAGATAACTTGTCTTATCAAAGAACATTTTTTTATTAAATTTTAATTACATAAAAGGCTTAACATTTAAAATTGTGAAATGGCTGTTGGTATTTGGTGCATCCAATTATGTCTTTCTTCTGTAAAGCAAACATTCCATTGATTTTGCTACGTGCGTGTGGCTTTATAAAACATGTTTGTGGTGTAGGTAATGGGACTTTCCCCAGTGGATACCCAGTGGGTCAGGACTGTCACAGTGTACAGAGTGTCCAGAGTCCTCAGAGCAGCTGGTCGGAGGAGCAGCCCCAGAGCGCTCCACAGTCCTGGGAAACTGCAGCTGCCTGTGTGGGCACAAAGGTGAGGCACACAGACACACACATTTTAGATTATATTTTATTGAGGAAAACAAATAAACACGACAGAGGCACAGCACAACAGGGCCTTGCCGGGTTTCCTCCTTGTGCTTTGGTTTCCCTAGCTGTACAATACTAGCTGTATTTTGTCCCATTAAATCTGGGATACCCATCTTAATCACAAATACGTTCTGTTTGAATACTGAAATGTGAATCTACATGCTAACAGTGACTTGTGTCCACAGCCGTTCTTCTCCGGGACCCGCAGCCTGTCTCCCATGTCTAGTCTGTTTGGCTCCATCTGGACTCCTCAGAGCGAGCCGTACCAGAACCACTTTCACCCTGAACGCTCGGCACCAATCTCCCCCGTGTCCCCGGTCACTCCGCCCCACTCGCCCTTCACCAGGGAACCCCAGGGTCCCTGTGGCCCCACCCAGTACCCTGGCTTCAACCCCTTTGGCCCCCACATGAACCTGGACATCTGGAACTCCTCCTCCAACCGCAGCTCCAACTCTCAGCTGTCCAACGACTCTGGTTACTGCGGCGACGTCTAGACCACACCCTCATGTACACAACTATGCGCTACGCGGAGACGACAAATTTAAGAAAGGAAACAAAGTGAATGTTCTTTTATCGTTATTGGGGAAAATGTGAATATTCCTTCTTTTATGTTCCCATTTTCAAATGTTCAATGTTGTGAAAGGTTAAGCATTTGTTGTATATTTTTCTAGATGTTTTGCAGTTTTGATCATAGAAAAATAAAAAAAAATGTTTTTGTACTTGGTTTCTTTCTTTTAAAGCCCAAATCCGTTTGTATATATTATAGAATAAACTAGCTATCCAGATCATAGTTTCCATGCACTTTTTTAGGATGTAATAAAAACGCCGTGTATTGTTGTAAAATTGTGTGGTTCTGGCAGTGTGTGGAGCAGCGGCTCCTGTTGTTGCAATACTGACCTGGGGACCAGATTATAACTTTATTACTAAGAAATACACTTTATATTAGTAAGTAATGTTTGTTTATATAGCGCATTTTACTGACCAAGGTCACCTAAAGCACTTTACAATGTTCAGATATTGTTAAATTTATTCCACACACTGGACCATCAGCCCCCAATCAACACCATCCATGCACTCTCATTTACATTCATACCTATTGTACATGTTTTTAGTAGTAGGGGAAACCGGAGCACCCGGTGGAAACTTACGCAGACACGGGGAGAACATGCAAACTCCACTCAGAAAGGCCTTGTTCCGACCGGGACTCGAACCTTCTTGCTGAGAAGCGAGAGTGCTATCCACTCAGCCACAAGGGCGGCACAGTAGTCCAGTAGATGGCGAATAAAGACTATAGAACATAGCATATCTACATCTACTCAGACCAATAATTGCAAACCTTATTATATTTGAAATAATATATAACTAAATCCAAAAGTATGTTGAGCTCAGAATCTCAGATCCATGGTTGAGCTACATACATTTTTGGTAGGAACGGAACTCTGAAACAAAACAAAAAAAACTAAATTCAGTGCAACAAATGATGTGACACAGAGACCGGAAGTTTACAGTCACTTGACAGAAGAAGCGTGTTGGTTTGTGTGTTTATATGTCTGTAATGTTATTTTTCTTTGCCAAATCAAACGTCAACCAGTAATGGACCCGCGCGACCCTGCACGACATCCGGTATGTTCTGTCTCCTTTCATGTTGTGAATTTATGTACGCTCCTCTTTAGCACAGACATCCGTGAACCGCCTTAAGTGTGTGTCACTCACGAGGTTAGCGGCACTTCTCTTCACAAGCAAAGGAACTTGCTACACTTTTCTTTAGTAAGTATTTAGCACATATCCTCTGCGGTTTTTCATTCCTTCCCATGCTGAAGAAAATGACAAAAGATGCGGAGGTCTGGGATGGTGTCACAGCAGAAAATGTTATTGTTAGTAAAATCAAAGTGGGAAATGACAGACTTCTGCATACTCTTATAAGACAAGTTCAGTTTTAGCATAAATGCATCAAAAGCCTCGTAAAAGATCTCTATATTCCTCCTTACAAAAATACCGAGCATCATCAGTCCATTGGGTGGTTTTCATGCTTTCAAAACAGTCCATTTCTTATTCAGGTTGAATTCAATTTTTGTGTCGAGGTGTGAATCCTTCTTTGAGGTGTCTTTCATCCACCAGTTTCAGCTTTAGTATCTATATTCAGCAATCCAATTTGGTCCAAACTCTGTCCATGCCAAGAGTATTGTCTACTTTTCATTTGTGTCCATTTCTCAGCAGTTTAAAGGTGTATAGGAGGATTTGGCTCATCAAGACTATTGGTCCTCCTCTGCATCATTCCTGTGAAACGTGCTCGTCAAGACCAGAGAGAGTTTAGTTCAAAAAGTGGAGAGGCCGGTTCTTTCCTAAAATTTGGGAACATTTTCCTAATATACCTTTTAAACAAGACAAATCCAGGACAGCAGCTGCCACGGTTTAAAATTAGCTTTGATCTAAAAAAAAAAAAAAAAAAAAAACAGAACCTCAAGTGGGAAATTATCGACTTTTGCAGACTATTGTCAGTTTTTAACTTTAAAACATCCATGATAATTGGGTATGACATGCAGCCCCAGTTATGAAATAATGAATTATTTATCTTGATAATGCCAAATTTGTAGCCTTAAATCTCAATAGTCCTGGCAACTCAAATCCAGTCTAAGCAGCATTAAAACGTTTTTATTTTATTTGACTTGCCCTGTAAACGGAACGCAATGCAGAAACTAAACAAGTCAAGTCTTTTACGCTGTGGATTAATTTTTTAGACGCTGTTTGACATGTGATAATTTTGAAGGATTTGCATTGATTTGTCGCTTTGCTCTTTTGTCCATTCCCAGAGTGCTCCTGAAGCAGACTTGACGCGGAGCATGGATGAGGACTCTATGGTGGACGGCCCTCTGATCTCTGCTGATGCTCTGCACTCGGTCATCAGGAGGGAGTTCCAGTCTCTGCCCACACACGTCCCAGCGGTTCTGCTTTCAGTTCTACATGTGAGCTATGGACCAATGATCAGACAGTTGATGTCCATGCATTTGTTTTAGAATGTCATTTTGTCATGCTAATCTCACACTACCCGTTTCATCTTTCTTTTAATCTGTTTTTTTCTTTTGTCCGGCTTCCTACTTGCATACCCACCATACTCAACGATTACACACACTTACATTATACCAAATTAATATAAAATACCGGTATTCATTTGGTTACTTTTATTTCATATGGGCTCATATAACTTGATGAAATACCACTTTGGAAAAAATTCTCTCTTCACAATTTATTAAGTAACAAACATTCACTTTAACATGTTTTTTTTGTTAATGAAATGCATGTTTTTCTCTCCCCAGGTGGTGTATGTTATCTTGTCAATTGTGGTGACCATCATGTGCATCTTGGAAGAAGATTATGAAGAGCAGTGTCATGACATTTTGCAGTCTGTTGGAGGAGACGGAGCCATAGTGTTTGGTAAAGTCTTTTTATGGGCGCTTGTTTTACTGTTTACCATCTGTGTCAAATACCACCACCGGCAAGTAAGAAGCAGAGGCTACCTGAGATTCTACAGACGTGTGCAAGAAGTTATCCACATGCCCCTTGTTTTTCACTCTGGAGGTGAGTCTGACTACCACAAGAGGGCAGCATCAAGGACTGAATGACATGATCCTGTTGTGTTTCTGCAGGCAATGCTCTGCTGCTGTGGATTCTGGCTGCGAAAATGCCACAGAAACTGAAGACGTACCTTGTACTCGCTGTTTTGGTCGTGGAACTTCTGGTTGCATTGCCGTGTTTGATGTACTATACAGGTAAAATACTCAATTCATGTGGAATATTATCCTTTTAAACCACACATTTTTTCAGCTAGAGGCAAATGCAATGAGGGGCATAGTCTAATAATAATAATAATAACAATAGTAATAAGTGTTTTATACAGAACTGATTTGAATCCTCAAAGATGTTTCACATGGCATGAGCTACGACCATAGGGCATCCATCGGCCCCTATGACTAATAATAATAATGCATTGGTTTTATATAGCGCTTATTTGGACACTCAAAGGCGCTTTACATGTCATTATTCATTCACTCCATACACAGTGGTGATAAACTACTACTGTAGCCATAGCTGCCCTGGGGCACACTGACAGAAGCGAGGCAACCAGTCTGTGCCATCGGCCCCTCCGACCACCACTAACCATTCACACACACACCAGAGTCATTCTAGGCAATGGGGGTGAAATGTCTTGCCTAAGGACACAACAGCAGTTTGGCACTTTACAGCCGCAGCTGCCCCACTGTGGGTGAATGTGGGTAATGTGTCTTGCCTAAGGGCACAACAAAAGTTTGGCACAGCCGCTGATTAGCGTCAGATTACATGTTAAATGTATGGATAAATATGTCTCAAGGATAAAGAAAATCTTGTTAAACCTGATGTCTACCACCAGAAGGAGTTGCTGAATTTCTCTTTTTTTTTCACTATCAAACATTACATTCTGCAAATACAGCCTTTGTGTTGTAAAGAAGCATCTGAGCGCCATAGTGTAAGAATTGTCATGGACGTACTTGGATTTATCTGCGTTACCAGATTCTGAATTGTTCTAACTCATTATGTAATGGTTTATAATCCAATCACTTAAGTGGTAAGTGTGTCCATCTTTGGGGAAAAATATCAAACAAGTAATTTCCCTGGAGAGGAATAAAAACTCCTAAAAGGAAGCAGACAAGCGGTTCTCGCTGTAGCTGTTGATGAGGTAGAAGCTGAAGCGTGCTGTCTTCTGCAGTCCGATTTTGATATTGTACATTTTGTGGCATCATGCAACCTTTTATGCCCTACTGGATGTGGGATGTCAGCTGTGCTTTATGGCCAGACACACCCCACAGATTACATTCTACCCCCACATATGTGGGAGCATTCGCATCACAATACCTGCCCTGCCCTTTTCAGAGCTGACAGCATGACAATCAGCCTTTCAGCCCCAATCTGCTGATCGCTCTACTCTGCAAACAAACTTATTTGGATCAAAACTACTGCTGTATTTCCTTGATATTGTGTGTTGAACACGAGACCTAATTGATTTACTTTAGCTTTGCTGAAAACTATATTTTTCGAAAGATAAGTTAAGTCCATGGGTAAAGCGGTCATGCATAGAAGGGGACCTCTGTCACTTGGGATTATTTAACAGTCAAAGCACAGTAGCACAAGGTTTTACTGCTCAGAATACTATTGTAATTATTGTAATTTGGCAGCTTTAAAAGCCTTCTTACTAATTATTATACCGCAACAAAATGAATCAAAAATACAAATCCATGTAACTAATTCTTGGCTCTAAATTAGTTTAGTTTAGTTCTATGCAGAGACCTGCTCTCAATCAGCCAAAAAACGTCAAATGGTGACACAGGTGTCCCTATCTTGATTAAAGGTAGGAACCCCAGCTTTAATTGCTGTTACATTACTTTATTGCATATGACTGTTGACTTTGACTGCTTACTTCAAATACTTGAATTTTGTTGTAATCGAATGTGAGCCATTCAATCTCCACTTTCCCTAAGGGGGCAATATAATATTATGGCTTACATTGTTTCCGGCTAATTCACAGCAGTTGTCACATGTCTCCAGATATCATGTTTTTACCAGCTAAAAGTGTTGAATTTTCAGCAGGAAAGTATAGGATAGAGGGATGTAGTTGTAAAAGAATGTAGCAGAAAGGAAATCCATATTACACCTGTGTTTGGCAGCTGAAGGGCACAGATTAATCCTTGAAGATACCAGGGGCCAAACAGGGGAGATAAGAGGCCTTATGCATTAGCTTAGCCAAAGGGGAGCACCCCAGCACTCCACCCAAGCGCAGGGAGAGACACTCGCACACACTCACATTGTCCTTGTGTTTACAGTGAGGGGACAGCCATGTGAAAGGGGGGGTTCTGCTCTCTACGCTCACATTCCACTTCAGATCAGGGCACTCAGGCACGGCCGAGTCCAGTGACGCCTGGCAAACTATTTAAAGCCCGAGTAAAATGTGTGTACACTACGAGCTGGGTCAAGATGACGTCACAGCCAGTGAAGATGGCTGCGCAGCTCCAGGGCAGACACAGAGGCAGAGGTTGGGGGGCCTGCAGCTACGGTCCCATCCAGGAAGACCTCGTTCTGCGGCTCTTTGAAGTGCGTGTGTGTGTGGGCGACGCTGTGGCCTCGGCTCTATGTTTGCAGCTTACTCATTTGAACATGAATAGTGCGCTCCGTAGAACTCCACGCACTTCAAAGGCCACGTCCTGCTCATCAAAGGCCCCCCAACTCATAATGCATGTATCTGTGCCAGCCGCTCTGAGCCGCCGTCAGCACTGCAGGGCACGTGCTCGACGCTCATTGTCACGTACAGACACAAGGAAAGTTATCGCATACTTTTAGTCTAGATGTTTTACAGTAGCAGCGCTTGGAAGGCCTCTAACATTATTGTGTCATGGTTTTAAAAATACTGGAAATAGTAGTGAGTCTAATAAGCTGGGGTATGTAACTCCTCCCCCAGTAAATAATAAATTTAATTTTCAGCAACAGAAAGAGACTTGCAAAAGCTAAGTGGACAGGTCAGACCATAACTAATCTACCTCTACCGGTCTACCTCTTAAGAAAACATTTTATCTTTTTGTAAGATAAAATGAGCCCTGGGAGGTGCTATTGGAGGCTTTGGGCTGAGAGCTGATTGGCGGAGAGAGGGTAGTCCTCACTTTTTCACTTTTCTGTCTGAAAAACCTGACATGACGGAGGCCAAAAATACATGCATGTGAAACTGGTGATAGAATCAAACTTGTGAGATGGATTACAGTACATTGTTATGACATAAAATGCGGAGGTCTGAGATCGTGTCTAAGCAAAAGTCATGTTTTATCCGTTTTTCCTTCTACTTTGACCTTCAGATAACCACAACAAAACTTCCATAGATCATTTTTTGAGGAAAAAAAAGTAAGTAGGAAGAAAGTAGGAATCCCAACTTCAATAGTCATAATAAGTAGATTTTCTTCTGCACATCATTAAGAATAAATGTTTTAGTACTTACACACACAGTACTACCACACTAACAATAACGTTATGATTTGTGTGGACAGTGGTTTTCGCGAACTGGACAAACATAATTGCATCAAGTGTGTCATAAAAGATCCATACTAGTTTGATATCTCTGGTTGACAGTCTTAAAATGACGTCTGTAATTACTCTTACGAACTGAAAATCAAACTCAAATTTTGACAATCTCCCTTTGATCACACATAAATTTGCCTGATGATTTTTATTCAGTTTCATTTTCTGACTTTACCCTACAACTTAAGAACCCGACTGTAGTTATTGGCACCTTTTTTTTTTTAAAGGTTTTTGTTGATAACCATGTGGAAATGTGCAGTTTTTGAAGGCGACAGGACTGGTCTGAGCACTGTCTGTCCGGTGTGGGACCTCTGGGACTGTTCCTATAGCAGAGATGCGTGAAATGTGTCACTTCTTTTATACTGCTCCATCCATCATTCCATCCATCAATCGAGTCTTCCTGGGATCTTTTTGGCCCCACTGTTACACTGCGTTAAAGACTTCCTACGGACCAGACTATAGGCCTCAGTCACGTGACACAACTCATCAAAGACTCCGGAGCAAAAGATATTTTTGACGTGTATTTTCAAACAAGCAAATATGTTTTTACTCACTCTCAAATTGGGGAACAACATTTTATAATACACAGTTGCATGTTTTGCGGTTTAAAAGCGAATTACCCCAGCTTTAATTTCTGTCAATCCATCAGGCCTTGCCACAAGCACACACAAAATACTGCAGAGAAAGGAAAACAAGGCAGCGGCGATTGCACCCGTTCATGGTGCATAAGAACAGACATGTTATTGCTTGAGATATAAATGACTCTTGCTTAAGATATAGATACTGTAGTAACAATGTGGTTAAAGCAAAAGCGTTCAGTTCTTCAGATAATCTTTTAGCGGTAATACAGATGTACACAATATATGGGTCTGGTTCCAACATTACCTAACAAAAGATGTGTAATGTGAACTGTGTATTATCAAATTGAGTTCCTCCCTCTGAAAACTCTTACCTGCAGTACTGTTCAGAATCTGAACAAAAATATTGTGAATGCTTGAAGCCAAATAATTATTACTACATCCTAGTAGGTTTTTAAATATACCAACTAAAATATAGGTTAATTTTTTTTAATCAAACTATTGTCTATTGGTAAACTTAATTGAATTCCAAGTCTTAAAGCTAGGTTATTTATCTTTTTGGTTTCATAAATACCTTATCAGAAATCCATATTTTCCATATTTTGCCTACTTTGAGCTTTGAGCTGAGAGTTGATTGGCTGAACGAGGGTGGTTCTCTTTTTTTTCTTTTTTTTTTTTCTCAAAAATCTGATCCAAAGATGTAACAGACTCTAAAAATTCATGCATGTTAAAAGTAGTGATAGAACTGAATTGTTTTGAGACAAGGAACATTTAATAATACAAAGTTCCATATTTGTCCTTAAATGTCTGTACAGCCCTTTTCACAAGCGCCCAAATATAATTACTCTGAAATAAAACTAGTTGTAACAAATGAATACAACAGTTTATACAGCTGGGCCCGTCCTTAGACAAAAGATATAATTGTTCACACCAATGCTTCATAGTACATGTTTCGATTTCTGAAGCAATCATTAAGCAGTAAAATAATCAACTCTGGTAAATATTTGGCAGCCATTCGTCCCTCTCTTTTCATTCCGTCACAAACTCCCGTCAAACACTGCCGCATCATGACTCTTTTTGTCTCGTACCTTATTCTATTCTTCTTTTCTAATCGTCTGTTGTGGAATGCCGGTTTCTCTCGCACATACTTGCTTACCGTCGGCCTATTTGCACTCCCAAACAGGCCCAGATTTAGCAGTCCATTATGCAGGAATCTACAGAATTTCTATAGGGTCGAGCGTCCGTGTGGATTAGGTCGTTGGACATATTTTTGGAACGTCTCCCCCCGTGGATTCAGGAGTTGTGTTTGTCTCATTATTCAGAGACATTATGCTATTACAAGAGTTCAGTCAATGTATTAGCTTCATAGCAGACTTTTGGAAGCTAAACCAAAAAGGATAGAATAATAGTTTTGCTCCAAATACCTTCATAATGTAAGAAGGCTTAGATGCTAAATATGAGCTTGAAACAAATGAAATTTACACAAACACAAAGAAAACACAGAATATTCCAATGATAATGCATATTATTTTGTTATTGTTAGTGTTATTACACAATAGGTTTTATATAGCGCTAGTGTCATTATTCATTAACTCTATACACAGTGGCGATAAACTGCTACTGTAGCCACAACTGCTCTTGGGCATGAAGAAGATGATAAAGTTTGGGATCGTGTCTTTAATTCAGACAGAAGAAAGTACAGGCTTCTGCATATGTAAGAATGAAGTTAGAACTTTAACCATAGTTGCTTAAAAGTGTTATGAAATCACTACAGGCACACTGACAGAAGTGAGGCAATCCATCAACCATTCACACACACACACACACACCAGACTTTTGTTTTGCTCCCTGTACCCCTCTTCTTTTCTCCTTAAAATATTTCTTTTTGAATAAATAATGTAGTTTTCTCTATGGGATGATACTCAAAACAGCCCACTCCACAAGTAAAACTCAAAAGTTCATTCATATGCAGACTCATTTCACACAAAGTGACATATGCCAAGCCTTTGTTTGTTATGGTTTTAATCCATTCACAAAATATTCTAATTTTATGAGATTTTATTTGGTGTATTGTACAAGCACTAAGACAATTACCAACATTACAACAGGCTTGATTCATCTCACTTTGCATATAATGAGTCTAGAATGTAAGAATTGGTTTTGTATGTTCAGTTTCAGAGTTTTACCTGTTTACCTTTTCCTAGAAATGGATTACATCAGCAAGTCTCGCACAAAACAATACAGCTTGATTCAGGCAGAAACCATATTTTTTATAATTCTCAGTGTTCAGATTCAGTTTTGTCTTCATGTGGGTATATTAGTGTGAAATATCTCTCACTTGCAAGTCACTAAGCCCAAAAAATGCATCCCAAAATTGAATTATAAGATAAACTTTATTGATCTCACAATGGAGGATGGTATATGTCACATTTGGTATAGATAGTATCACTCAGGTTGTGCAAAAGGACAGAAAGTGGTTGAAGGTTAAAAGGATAAGAATAGAATTGCACTTTGTCTGTTGCATAAAAATCAGATTTGTCTTGAGCACTGGTCACAAACACATGTCTGTCATACACATACAATGATAAAGACAAGACTATAATAAAAAGTGTGCATTATAAACAGTGCTACAGTATTCATTGCAGGAGGAAATGCATCCCCCCTGCTGATGTTCTTACGAGCTTCTTGTCGATGTTCTTACGAGCCAGTGGGGTTCTGTAACGTCTGCCTGAGGGGAGTAAAGCGAAGGACTTGTCCAGTGGATGACTCACTTGAAAAAGGAAAAATACTAAAAACAGCCAATGCTTTTCTAGCCTTGAGCCAGACCCCACACACCCCACACGCCTTTCTGCCATCCCCGCCTCCGTTGTAAAGGTGTGTGTTTAGAGTGGCAGAATTAGAGGTGAGAGCGCAGGATATGGCGGCCCATAAGCCTTAAGTGCGGGATATAACGGGCTCTGTGTGTTTAGGAAAGGGAGAGCAATGAAGGGCCAGTTCAAACGTGTGCCGCTTCTCACCCCAGTTCTCCGTGGTGTGAGGAAGTCCACTGCCAATCGCACTCTGTGGTATTTGAATGTGCTTTGGACGTCCTGATGTGTCTGTCTTTACAGTTAAAGTGATGCAGTTTAACATCCAAAGAGCAGCACCCGATGTCAGCCAGGAGGAGCATCTACACAGCTTCAGTGTGACCAGTGTGCCCACGGAGACTGGCTTTAGGTACGATGGACTCATTCAAAACATTTTCACGTTCTTCTTGGAAAAATACATTTCCCTTGATGCAATATTTATGTTCTTTTAGCTTACTGAGCTTTGTGCGTAGTATCATTGAACTGCTAAATATTTTCTGAATTGGTCAAAATGAGAAGGCTTTTGCTGTCAGTATGGGGCATTTGGGAACCATTGAGCCAAACTAGAACAAAGAACACAAAAAAACTGTGGCTTTTTATTAGAGCTACTGAAGAAGATGACAAAGTCTGGGATCGCGTCTTTCATTCAGACAGAAAACATGTTTTATTGTCGATGGTAGAGACAGCACGAACAACAGATACAACAGAATACAAGTGTATTATACAGAGTGGAGGCATGGAGACCTCCAATCAGCAGCTTCCACGTTGTGCTTGTAGCTTGGCCTTCAGATAGACAAAACAAGGGAAAAGTACTGGCTTCTGCACATTGATAGAATGATGAGTTTAACTTTAACAAAAGTTGCTTAAAAGTGTTATGAAATCTCACACTACCATCCTATCATTTCATCTTAAACGTGATTTATGCCGTTTTGTTAGCCCTCCCCAGTTAGTTTGATATTACTGGACTGGACTAGAGCTGTAGCAAGTTTATTAGTAATCTATTTCAGTATTTCAGTATGTGTGCATGTCTGAACATCTACAGCTTTACATGTGCATTCATATTGTATATTGTGTTGCTGCTCTACAGGGAGGGCTCCTGTCTGGCAGAGGTGGTGGACAAGCAGGCCGACCTAATCGAGTACCTGAAGCAGCACAACAAACTTCTGAGCAGGAGACTTCTGAACCTCACTGCTCAGCACTAGCGCCATGCATGTTGGGGATGTGCCTCGAGACTTTGTCATTGCTCAAACTGAAAGAGTAGTGTGTGGAGAAGATGCACTGCTGAAGATGTACTATTGCACCTGTGCACCCCGGCTGGTTAAAGCCTACTCACCTGTGCACCTCAGATAACAGAAGGAAAGGCGTGAGGGGTCAAGTAGGAGGAGGATGAGGGCAGTCAGGGCCCACAGATCACAGCCCGGGGCTTTTATCACCGCTCTACGACCCTCAATGACCCACGCACTAATGCTGCTGCTCTCGCTGTGGGAAATATGGATGGAACACTGTTTTAAAGAAAATCTGCACTATTGAAGGCTCTCTGGAGAGCCCTTTGAAAACATGGTATTTTTGTACTGCCTTTGCGAAAGTCTATTATATTTGTACTTTTTGTTTATATCTCCCATTTGATTGTGTTTGTTCTAAATAAGTAAATGTGTACTAATGTTTCAATAAAATGTTTCTTTTTTTTCTTACATGTTTGCTATTTTGTGCTTAGAATCATTGCATGTATTCTACTGTGGGGAAGAGACCTCACTTAGGTGTGTTTGCTCTGTGTAGAAGAGGCCAAACAGACACAGGAATGTCAACATCCTCTGACGGCACAGCCTTTCTCTGCTTCGCCTACATATTTATTCATTTGATGTACAGGTGAAACTCTGAAAATTAGAATATTGTTTAAAAGTATTAATCTAATTCCAATTAAAATGTTAAATGAATATATGATATAGACTCATTAAGTGACTTATGCCAAGCCTTTGTTATAATGTTGATGATTATGGCTTACAGTACATTTTCAAATTATTCCGTTTTTTAGATGTTTTGATGTCTTGATATCTCACTTTGCGTGTAATTAATCTGATGTATGATTTGCTAGTTGAATTACAGGTAACATTATTTTTGAACAATGTTTGAACGAGTTTCACCTGGATATGTTTACTTTTTAAATCATTGCATGCTTTTCTGTGGCCACTGAGGATCTCAGTATTCACAGCTTTGTAGGTACAGAAATGATTATATGACATGGCCAATATGCATTAAAAAACAGTAGTAAAGCAATTGGGAGCGAAAGGATTCCACTGATACATTTATTAAAAAGTTTAAATGCATTACAATAAACATCTGAAGTGCATACAGGAAAAATAAACACTATAGGAATATGTGGCTGTGTAGTACAAAACAGCACTTTGGTCCAGCTGAGAGTCCAAAAATCTCCCTTTTTATATTCATATTATGCAAGTGAAAGGAGAGGTTTGCCACGGCGTCAAATCAGATCCCCAGTATTGGTTCTGAGTCAGTGAGGCTTGGTTTCATTTTGCTTGTGGCTCTTATGCAAAATGCCACCTGAGGCATGTGAAGGCCTCGTCTCCTCCTCAGGTCTGGTGCCTTGTGGTCCGAGCCTGATGGTGCCTCACACTGCTGCATTCCACAGCCTCGTGTGCTGTTTCTTGTCATTGTGTTCCCCAATCTGTGAATAATTAAAACAATGATTAGTGCTCTTGTTGAACATTAAATCAGTCCAGGCCACAGAAACGGGTCAATATTAAAGTAAGTGCTCCCCACCTATCCCCCTGTTCTACCCTAAGCCCTGTGCCTCCTTGTTAGTGAGATTTATATCCCACAAGTTTCCCTTGAACCCTGCCCTGAGTAAATATGCACTTCTGCTACTAATCACACACACCTTCTTAAGTGCCACCTGCTGGCTCAATCCCAGTTATGTTCCTGTATCACACTGCTCAGCTCATATCCTTTTTTGACCCAAAACATCTGTGAGACATAAAATCCCATATGCCATTTTTTTGGTGTTTGACTCTGTCTTACCTCAAGGAAAGGGTACTCTGGAGTGCAGTGGAAGGCACCGTCTTAGATGGCAGTGATGATGTCTGTACTTTCTCCTGATGTTTAGAAAATCTGTAAAAGAACACGATACAAAACTGAGATTAGCGCATTTGACCATTGTTCATTTGACTTCACGTGTACAGCACCAAACCTACACCTGTGTTTTATTGGAGGAGTCCTACCCCTCCCCTAATAAACAGGACCTCAAGGACCTAACACATGATTATTTTTTTTAAATCCCTAATAAATCCACTGTGGCTGCCGCGTTCACGAGCTGCGAGCCAAGCCCAGGAAGAGATAAACAGGCAGATGACTTTATGGCCCTCCTCCCCCGCTTCTTGTGAGATCCCTGTGGAAAGAACCTACTCCCCTCGCCTCAAGGTAGGCTTTTTACACTTGGCACTGTTGCTCCATGTCATGTTAATAGAGCCTGGGTATTTGCATGGCATTTTACACCAGCATTAACAAAGGCGCACTGGAGGCCCTTCCAGCGCGGGACAATGGCGCTCTCTGGGGATGATCTCCCCGCGGGGCTTGACTGGCCCGCCTCACCTTTCCCCTGAGCTCCATCCTCCAGCTCTATCAGCTCCATCAGCTCCATCACATGAGGACGTGTGCCTTGCCCATGCGCCGTATTAACCGTATGTATCAATTGTACAAGACCTATTGAACAGTGAGTATGTAAGTTTGGCTGAGAACACCTGCGCAGCACCACGCAGCAAGGCAAACTTTATACCGAAATAAAAAGGATAAGATATTCTATGTCTATGATTACAAATAATTAGACCCCTGTAAATTTAGCTTATCGTAGACACAATCATTGTCATTATAACATAGAAGTATTTGACGCTTCTGTTTTAGTGAAATGTTAAAAGTAATAACTAATTAATGACAACAAATACAACGTCCCTGCCTGGTTGTTATGAGATAAAGTATCGTTAGGTATATTTTATTCCCTAAGTAAATATAAGTTATAAAGTGCAAACAGGTTGTGCAGATTTGTTAAGCTAGCCTTAAATTAGCATAACGTTTATTAGCGCGTGCACGTTATCAATTTTATATTTTTGAGAAAAGTGGCTTTGGGTTTGCGGCTTGTTCCTAATTAAAATGTAATATAATATCATTTGCGATGGATTATCATTTGTTTTTTTAGAAATTGAATGACTTTTACAATTAACATTTCTCTAAATACATGTTTCCATAGGTTTTCTCTGGGATGCTTACCTGGCCTGGCTGACGAGGCAGATGCGAGCAGCGCCACAAGCAGCAGCAACAGATACATCAGTCCAAATATCTTCATGGCTGTTGTTTTATCTACTTGCAGCCTGGTGTTTTGATTCTCTCCAGTCAGAAGTCCTCCAGTGTCCTCAGGTTTGGACAACACAAATGACCAGTTGCCTTTTCCCCTGTCTGTTCCAGTTGAATAGATCCCTGCAGCCTGCACCTCTTTCTCTTTGGATAAACAGAATGCCCCAAAGGAATGTGTTTGTCCAAAGTGTTTGTGTCCACTGATTGTCTCTGTGACCAAGAGCAAAGTGACAAAGGTGGCTCTCCCCCTCGCCTTTATACTGCCCTTTGGTGGGAGGGAGTTCAGGGGGGTACTGCCACCATCACAGCCCCCTCCTCAGCCCGAACCAGGACACACACACAACCACACGCACACTCTTTAGCATTGTACATATTGACCCCACATGTAGAGAGGAACAAGAAGAGCCCCTCTCTGCCCTCCTGTACTCTATTTGCCCCTATATGAACCCTGTATGTACAACATTGATTCTATCAGGGCTGCAAGAGTAATCCAAACCTTTTATTTAGAGCTCCAAAACAAGTTTAGAAATACGAGGATCAATGCGAATTTTACACCGGTTTTTACAAGGTATTCTGCTAATCAAAAAGGCAAGCCTAGTTTTATCTTATGTTATCTAATATAGTTTTAAAGTGCCGTACTTTGAAACCACAAAAACATTTACTGGTTAATAATGTATTGATGTCAGAAAATAAATTCACATAATTTGTTTCTATAGCTCTGAAAACGGTTCAACATGCAATTTAGTTTCAACAGTAATTAAAGAAATACAACTTCAGGTTTCAGTTCAAATTTGAACGTTATCCTCACTTCATACCAGAATTCACTCATTGAATCGTAATGGTTATCTGAAAAATCTCATTTGGATATTCCTTTTAAATTGTTCAGCCCCAGATTCAATGACAAGCACTTATGTCTGATTTCTCTTTCATATCAGATGATGTAAGGGTCCATCAGTGAGGGAGGAGGAGCATCAACCACGTCCTGTCCTCTTGTCCCCTACCCCCGCACCCAGAGGACACATCTGGGATTGTGGAGGGAGGGGAAGCCCATGTTTGCACCCAGCGTTTGGAGGTCACGGATGCCGGTCAAATGAAATGTGCCCGTCTCCTGTCTGTCTGCTCTCTGTGATGACAGCTCAGGTAGAGTGGGGAATCCCTTGAGTGAAAGCCTCTATACTTCTATGGTGTATGTTAGCTGGATGTAGTTTTGAATTATGTTGATATAAATTACATTATATCTGTCCTGGAATGGTGTCAGGCCTATATGTTTGCAAAGTTTTGTTTACTTGCTTGTTCCCACATCATGCTTTGGTTTATGCATTTAAAGCTAGGGTACATGACATTTGTTTTTGATAAATAATGCTTAATGTTTGTCTCAACAGTCTTGTAAAAGTTAAATGTTTTGAACAATCCAGGCCACAACATGCTGTTGCCGTCTCATTAGAAAACTTTATATTATGCAAACTTTTAAGAAAGAGCCACGTGGTTCACTATTGGATTTTTTGGGCTGAGAGCTGATTGGCTCTCTTTCAGTTTTTCTTATCCGAAAAATCTGATCTATAGATGAGGACAACAATACATGCGCGTGAACACTGTTTTTAGAGCAATGTTTTTTTTTTTATATGTAGTTACATTTGCTGTGGTTTAAACATGAGGTATAAATATGTAGTATGTGCGATTGTTAGAGGTGTTTTGTAGAGGTATAAGGATCATGATTTCGTAAGGTTTTGTTCGTGTTATTTCACGTTATTTCGCGTTATTTCACAATTATGGTGATTCATTTTAAGGTCATTGTGGTTAAGATTAGGTCCAGGTTTTGACATTCTTGGTAAGATTAAGACCAGGGTGGATAATAGACAGACATTTTCATAACTCAGAAAAAGGGCTGTGGGAACATTGAGCATTTTCCTTTCCAGTTGAGTAATTGTGGTAAACAGTGACCTATGTACTGCACTTAAAGAAAAAAGTACCTTAGAAGACTTTAAGAGTGCCCCAATTGTTTTTAAAAATGGCTACAGCTTCAACCCTTGCGTTTGAGGAAGGGGGATTTTCCTGCCGCAGGTATCCAGGCGGTTTACATGGCAGGTTGAAGATGGCTCGCTGTGACAAAGTGCAAGGAGTCATTAGCTTGTCTGCTCACAGCCGTCTCTGTGGACTGAGCCTTTCCATTGAGCATGCAGCTAATGAATTAACACATTAAGATGAAATGTCAGCCATTACATGTGAATGAGGATTAGAGAAGCAGCAGGACACTAATGGACCGCAAGGCTCCAAATAGTCAGGAGACTTTGAACAAGCATCTGGGCCGTCAGTCCCTTTAGCTCAGAAGTGCAGACAAAAGAAGACTACACGTGTTCTTTTTCCGGTGTGTACGTTTCAGTGGCACTGCACCTTTTTACAGCTTTACTCGGTTTGCAGTAACAAGTGAAGTGTTGGACTGTTGAACATCAAGCCATGGAATTAGTTCCCTGGCTTTCTGTGTTGTGCCAACACAGCTCTGAATCTGATTTAGCCTTTCAGAAGTTGCTACGTAAAATTATATTTTAGGCTAAATCATTCTTTTTCTGAAATAAGTGATAATATGATCTTAGTTACGATATCAAAAAATATATTAGACTACTCAATTAATCAAAGGTAGTAATCAATAGGAGGAAATACTAAAACAGCCCTAAAATCAATAAAACACATAAAATACAAGATATTCTATGAAAGGTCCCGTAATGTTGGAAAAGTGTGTTTTCCATGAAGTAAATGCACGTACAAGGTTGGCATTGGTTTCGGATTTATCTCGGAAGCAACGAGTTTCTAGTTTTTAATAAGAGGCGTTTTAATCCATAATGGTTTCCTCAACCATTTGGTCGATAACTAGTCAGAGGAAATGGTGATCTTGTTTGTGGTTTGAAAGTTAGGTATCCCAGCTATAAAACAACTCAACTTAATATATTGACTGCAGACATTTAAACCAACTGTACTTTATGGAGGAGGAATATAATGTGGAACAATGGAAATTTAAAGTCAGATAACTTTCCAAGAATATGGAGGATTTTATTGCCATTTTGTCAGAGATGAACAGTGAAATATACATGGAAAGAACAGGAAAAGGCCTTTCTCTGGGTTAACATCAGCATTGTGGTGATGCAACAATAATGAAAAGTTAGCTCGTTTTTTAGTTTTTCAAGTTTGCAAGTTTTTTTTTTCTCTTGCATTTCACAGCGCGACAAACCAGCACACACAGCAAACACTCAACCCTCCTGTCTGTAGTTTGTTCCTCTGGCTAGCAGCTCTCAGCATTTGAGCTGCCATTGTCTTTTAAAAAACTTTTATTTTCCCTACTTGAATATGCAAATAGAAACGCAATTGTCATTCAGAGCCTCCCGGTATCTGCTCCACTCCTCTGCAGCGCGGCCTGTGTTTTCTGTCTCGCTCTTTTCCCGTGGCCTTTTCTTTTTGGCAAACAAGTGTCTTATGGGCAAATCTCAGCAGCAGTAACAGGTTTTCACTGCAGCTGAGCGTGTTGTAATATTTGCTCTTCCTTTGGGGACTTACAGGGGATTACCCGGCTCGGTGAAACACACAGGAGACAGAGGGGGGACACGGCGACCTCCAATTAAAGGGCCTTAAACTGCCCGGGCTTGGAATACACCGCGCTCCAGTTACTCCAGGTGAAATTAATGTCATATGAAAAGCATTATGCTACTAAGCTGCAATTATAATGAGCTTGCAGTAAGTTTGGAGAAAGGTTTTCATATTACAAGTATTTTCTGCGCATGTTTGCATGTAACAATGCAAAAATAATTTATGTCAAATATATCAAGCCTATATCTGTTATGATGTTGATAATTGACCCATAGCTGTAAAATTGACTTTTAGCCATAATCTTCACAATTATAACACACAAAGGCATATGTCACTTTGCATGTATGACTTTATCATATATAAGTTGAATTACAGTTATAAAATAATTACATTTGAGCTTGTCCTTTGGTGTGGCAATATTTGTAGAAAAATATATTACGAGCTGGTTTGAGGATACACACGATTGCTGAGTTTGCTGTTTATAGTCAAAACTAACGTAAAAAGGACTAGAGGAAAATACAGCCACTTAAAAATGAAACATGTGAATTTACGTACATATAATAAACATATACTTTTGTTCTTTATATTTAAAATCAATTTTTTATCATGTTTGTAACATGTATATACTTAAATGTTATGTTAAAAGTATCGTTATTGTTAAAAACATAACATTTGCATTGCTGCCTATTGCCACCACGGTGGAGTCATATGGCCCGGGCTTTTAAGATTTCAGGCAGGGGGCCCTACAGCAACAAATATTATTCATAATAAATAGGTAAACTCTTGACTCTCAATCTAAACATAAAATCTTACATAATCTTAGCTGAGCCACAGGATTTTGGCTATAGATGCACCTGCAAGGTCAGAGCCGTATACTGACCAAAGAAAAAAGACAAATATATTTCCCACATTTATAATATATAGTAACAATCTTATATTTTTCTGGTAAGCTCGTCCACTCCTACTTTGAACTGTAATTGAAAACAAATACTAGATAAATTTGGGTCAGTGTCTTGCATTGACTTTATCTCTTCTCGAGTGTGTGATAATGATTAGTCAAAATATAACCACAACAGAAGTCGAGGTTACAGACCATTTTGCCGATTCAAATGCAAGAACATTTTGACCAAGTACATAAATTGCCATACCAATCAGAACTTTGTAGGTCCCATTATCTTTATGGCGACAGAGGAAACCTAAACCCTTTTTCACTTTCTCTTCCTCTCTGCTCATCTCCTGAGCAGGATCCAGATAAAGAACTTCCTCTGATAAAAACCCAAGATCAGTGAGGCATTAATTGCTCTGTTTCTTCTCACCAACACTGGGGATAACTGGACGGTAAGTGCATGTGGAATCTCTGCTAATGCCAATAATAGTCTGTGTATGCTGGATCATGGCTAAGTCTGGGCATCAGGACGTTTTGAAAGGATAAGACCAGAGGCAAGTGACATTTGATCTAAGTGTTGCTAATGTTTTTAATAGCACGGCTGCCAAGTTGTATTAAAAGTCTTGTGCTCGTGAGGCAAGAATGATTTTAATTCAAGTTACCCTGGTGAAGACTACATGCAGAGTCCACTGTGGTAAATGGGACTCTTTTGGACACCTGCAGACGTGCGGGTTCGGCTGATGTCTGGCTGCTTGAATTTTACACATACAGAGGGTGCAACAGCCCATATCAACATTTTTATAGATATGAACAAACAATGAAGCAAACTGTGAAATGTTCCTGTCTAAATATCCCCAACACAACTCCAAAGTATGAGGAACCCTTTTTGGGGCATGGCAGGGCAGTACTGCAGATTTACTATACCGCATCAGCAGTGTGAACAAAGCTTAACGCAACAACAGAGAGAAATTCTGCCATCCATTAGCTCATTCTAGCTAAAACAACGTTTGTTTCCAACCTAATAGGGACGTGTTGCGGAGAGAGATCTGACTTTTGACGATCAGTTTTCACTGGTTTCATTGTGCACATTGCTACAAACTTTCTGACCCCATTGTAATATTTCATCAGTTAAATATTGTCTTAACTTTATATTTTAATATTGTAAGAGGGAGATATTGATTATAATAATGATAAATAAGGTGTTTTGGGCATGTCCCACTGGAGGGAGGTGCAGGGGAAGACCCAGGACAGTCTCTCAGCTGGCCTGGGAACGCCTTGGGGTCCATCAACAGATGAAGCACAAGAAAATGAATGGATAGATGCTGTTTTATAATATATTAAAATATGATTGTTAAGAGCGTACAGTATTTCTTTTTTGCCTCTTTGGCAAGTCTATTCACACTTAAGTTTTTGTAATTATTCAGAAATCTTAATCATTTGTCAATCTACAATAATACCTGACCCAATTCTATTGTTGTTAGTTTTATATTTTTACTCGCATTTGCACAATTTTTCTACATTATGGCCTGCATGTTTAGAATACTGTCTAGCCCTTTTCAGGACTCAGTAGAAATTAGAGCTTACAGTTATTTGTATCACTTCCTGCCAAGCTCTGCTATGTTAATACCCATAACTGGTTTGTGCGTTCTAATAAATACATTTTATTAGACGGAATATTCTGTTCTACTGAGAAGACTTTACGTTGCCTGACCGCCTTCTTGCTACTGTCCCTCAGTCTCCTCTCCACTATAAGAAGCCGTGATGTCTGTTTTTTGGGAGGGGTGTAGTCCAGCGGCGGAGTGCGTATTGTAACTTGATGGGTCAGTTTGTTGTCCATCGTTTACAATAATAGCGCCTCTGTTGTCATGCCATAAGGTCGTCAGTGCTAATGAGAGCCGCAGCCAGCTTAATTACTCTTAAGTCTCATTGTCTCTGATGGCCAAATACAAATCTGAATGGACACACATTCTCACCAACAGTAATAAACATCCCGCCGGAGTCTCAGTATCAAGAAAATCTATGTCTTAATGACTTTTCTTGCATAATAATAAATTTTCAGCCAGAGAAAAATTCCAAATCAGCCCCCCCTCCCCTGAACCTCCCTCATGTCTGTGCCGCCGACTGGGAAGGAGTGACGGAGGACTCAGGGGTCAAGCAGCGCACTCAACAGGGAGCTGGTTTTCTGACCCTGAAAAGACTCTTAAAGCCAAAAGTCACTGAGGTTTGCTAAGTCCTTCCCCAGACTGGCTGGCTTCCCTGGACACATTCAGTGCGTAGTTACAACCAGAAAATACAATGTATAAGAGTTTTCTAATGAAGATCAAGCATGTGCACAAAATATTAGGTACTTAAGCTTTAACGTTTATCTTAGTTTTTAGGTTTGAGAAGTAGGAAATGGCTTTCATTTTCCTTATTTTAAGTACAATATTTGGAATTCATATTTTTAACACGTACCCTTGTGTATGAGATTGGAACAAATATGCAACAGTCCTACCTTTAGCCACATCATTTTTAGATAGCTAAACAAATTAAATATAAAACATAAATTGTTAGTTATATCCTCATGTAGATGATGATCATATATGTATTTCCTCCAGTTAATCAATACATGATTTGAATTATTTCTGCATTTAGTATAGTTATTGGTTAATTTTCTTCTAGAATGAAACTCACTCTAGAATTCTTACACTGGCACCTGTTCCATTGCAACACACACTCACATGCTTAGGCGGCACGGCGGCTGAGTGGATAGCGCTCTTGATTCTCAGCAAGAAGGTCCTGGGTTCGAATCCTGGTCGGAATAGGGTCTTTCTGAGTGGAGTTTCACAGACCAGGAGTTTACCCTGGTCTGTGAAAGGCGGTATATAGATAAAGATTACTTATTTAACAATCCAATAGTCCATGTTAAACATTGTGTTATTTAATTATATGTATGTCAAAATAAATACATTGTCAGCCAAAGAGCACATATAACCAATGTACAGCTGTGGGTTTTATGTGCATTTGTATTTTTCAACATTATACATAGTTTGTGCTTTATGTTTTAGCAGTTTCTAAATAGCAGCCAAACATTTGTAAAGTGCAAAGAAGTGTCCTCCTCTTAGATTGATAATACTGCATAAGTATCTGAAGCAGAGCTCCAGATGAAATCTTTCAGTGCACCAGTTTATTTCTGTTCAGCTGTTGGTCTCTATCTTCTGTATGAATCATCAAACACATCAAATAAATTACATCCAAACTTAAAATAGGGATTAACGTTACATTTGTGGTTTACCTAAATGAAACAGTGAGGAGCACCTGTGCAGAACCCAAACTTGTCTGGAGCCCTGATCGGAATCACCAAAACAAAAATATGTCTTAACAAATGACTTTATAGTTTCCTTATTGATACTTTAGTGATTACTCTTTGCTTTGACGGTTTCTTTGACGCAGATTTCCTTAGTGGTACTTCACATACGACACTATCTGAAATACATAAGTGTGTTTTGGTAATATGTTCATGTGTTTTTTCAAATAGATGTGGCACTGAAAGTGGTTGTACCTGGAGGTGGGCTTTCAGGCTGGAAACAGACTGACATCAGACTGAAGAGCGAGAAAATGAAAAAGGCGAGGATGATGAAGGTGAGCTCAAATCCGGAGAAGGGCAGTTCCATGTGTGGGCCTTTGCAAAGCAGTAAAAACATACAATGGGACATTCCAGACAAAACATGGGGCGACAGTAGCTCAGTTGGTAGAGCATTGGCCTTAAGCCCAGAAGGTCGTGGGTTCAATTCCCACCTCTACACCTTCTCCACCGTTGTCACTGTTTAGCACTGTTGTGTCCTTGGGCAAGACACTTAACCCCACTTTGCCCAAAAGCCCCGACTGAAAGATCAAGGCTATGCTTACAGTCAGAGAGCAGCCGTCCTCCTGTGGACTCACCACCTGCAGAGGATCAGTGAGGGGCTGGTGCTATGAGACTGACCCAGAAATGGATTAAAGGGTAGAAAATGGATGGATGGATGGTGTATGCTCAATAGATCCATCTCTATCAGATACTGTCAAAAAAAATTTGGTTAATCAGGGAGCACTTCTTAGCTGTGCTATGTCAGTATCTGGTGTGACTACATTTTGCCTCCCAAATTGTAACACATCTTCACACAGATAGATAGGTACTTTATTGAATCTCTATAGAGGAAATTCAGGTTGGTGATTGTGGCCTGTGGAATGTTGTTCCACTCCGCTTCAACGGCACACCTGAGAGGTGGAATGGATTGTCTCTGTACATAAGAATACTTTCTCACAGAGGAAAAGAAGCGTAAACTCAACTAGGACAACGTGGTAGTCGCTGAAGTTATTATTAGCGCCACCAGCTGGACCGAGCGTTGTACTACAGCAAAGTTGCGCTGGCACGGTTCAGAGGACACGTTCATGTGACCGTGCCCTAAGGAAACCTATGCAGTTCCGACCTTGCTTAGAAGAAAGAGTGCTAACTACTCTGTGCTGGTTTAGGTTAAACTCATGTCTAGTGGGAGCTGCATTCATACTTCTGTTCAGTGTCATTTGTGGTGGTCTATTTTGCATATATTATGAATTATTTAATGTGTAATTTCATGCCTTTTAAACAAATCTATATGACACCAGTCTGTTTTCATATGTGACAGATTTTGAGGATATTCCTGCTGTGGCTATAAGATTCCACTAGATGGTGGTGTGCCCTCTGTACATACTCAAAACTCTGTGTCTTTAAGGCTTTTAAAACTTGAACCAACGTTTTTGTTGTAACATATTTTTTTGATGTAGTCCCCAAAATAAAATGGCCAGTGGAAATGTTTTGAACACTGTGACTGCACAATGGGTGGATGAAATAATGAAATGATGAATACATGAGTAATGTTTGTTCATGACCTACCTGGCACAGCGGATACCACAGGTTAGGATGTCCCTGTGTTTGGCTACCCGTGGATTTTCTTTCTGTCATTCCTTATTATACATAGCTCTAATCATAAATAAATGCAACAATAAGTAAATTGATATATGAAGAAATAATTATATCAAATATAAACTTTCTCTGTTATAGTAACAAGTGGCACATTACATCCAACCCCACAGACTAAATAAAGTTTTACCCTCTGGCTGCTAACCGTAATATTTTTTAACTTGTTTGTTTAGTTCCAGAGCCAGTTTAACTACTTCACATGCTGCTTCAAACACATCTCCACGTAAACTTCAGGATGTAAACAATACTCACCAGATAGCAACTTAAGTTTTCAGAAAATGACGTAGATATCCTTCAGTGCACTCACAATACGATTAGATACAGATAGTGTCTTGTCAAAGATGGTGGAATACAAAATGTTTAATGAGCTTTCTAAGAGGCTTCTGCTCCGCCTCATCCTGGAATCAAATACAACAGGATCCTATGACAAAGTACACAACGCCACACATGCGCATTGCTGCACGATCCACTGTTCGACTTTGCTCCAGTAACTGATAACAGTTCAGTCTCTTCAATCTTTGTAGGCCTCAGGCAATAGCAGCAGCACACCATCCCATCCAAAATGAAAGTCATTAAGAAACGCAAGTGTCCATGTATTTCCCTCTTTTTGGATGTGGATTCGCTCAGACGATCTGCTCTTCCTGTCCTAGATCTGTCTGGGGCACTTTAAAAGAGGAATGAATACATCAGATTAAAATGAGCACTGACCACTCCAACAGTTTTTACACAAAAGACAAAAGGAAGAAACACTGGCCTCTACTATAGTATTATAGTAGAGGCCTCATTGCCAAAACTACTATTAGTTTTGGCAATGAGATAAGCTTAAATGTCTGTCTTGTATTTGATCAGTTTTTGCAGTATGTTTAAATGTTGCTGTAGTCTTCTGAACTACTCAACTTGGGGCACAAAAGCCTCAAAACCTTTCTTCTGACTTGAAATAAATGTAATTGAGTGCACTACTTTACCCTTGTAATGACTGAAGTAATTAGGGGTGGGATTAAAAAAGTGTTCACTTCTTCCCACTCCTTTTCGAGCATCCATAAGTGTTATGTTAGTATCACTCACTCTTCTTGTTATTACTCCTTTGTTATATTTTGTACATGTACCTAAGTTGCTTGAACTAATTATTTCTATGCCCGCTTACTTGCTCGAAATGAATAAATAAATAAAAAAAAAAAAAAAAAAAACAAATTGTCATGCTTTACCGCCGCCTGAGAAGCATGCCTTTAAAAAGCACACATAATGGAACACAAAGCAGCGAGGCCGCTGATACAGTACTGGACATAAACAGAACAACTATATACTTGGGCAAGAAGCCTTTAAGTACAGTATGTCAAACATACTTTAATACACAATGTAGTCTGTACTTTTTCTGGGAAAACCCGCAAGCAATCCCAGCAACCTCTTTGCATCACACCAAAGTTCTAAATTAGTGTAAGGATTAGATAGCTATTTGGCTTACGTGCAGGACAAGCACAAGACTATACAAGGACTCTGATTGTGTATCCATGTTTTGATTATGATATGCGCTGACTGTCTCTGAATGACACGTATGTCTTTCGATGTGTGACGTAATAATGACTATATATATCATGTACTGACTCCATTTTGTCTGAGAGAAAGAAACAACAGAAACCACTGGAACTTGAGAGAAGCCTAATAAACTTCCAGAGCTTGGCGCACCACGATCCGTCTCTGTCTGGTTCATTCCTGACAATAGCTCAAGTATGAATAAATAGAAAGTCGCTAGAATGATCGGATTTGGTTAAATTGGGTTAAAGATGCAGTCAGTCAGAGCCGGCGCTTCCTATACGCAGACTACGCAGTATGTGTAGGGCCCCGCAGCTGGAAGGGCCCCGGAGTGCGGACTTTTTTTTTTTTTGTTTTTTTTATTGCTCTCATTCGTGCAGTTACGAGGCCCTTCTTATCCGGAATGACCCATTTCATTATTGGTTGTTAAAGTTGTCACTTGCTGTCTCCCATGATCTTCATATACGTTACGTCCTTACGTCACACTTTCAACCCTCCTCTCCCTCCACCTTGTTGTTGTCAGTCAAGCAGCCACGACATGGATCTATTACAACCAGAGGCTGAGACGCTATGAAGCGGAGTGATGAAAAAAGAAAAAAGCAGTCGGGTAAAAAACGTGTGGTTGCCGACCCGACGCATTGACTGTCTGCAAAGAAAGTTGAATATTGTGTCTGACATGTTTTATTTCTGTTTTTAATGAGTCCCAAAAGAACTTCATCAGTCAAGCTCTTTGTTGTGGTTAAGGTGGGCACCTTCAAAATAAACGTGCTTCCTTTGGTAATCGGAAGTATTTTGTTACATTTGTAATTTAGACATAACACTAACAGTGTTAGTATAATGCACTACTAATATTAATATTAAGGTAATATATTAATACTAGTGGTGATAATAATGAAACTAGTTATTATTTATATATAATAAGATTAAATAATATTTGAACATCCATCCATCCATCCATCCATTTTCTTCCCCTTAATCCATTTCTGGGTCGGGGGGGTGGCAGTCAGAGCTGCACCCAGTACACAGAGCACCAGCCCCTCACTGATCCTCCTGCAGGTGGTGAGTCCACAGGAGCTGAGATCTTTCAATGGGGGCTTCAGGCAAAGTGGGGTTAAGTGTCTTGCCCAAGGACACAACGACAGCAGTCATCAGTGGGAGTTGTGAAGTAGGTCTTATTGTGGGCTCGAACCCACAACCTTCAGGCTCAAAGGCCAATGCTCTACCAACTGAGCCGCTGTCGCCCCCACTGAGTCACTGTCGCCCAATATTTGAACATTTGAATATAAAATAACATTTGAACTATTCACACACAATAAAATAAGATATGATAAGATAGACTTTATTGATCTCACACAGGAGAAATTCACATGTCAGGCACAACACAGAACATACAATGTGGAAATGTACTCAAAATGTACATTATGGTCTTGCAATGTAAATTTTGAGTACATTTTCCACATTTTATGTTCTGTATTGTGCCGGTAAGTTTAATACCACACTACTTATTTGTATTTTATTTATTTTTGTATTTTAACATGTTGCACACTTCTGTCTTTTGCACAAATCTGAGTGATTCTATCCATGCCAGATGTGACCTGTAAATTTCTCCTGTCAATAAAGTCTCTCTTATCATATCTTATTTTATTGTGGGAATAGTTCAAATGTTATTTTATCTTATTGTGTTGAATAATTTAATAAATAGTATACATGTTAAACATGTTTTCTTCGGCTTTTGTCTTATGTTGCTTTATTAGTGTGAATAATGTTTTTGTTTAAGTGTAATAGAACTTGCTTTAAATGTTATGGTTTCTTGAATTATGTGTAGGGCCCCTATGCTGACTTCTGCTTAGGGCCCCAACAAGGCAATCACCAGCTCTGCAGTCAGTGATCCTCCTGTGGACTCACCACCCGCAGGAGGATCAGTGAGGGGCTGGTGCTTTGTGTGCTCGGTGGCATCTCTGGCCAACCCCCTGACCCAGAAATGGATTAAGGGGAAGAAAATGGATGGATGGATGCAGTCAGTGATTTTTTCCAGACGCATTATTTAGAATCTTATTGGAAAACGTCCCTTAACCCTAAAAGTAGTCAAGTTATCATGTATTTTCAAATAGTAATGGAATTGACCAGATGCCTATGGTCTCCAAAAATGTATAAAAAATATTTTGGAGCGGACCAATGAAAATAAAACAATGGGATGCGTTTACCCCCCTACACCCTCTTCCTGTTTCTCTCCTGAGTTATCGGATTTTCTAAAACCTAAAAGGGCTGAACAGAAAATGCCAATTTCACGTTTGCCACCCACTCTTCCTGTTGTGTCAAAGAAAAGAAAATCTGGATGTTTGATTTGGTGGAGAGGCGAGTGGAGGGGGGAGGGGGGGAGGTTTCGAGTTGGTGCAACGGCTAAGCTAACAAAATCCCTTACTGCACCTTTAAAAGACATTCAGCAAGGATTTCTTTGTTAAAGGAAATAAACTAATCATCCTCGTTTATGATCGTTACATTAAATCACAAAGTGTGTTTGAATACAACTTTTTATCAGGACATATTTTATTGATATTACTTGATAAAACAGCTCTATTTTCATACAATTTTGTTACTCTTTTAATGTGTTGTGATTATTTATGATTTTAACCTCTTTTGTGGCTTTAATGTTTGTTTTTATGACTTGTGTAATTTTGTTTTTGATGTGTGTAACTAGTTCCTCACTCTCAAACTGTTCACGAGTTGAATATCTGGCCTTTGTCACATCTTTAGATCAGCTTTTTCAGTAAATCAAGAGCACCAGCCCTCTCTGAGCCAAATCAGCTTCAGCATGTTTTCTGATGTAGATAAAGACTGCATGTTGTGATCCGATTCGTTCACAAAATATTACTTAATCAAGACTCTTTTGGAACGAAGAAAAGTTGGGTAATCCAGCTTTAGACGACCTCACCCAATATTAAACTTTCCAACTTGAGTTACGCATGACAAAATACAATTTATTGTGTATCAAAACAAAAAATGTTGGACTGCAAGCCAAAATCATCAACATTATAACCAACAAATATATGAACAATATTTAAATTTCTGAGTTTCATTTGTACTGCATGCAAATGACTTGAATTTATCAGCTCTTGTTTTAAATATCTTACTTTAGATAGATAGATACTTTATTGATCCCCGTAGGAGATCTATACTATACTTTCTTTAATGATGGCAAAGGCAGTAACAATAAATAGTACATGTTTTTAAACTACTCTGATCAACTCAAATCAATAAGAAATCTTGACTGTCTCATTTGAATTAGATTATTCAGTTTGTGCTGGGATTAGCTCAATAGCTAAATTTCTTCCAATCATTCTTAGAAAAAAACCATTGAAAACAATTAGACAACATATTCTGTGAAAGAACAATAAACATTTAACGCAGTGGACAAACAGAATCATAAAGTTACACAGAAAACACATGCAAACTCTGATAGTTTAAAACGACCACCGTGGAAGAAATGTGTTCCAAATGTTGTTTTCAAATTTCTGGTCTCTCTTTTCCCTTTCTCTTGGTCAGTGATGTGGTTCTGTCTTCACTACAGCTTTAACATATAAAAGATTTGCAATAGGGACAGTTACAAAAAGATCTTATTTCAAAGGCTGTAGCATTTTATTTTCTCATTCCAACGGGGGGACACCATTTTTTCTTTTTTTTAGACGCTATGAGATTTAAGTCATAATATTTTTACTTTAAATAGAGAGATTTTGAGAATAAAGTCGAAGTAGCAAATGTATAAGGTTAATCTCTATATAATGTAAATATTATGACTTAAAAAAAATCAGGTGACCCTTATACCCCGTTGTCACAATATTCTTTTCTTTTTAAAAGCAATAATATTTTATACTTATTACTTTTTAATTTCTTCAGTTTTTTTTATACTTGATATCCCAAATCTGCTTGTCTATCGTAAATGCAGTCATACCGTGGTCTAGCCCCCAATGCTCCCTCAGCATCCCGCTCAAAGTGAAGAGGCTGAACACCAGGAGGGAGAAGAGGACAGCGCAGACCTCCAGCTCCGTGAAGGGCGATGCCATGTGCTGCTCTACCCAGTCAGGTGACGCCAAACTCCCATACAACTCTGAAAGCTGTGCAAATATGTCCTATGTGCCTGTAGCTTTGTGAACCATGACCCCTCCCCTTTGTCTCACTCCCTCTCTCTCTCTCTCTCTCTCTCTCTCTCTCTCTCTCTCTCTCGTTCTCGCTCGCACACACACACACACACACACACAAACACACACACGCACACACAAACAAACATTTACACATACACCCCACACACACATCTAAATGTGTTGTGGAGCTGTGAAGAGGCAAATTCCCTCTCCCCTCTCATGTTCAAGAAAGATCCTATTAACCCTAATTATTAATGGGCTTGCGAGTGTGCTTGCGTGTTCAACTGCTGAGGTTCGTACTAAATTAAACAAACGCTTGTAACGTGAGGTGTCAATCTCTTTGACCTGAAAATAAACCCATTGAGAAAATACTAAATAAACACATTATAATCAAAAACCAAAAACAATGAATCAAAACAATTTGCACCTAAATCATTCAATAACGAGTTAGACACATCTCTCAACACATACAGCATATATTTATTGTTATCCAAGTAACAGATGCAAATTATATTTATAGCTATTTACTTTCCGAGTCTTTCAAGAACTTTGATGTTTCGTTAGTGGTTGGATTTCGCATTGGCAGGCATTGGCGCTGGTCCTGAGAGGTGGATGCTGCGATGGTGGCTGGTTGTGTGGAGGAGCGGTGGACCTACATCATGGCGGCGTTCTATAGAAACACAGCAAGTTAAGCCTGAAGGTGGTGCTAGGATAGTTACGATGGTGATAATTGGCTCTATTCAAGGGTATAGAGAGCACAGAATTGAACTCAATTCAAACCTTGTAGAATTGCTGCATTTCAGGTTTATGCTGCTAAAATCTGGAACAGTCTCCCTGAAAATGTGAGAGAGGCGTCTACGTTGACAATGTTTAAATCCAGGTTAAAGACTCTTCTGTTTGCCTGTGCATTCAACTGAAGGATTTTAGCTCATTTCTTAATGCACCGTGGTTATTTATTTTTTAATTCCCTCTGTAATTTTAAAGTTTTTATGGTTTTAGTTTTTGTGTGTTTTTAAATGTTCTAATTGTGTTTCTGGTGTGATGTGGAGTGTGAAGCGCTTTGTGTTGCACATGTGTAGGAAAGGCGCTCAACGATTGATTGACATTTCAAGCTGACTAATTGTAAATGAAAAAGTACAAAAGTACAGTGCCTTGCGAAAGTATTCGGCCCCCTTGAACCTTTCAACATTTTGCCATATTTCAGTCTTCAAACATAAAGATAAAAATTTTTAATTTTTGGTCATGAATCAACAACAAGTGGGACACAATCGTGAAGTGAAATGAAATTTGTTGGATAATTTAAACTTTTTTAACAAACAAAAAACTGAAAAGTGGGGCGTGCAATATTATTCGGCCCCTTTACTTTCAGTGCAGCAAACTCACTCCAGAAGTTCAGTGAGGATCTTTGAATGATCCAATGTTGTCCTAAATGACTGATGATGATAAATAGAATGCACCTGTGTGTAATCAAGTCTCCGTATAAATGCACCTGCTCTTTGATAGTCTCAGGGTTCTGTTTAAAGCGCAGAGAGAATCATGAAGACAAAGGAACACACCAGGCAGGTCCGAGATACTGTTGTGGAGAAGTTTAAAGCCGGATTTGGATACCAAAAGATTTCCCAAGCTTTAAACATCTCAAGGAGCACTGTGCAAGCAATTATATTGAAATGGAAGGAGTATCAGACCACTGCAAATCTACCAAGACCCGGCCGTCCCTCCAAACTTTCATCTCAAACAAGGAGAAGACTGATCAGAGATGCAGCCAAGAGGCCCATGATCACTCTGGATGAACTGCAGATAACTACAGCTGAGGTGGGGATGGTGTGTTCAGGGTGATGAGCTGTGTTGCTTTTATGCCAAACATATCGTTTTGCATTGTGGCCAAAAAGTTTGATTTTGGTTTAATCTGACCAGAGCACCTTCTTCCACATGTTTGGTGTGTCTCCCAGGTGGCTGGTGGCAAACTTGAAACGAGACTTTTTATGGATATATTTGAGAAATGGCCACTTTTCCATAAAGGCCAGATTTGTGCAGTGCACGACTGATTGTTGTCCTATGGACAGACTCTCCCACCTCAGCTGTAGATATCTGCAGTTCATCCAGAGCGATCATGGGCCTCTTGGCTGCATCTCTGATCAGTCTTCTCCTTGTTTGAGATGAAAGTTTGGAGGGACGGCCGGGTCTTGGTAGATTTGCAATGGTCTGATACTCCTTCCATTTCAATATAATTGCTTGCACAGTGCTCCTTGAGATGTTTAAAGCTTGGGAAATCTTTTTGTATCCAAATCCGGCTTTAAACTTCTCCACAACAGTATCTCGGACCTGCCTGGTGTGTTCCTTGGTCTTCATGGTTCTCTCTGCGCTTTAAACAGAACCTTGAGACTATCAAAGAGCAGGTGCATTTACAGTGCCTTGCGAAAGTATTCAGGCCCCTTGAACCTTTCAACATTTTGCCACATTTCAGGCTTCAAACATAAAGATATAAAATTTTAATTTTTTGTCATGAATCAACAACAAGTGGGACACAATCGTGAAGTGGAACGAAATTTATTGGATAATTTAAACTTTTTTAACAAATAAAAAACTGAAAAGTGGGGCGTGCAATATTATTCGGCCCCTTTACTTTCAGTGCAGCAAACTCACTCCAGAAGTTCAGTGAGGCTCTTTGAATGATCCAATGTTGTCCTAAATGACTGATGATGATAAATAGAATGCACCTGTGTGTAATCAAGTCTCCGTATACAGTGCCTTGCAAAAGTATTCGGCCCCTTGAACCTTTCAAAATTTCGCCACATTTCAGGCTTCAAACATAAAGATATAAAAATTACATTTTTTGTCAAGAATCAACAACAAGTGCGACACAATCGTGAAGTGGAACAAAATGTATTGGATAATTTAAACTATTTGTTAAAAAAGTTTAAATCATCCAATAAATTTTGTTCCACTTCACGATTGTGTCCCACTTGTTGTTAATTCATGACAAAAAATTTAAATTTTATATCTTTATGTTTGAAGACTGAAATATGGCGAAATGTTGAAAGGTTCAAGGGGACCGAATACTTTCGCAAGGCACTGTATCTCCATAAACGGAGGAATGTAAATATTGTAAATATTTATGAATGTATAATTTTTGCTCCATTGAATAACATCAATCAATCAATCAAAAAAAATCCATCAATCAACTGAAAAATCAATCCCAAAATGAGCCTAATATCACATCATAAACAGACTGATTACATCAAATTAAATGCAAACTCAAGATATCGCTAGAACCGATAATCTTGTTTAAACTTTGTATTTATGTTTATTATTTATTGAATCCATGTGAACAGGTTTTGAAAAAAAAAGAAACATAAATACAGTATATACCTGGACATTGATGGAAATATAATGTACATTGTGAAAAACATGTTGAATTATTCAACCAGTCCAGGAAATGTTATTATTTACAAGCTGATATCAACCCAGAATGTCAGAGTTTTAACTTGTTCTGTTGTTGTTCTCTATATAACTAACAATTAAAAACACAAGGTGGACACAATGTTCTATAAGTTACTTTATGAGGAGGAGTTGGCTATTTTCTGTCCCTTCGCTGGTATCTTTCATCAGGTTTCCACAGATAATTATAGCCAAAGTATAGAGGTTCGTGTCCTTACATCCCCATGCAATGATCAAGAGCAGTAGTTCTGTGTGCAGTCACAGCTTTTGTTTCACTTTGTGTTTTTTAGTCAGGGTGTGGTTCAGTCCTAGCCTGGTCGTACCACACCATAGTACAAATGACATTTCGTACTAAGGTCTGGAGGTGCTCCATTGAGCTCCGTTTACAGGTGGGAGGGGCTAACTCCTTTTGCCGATTGAAACGATTGGATCTGAGTTTACCGTGACGTATGTAATGCGCCCGAGTCTGTTGTTAGCATTTAGCACTTAGCCTAGTCATCTCTTTTGCCGCTAACGAAGCCCGTGGGGAGCAGCGGCACCATTTTTTCCTGCGATTACATTTGCTAAACATTACCCTTGCTCCGGCTTCAATTTCTTCATAGAACCAGACAGGAATACTTTACTATCGCATTTTTCGCCATTACCAAACTACAACCTGCCCGTGCGACGCAAACTCTTGACATCACCCACAACTGACTACAACACCCACCTCCCACGCTCGCTGATTTGTCGGTTGAAATTCCACCGATTGTAATCGCTAACACAGGGACTAGACCCAGACGTTACATGCAGTGAAATGATGATTGAGCGGAGTGTACGGATGGCTAAGGCCAGGCTAGTTCAGTCCTAAACATGTGGTGGGAATATCAGCGTTTTCAATAATGCATGTGTGAAAAACTACACATACCATGTCACCCCACTCCCCCACAGCACACGGAGGCACTCCTTCTATTTCCAGAAGGGTTTGGAATGGCAAATTTTTCTTCTTGATTTATCTTACTTTTGTTTTACAGACGGAGAGTAGATTTCAGTAGATGTAGACATCCATCCATCCATCCATTTTCTTCCGCTTTATCCGTTGCCGGGTCGCGGGGGCAGCAGTCTAAGCAGAGACGCCCAGACTTCCCTATCCACACACACCTCCTCCAGCTCGTCCGGGGGGACCCCTAGGCGTTCCCAGGCCAGCTGAGAGACATAGTCTCTCCAGCGTGTCCTGGGTCTTCCCCGGGGCCTCCTCCCGGTGGGACGTGCCCGGAACACCTCCCCAGGAAGGCGTCCAGGAGGCATCCTGAACAGATGCCCGAGCCACCTCAAGATGTAGACAGTTTACCTTAAAAGTATTCTCGTAATAAATCTGTTTTGCATGTGTTTTGTTGTTGTACGTGACAGTTTCAACTGCTGTGTCTTCCTCAGAGTGGACTTCTTCAGAGCAGAATCCCAGATGTGCGAGAGTGAAAAACCCCCCTCGTCCTGGTTTATTGTCCTGTGGGCAAGTTTCCATATTACTATTGTCTCTTTGATCCAGTGTCGGCCTTTGTTGTCCTCAGCACCTTGCAATATTTGCTTCGAAACTGTATCTGGTCTTCAAAAAATTATCAACTCATAGAATCAAGACCAAATGAACCTCGTTGGACTATGTGCAGTAATGCTTCTTCATGAGCCAAGTATCCATCAAAAGGTTGTGAACGATTTGCTTCCAGTTTGCCAGTTCTCATTATCTTACACAATGCCAGAGTCACACATCTTCCAAATGCAGCTTATAGTCCTTTTGAGGGGAAGAAGATTTTAATTGGATTATCCTCCGCATCCCCTCAGGCCATGTAAACAGATACATCAAACATGGCAATATTCATTCTACCCCCAAATGTGCCCAGACTAAATAATACATAAATATGTTTAACAGTTTAATAGCCAGCATGCATGTGCAGAAGTTGGATAAGCTTATTAGCACCACCGTTGGTTCGGGGAGGAGATTGAGGTTAGTCTAAGCCCTAATCCTTATGAACCCTGACTCCTCCCTCTCAAGACCCACATAACACAACACCTACACACGCGCCCGCAACCACAATCATATGAGACTGATTGTTAGTGCATCCCGTCTTTCATCCCAAATCTCCCTCCGTGTTCATCTCGGTCGAAAGGAGGACGCTGAGTGGGTTCTCAGTCGCCATGGCTACCTCACACCCCATCTTCCACATCCATCTGGTGTCTCGTTGACAACCGGTTGTATCTGGACGGAACGAGAGGAGCAGGAGGAGCAGGAGTTCTGGGAAGAAGCAGGAGGATACAAGTGGAGGGTTGGAGTGATGTGGGGCTGACTCCGAGGTGTTGCCTGGAAACAGCAGCATGCCTGTACAGCAGATCACCGTGGTTCCAGCCAGGGACGGCAGCGGCGGCGGGAAGGGATCAGCACGTTCCAAAGACAAGAGCGAGGTGAGGTGGATTCACACAGGCCGACAGAAGCTCCAATGTTTTAAGTGTTTGAACAGAAGTTATGAGGGTCTTTAGTCCTTCTTTAATCAATCTACCTCAGACTAAGATACTAAATTCAACAGAAGCCTCCATTTTAAACCTGATAGCTACTGTTTGATCCAATTTATATTTGATTTTAGATTATATTTAAACTGATATTGCAGACTACTTGGATCATCTTTCATGAAAAAAATGAGTCAAAATTAATTTTCATACAACACATTTAAATTCTTGTTTGCTTGCCTCAAAAATAGTGCTTGACCGATAAAGACTTCTATGAAAAGATCTTTATGATCATATATTAATCTCTTACGAGACCAATAACAACTTTCTAAAAAGTTTCAATTTAAAATGTTATGGCTGAGTTCAGTAACAAGCTCATTACCTACAAACATATTACCTGTGAATACAATATACATTTATTCATAAAACGATTATACAGTACCACCGTCAGTGTTGGGTGACCTCCGTGCACCCAGCATCATCTCTGTTACAACACTCCTCAGGTGGACTGCTCCTAAGGTCTTAAGGTTCTCATTGATTGTCATGTCCACATATGGCTGTTCCATCAAAGATATAACAGTTTATTATAGATTTTTTTAAATCTCAAGTGAACACATGAATTGCAATGCACAGGATATGACCAACAAGTTGCCAGATTTATGCAATTTCAAGTCCCATGGGTGTCCAATGTCCAGTGAGTTATGAGGTACTATATCAATTCACAGAACTAGCATTTTCAGCATCATGTATTTCTTTTCTACAAAACATTGACTCATTTTAAGCAAGAGAATTTTGCCAATGTATTTTAGAAAATGGCATTTTTCACTGGTACATGCATGGTCTTAACCATAGTGGGCGGCACGGTGGCTGAGTGGATCGCACTCTCGCCTCTCAGCAAGAAGGTCCTGGGTTCGAATCCCGGCCGGACCAGGGCCTTTGTGAGTGGAGTTTGCATGTTCTCCCTGTGTCTGCGTAGGTTTCCTCCGGGTACTCCGGTTTCCCCTACCACTAAAAATATGTACAATAGGTCTGGCATGCGCCTCCTGTTCGGCGATCCCGCTCCTGTCTCTGTGTGGAGTGAGAGACAAGTGCCCAAAAATAATAACAATTGTAAACCGCTTTGTGACTCTGGTCTGTGAAAGGCGGTATATAAATAAAGCTTACTTACTTACTTAGTGAGCTCAAGCTTAAAGGAGTAGTCTATTGACCAAAAGTGGTACTGCAACATCACCCACTCTCCCTGACTCAGGTTGCCAGATATGCAGACAAATCCAGCTGGTCACATAATATCTGAATAGACAGTTTTGTCAACAACAAATCTATAACCAACACCTTTTTCACAAAGGCCCAGATATTCCTGGTTTTGTCATTAATAATTTGGGAATCAAAACGAGACCTTTTTTTAGTTCTGTGGCATAATGTTACTTAACCAGTGAGATTAGCTCAATGCAGTGTGTTCAGGCAACCCTGATAACGGCCTTTCTGAGTTGTAAAACGGCGGAGGGGGGTCCATCGGAATTAAAACAATAACCAGATTTTACGGGCTGTAAAACTAATTCTGAAAACCCAATATCACGGCTGAACTACTTTAAGAATAGTGTAAGTATTTGGAAATAATTTAACACAGAAAAATAGTCTATGTCACAAAAGTAAAGTAAGAATATTTTTTATTTCTTTATTGCGAGAAATAGCCCCGTGCACAGACAACAGACATAAAACAATGATGTACAACAAAGCACTGAAACGTGGTTGATGATAACATGGTGTAAGCGCAGTCACAGATGATGGAGCTTTAAGTTATAATTCATTTATATGGCTTTTATAATGTATATAAAGTGTTTTTTATTATCTTCTTTAATCAAAGACTGATAAGTGGGGCTTGTGTTGCTTTAGTGCATAGTCTTCATTTTCTAATAACTGCTGAAAGCTCACATCTTACTCATTATCTTCCTGTCATTGTGAAGCAGAATTCACCAAGCGTTGGATTGTTCACCCACTAATAGGGAACGTGAGCTGGGTTTAGACCGTCGTGAGACAGGATTGTTTTACCCTACTGATGATGTGTTGTTGCATTAGTAATCCTGCTCCTGAGTGTGTTCTACTTCAGTATATTGTGGTTATAATTATAGGCTAAAATATGGCGGGGCTTGAGCCCCGTATGTTTTTTGACCAGCCCTGAATGAAAATGTATCTGTTATTGATTCAATGATTTATACGGCCTCATAATTGAAGCTTCTTGCAGCAAGCTCCGCTTTTTCACTACCTGCCCCACAGCAACTTGTGAGCCTATTCAGACAAGATGGGTTTTTATTTTCACATCACTTCCTTTTATAGAGATTATAGGTCAATCACGAGGCATTTTCACATAGGCCAAGCTCTAGTGGGGGGGTGACTGCTGCTAACTTGAACACCCTGCTGAAGACTTCGCCACAGCAATGTACTTTGCAACTATTAACATATAGTCTCCTCTGCAACTTTGTTCCAACCAGTGGGGGTGGGTCCAGCCTCCAAAAGGTCCATGAGCAATTGCGCTGACATGCTTACAATCTCACCCCGGGCCGGTAAGGGTGGACCTTAGGGTGGACCGTATGGTGTCTTCGTTCCTATCAAAAACGTCTTTACAGGATGGTCCAAAAGTCCAGTTTAGGCTCTGTGGACTTCAGAAGGCACTCGTCAAATTAATGGGGCTAGTGCCGGCCTATGCATGCGCAAATGTGTTTTTCCACAATTTCCTGCCTCCGCGGCCATTTTAAAAAAGCCCAAAAAGTGGTAAAACATTAGTTTGGACGGGAGAGATATAGGCATGATTGTGTCCATTAATATTTACAGTCTATGGTTCCAACACAGAAACTTTCAAGCAACAGAAAAAAGGCACACACAACGTGCCTGCCTGTCTACAAAATAAACTGCAGGAATGCAATGTTTATTCAGTGCTTGTTCTGTCCGTGCATCACATCCATCCGCTCACCTGCTCCTCCTCAAGTGTATAGCCTTTTCTGCAGTTTATAGGAAGCACTTGCTTTCATTCAATTTCTCAAACTTAAATTTGACTAAAGGATTATGTTTATATACCATAAATTTGGATATTTATCCCATTAGATTTTTATTAACAAAAAAAACACAGTTACTGTTTTGATTGAACCAAAAACGGACCAAGGGTGAAAAACACTTTCAGTTTAAGAGTCATTTGCCAAAGTTTTCTTGAAATGTCTTTTACATGTATATCCAATCACTTGTTAATGTTCTAATGTTAGTATTCATTAATTGACATGATTGCTTTCTTGACAGCATTAGCTTTAGATTGTAATATACGGTAGCCATATTATCATATTGCCTTCAATGCTGTAAGTTAATCACAATAATTGAAAACCTATTTCAGAGATCATTAAAAAGCTGCTGTGAAAACGCATGTGATCTATGGTGTCGTCATAGACTCAGCTCAATCTTAAGCTGCACATTAATAATGCTATTAAAATGTCACTGATTCTTGTTAATTATGTGGATTCTTTGTGAAGATGCTGAAACACTTGCTCTGCACTTGTTACAAGTGTTCTTCGTAAATCAATCCAATAACTGCAGCTCTTTCAAAATTCTGCATTTGAAAAGGGTCTCACATTACTCCTTCATATACTGTGTGTTTGATCCTATGAACCTGTGTGCAGCTTCAGATCCTCCACCATCTTACTGTTGAGTAAAACCGAAAGTAGAAGCAGCTTTCCAGCATTATGCTCCTAGTAAATGGAACGCTCTCCCTCATGACTATAGACTCACTTATTCAGACTTTCTATTAGATGTTGAATATCTAGACGTGTTCCTCTGTTAAGTACATTGAGCGTCAGTTTGTGATAAATACATTTGCTTCCTTCCTACTTTTGTGTGTGTGTATGTGTGTGTGTGTGTGTGTGTGTGTGTATGTGTGTGTGTGTGTGTGTGTCTGTGCGTGTGTGTGTGCGTGCGTGTGTGCGTGTGCGTGTGTGTGTGTATGTGTGAACAATTGCACTGACATTAAGTTTCATGTAAATCAACCAAAGTAGGTTACTTGTGGCTTTCTCTTCCCCCTTTTTCTGCTAAACATCAAGCTCTTTTTAAAACTGACTCCATTATGACATGGACAGGGTGGCTAACAAGTACATATTTGAAATGTAGAGTTATTGCAATTTCAACGTTGATTAGTGCTCAAACCCATCACAAATGCTGGGTAAACACAATGCATTTTTTCTAGACCGTTTTCGATTGCTATTAAATTGTATTTTTTGTGATCATCATATGCTTTTATTTATTTTATAGATTTTTTTTTGGATAATTCTTCTTAATTTTATTCTAGCCTTATATTCAATTTTGTCTGGACCATATAAATGGGGGAAATTAATGTTGTTGTTTATTATTCTTTCCCCGAAGTTACCATTTTTCCATATATTAATTGGTTTTCCTCGAATTGCACTGTTCGCATGTGGAATCAGGAAAGTCTATTTTGTTCACTGATAATGGCAATCACACTTTCTTTCATGCTGGTACCGGACACAATCATATTTATTTATATATTTGGTCCTATTTATAGGCAAACATTGTGCAGCGCAGTGTTTGCTGTGACTTTAAAAGGGGCACTATTTTAAAGCTGGCTATCAGTAAATCCTTTGATGAGCTTAGAGCGTGCCGCCATCTCTTCGTCCGTGGCACTTCTATTTCTTAAAGTGATTCACACATGTACAGTAGGTGTGTGTGGGCTGGTGTACACGCAAGCCTTCTTTCGATCTGATACCAGACAGGATGTGGACAACCGCAAGTCTATTCTTCCATTGCCATTGCACTGAGGAGTGTTTTTACAAGGAAATGTTCACTGCCCACCAATGAATTACAGTCTTATGTAGTATCTATCCACCCAATGGTGATGGCCAGTAAGTTCAAAAAGGGGTACCAATCCAGCACCAATATGGATATTTTGACCAGTGGGGGCGGGTCCCGGCTCAATGGCCGAAATGACGTGCGCTGACATGCTTGCAATACCACCCCGGGCCGATGGGGGTGGACCCGGAATAAGAATTAGCCAATGCTAACATATAGCATAGGTGACCTCTCGAAAACGTCTTTACAGGATGGTCCAAAAGTTGGCTCTTGGCCCAAAGCTCCGTTCCACATGTGTGTCAATGCTGAGGGGGGTGAATGTTTTTGGACCAGTCTAGTTTACTTGCTGTGAATTTTTGAAGGCACTCGTTTAAATGAATGGGGCTCACGCCGGCTGACGCATGCGCAGATGCGTTTTTTCACAATTATCTTGTTGGCAGGACCACTCGCGGCCATTTTGGATAGCTCCAGTAGAGCACTTTTTTGGCCCATTTGTTTGAACGGCAGAGATAGGCGTGACTACATCCGTTGATATTTACAGTCTATGATTTTGACGTAAAGTATTGGCTGATGAAAATGTATACACATATAAACAAACCCAAATAAATGTATTACAAACATAGATCAAGTTGTGTCTTTGCAGTTTACTACATTACTATTTTGCAAGGGAAAGGCTATGGTGGTCAATGCTAACTTTCTATCTCAATGTAGCCCAAAAGGGAAGTGCTCGTGGACACAATTTTAAAAATTGCTCTATGATCCTGGAATTTCATTTTGATTTTGTATTTGTAACCAATCAGTATTTTTGTATAGACCAATTGGATGCCTTCAAAATTCCAACTTGCCTTAGCAACCATGCTAGTAATTTTAGTGTTGGCATCTGCCACTGTTACAGCGCAAAGCTAACCACGCCCATGTCAGGAATGGTCGTCCTGAAGATGTGAGACAGGCTTTTATCAAATCCAGGTCTATGCTCGTTCTTATTTTACTTGTGTTATACAAATGAAATACCCATTCATAACACTATGACTGGATATTATAATGCGCTTGATGCTGAATATGTTGACATTATCGTTTTATAAGTTTTTTGATTAGTCTGTACTCTGTGTTTAATGACAGCTTGAGCAGCCTCTTGGAACAAACCCTCACACCCGTTATCTACACATGAAAGCCAACCAGGCCACAGATGGACGGTGTCACATTCAGCGCTGCTCTGTAGAATAAAGTGGAGTTTAAATTAGAAACACATTGCAGTAGGAGTGTCTTGGACTATCGGCTAATGGGATTGGCTGGCTTTACCTCAGACCACAATGGATAAAAGTACAAGTGCGTGACTTCTACAACACAACAAAACACAAGCAACTGCAAAGAATACCCAAAAAAGAAGAAAAATCCTAACTAATATCTTTTTTACAACTCAAACATCTGTACGTTCTTAGCAGGTGGCCAGCCCCTGTGCTACTCCGAGTCCCAATAGCAGGCCAGTCCCTGTGCTCCTCAGAGTCCGAGTTGGTTTGGCACTAATATGTTGCTGACGTTACTGATTTTATGTAACTGTAAGAGATACTGCAAGTGACTGATAATCCTCTCTCTTTGATTCTGGGGCGCAAAAAGAATATCTGGCTGCTAGGACAGATTTAACAGAAGAGATCTCCGGGTGTCTCGAAAATCTCAGCAAAATATATTTATACAATCAACTAGATGCACTGAACTGAACTGTTGTTGTACTGGTTTATTGTATGAACACGGACAAAATCCCTGTAAGGTTTATAGTACAAAAAATAATTACTCTCTGCCACACAAGAGAGTAAGCAACAGATTTGGACTGGTTCGACATTATTTAACAGAAGTGATAAGACTGAATCAAAGCTGGGCTACCTAACTTTAAAAAAACAACAACATGGAATTCTTCATGTTTTATTGTACCTCTATCACATCTTTAGACCAGCTTTTTAAGACACAATTGTGAAAAAGAGACCTGCTTGCTCAGTCAATCAGCTCTCAGCCCCAAACTCTCAAGGTTCTTACAAGTATGCAAAAGATAACATTTTCCTATAAGATAAAGACAGCCGGTTGTGGGCTGATTTTTTTCTCACAACAAGACTCTGTCTGTTGGGAAAAGACAACACATATTTTTTTCAAGATTGAAATATAATTTAGCTAGTATTAAAATCGTAACAAAAACATACCCATTTAGATAGTGTTTTTTTTGTTGGTGCTCCCATTGGCTACTGTGTCTTTACCAAAAGCTACAAAGTGACTTGACAGCATCACATTCTTGTGTGAGCTCCATTGATCGGCCTCTGTCTCTCCTTTCTGTAGGGAAAGAAGGCCCCTGGACGCTCGGGAAGTCGATCCAGCAACATCTCCAAGGTAACCAGCGATCATCCCACACTCCTATTAATATCCCAGATACGACTGGGGCAGAGGTACCGCTGCCTATCCAAGCAGAAGCTAATGTGCTAATGCTGCGCTCTCAAATCAATAGAAATTCCTCATAGTGCTACCAACAGCCTTTTGGTCCATTACACACTTGACTGTAAAAAAAATGTATGTTTGTGTTGGAGGCAAGGAGTGTATTATTGTTTCGAATTTAGAATAGAAGCAACAAAGCTAATCTTATCCTCTCTTCCTGGCATCAATATTTACAGTATAGAGATGAAAGTGCAGCACTGAATTTTGTACTTGAAGTATAGTATATTATCATGGTACGATATTTTTATAGCCATAATTTCTTATGTTTTACAATATGCCAATGAACATAGACAATGGAAAATAAGATTATTTTGTAAAATGATAATAGTCATTATCCACCGTATTAACCAAGTTGCAACATTGGTAACATCAAAACAGGTTGTTTTTAGATCCATCTATTTTTTTCATCAGGAATCTCTGGCATAAACACAACTGGCATAGGGATACAACTTGCACAATCATCAAATGCAAAACACTTATTTTCCCTGCTGGTGTCATTCTTTTCTTTTTATAATTTTTAACCGAATCTCAACCATGTGTATTTTGCAGGTCAGCAACTCGACTGGACTGCCCAGCGCCTCAAGGACCTCTGTCACCCCGTCTTCTCAAGACATTTGCAGGTGTGTGGAGGCTTTCCTGCAACTCTAAATGTTCAGCTGTTGACATGTTCTGGGTGAGTGGGAGGCTTCGTGAGCTCTATCCTGGAGGCATAACCAAATTAATAGGGATGAGAGCCCTAACTCAATCAGTGAGAGGAAGATGGCTGATTGTACAGTCCACTTCACTTAATATCCATTTGAGCGATTTCTGTCATATACACGCGTTTACCCACTGCATGTGTTTGTCACCAACCAATCAAGACATTTTCTTTAAATCTTTATTTGTTGTGTCGTTTGATGTAATATTGTTTTCATGAAATCGAACAACTGTGACTGGGAGGCTTATAATCCCATAAGAGGTAAAGTACCAAAATAGATTTGGCTGTCTTTGGTTGCTATTGGCATGTACGGGTATTCCAATCAGTCTGCTGAACTCTGGATGAACTTTCTTGACCTACAAATCCACACCATATACCCTTGAAGTTGGGTTTATCATATGCCATTTTCAAGAACTGTTTATTCCTGCCTGACCAGTTTACATGCTTCTACTGAGCTTCTAAACCTAATTTCCCTGGGGTCCAGGATTTTAGTATGCTAATGGTGTTTGAGCCAGATGATATTGTGCTACCACTTTGATCACTTAAAGTAGCAATATAATAATGCAATGGTTTTATATAGTGCTTTTTTGGACACTCAAAAAGACGCTTTACATGTCATTATTCATTCACTCCATACACGGTGGTGATAAACTTCTACTGTAGCCACAGCTGCCCTGGGGCACGCTGACAGAAGAATATGTAAGATTTTCATGCCATGTCATCATTAAATGGCCCTAATATGTCAAAAGTTATTAATAAACCATGCTCTTTTTGAATACTTATTTAACTGATAAGGGGGCTGGTGCTCTGTGTGCTGGGTGCAGCTCTGACTGTCACCTCCCCTGACCACTGTAAACCCTAACAAGTAAAGTTTACTTAAAAAAACTTTGGAAATAAATTGCATATTAACTTCACTTGAATTACCCGAGTACATACTTTACTTGATATTACCAAGTAACTCAAGCCTTTGCAATGAAGTTTAAATTTTGCTCCGACCAGGAGTCGAACTCACAATGTTGAAGTTGAGAGGTGAAGGTGCTACCCACTCAACCACCGTGCTACCTTACCCCATTTCACACCTGTCTAATTTAAGACTCTACACGTCAAAATGTCAAAAGTGAGGCTTACTTGAACAGAGAGAGTTCAATTCAAAGAAAACCCTGAGTGATATCGCCAAGCTTTAAATAAACTAACAATAAATGAGTAATATTCACTTACTGGGAAAAATCTATTTAAAATAACTTTGATATCTGAAGTACGATTGAAGTTAGGGTTTACAATGGATTAAGGGGAAGAGAATGGATGGATGGACAGTAGTTCAGCCGAGATAATCAAATTTCAAAATTATTTTTACAGCCCGTAAATCTTGTTATTGTTTTCATTTTGATGTCCCGCCCTCCACCGTTTTACCAATCAGAAAGTCTGTGACCGGGTTGCCATAACTCACCGTGTAGAGCTAATCTCACTGGTAAAGAAACATGTGGCCTTGTCATGATTCTCAAATCATTAACTACAAAACAAAAAATAAAATGAGAATTTCTATCGGGCCCTTTTGAAAAAGATGTTGGTTATAGATTTGTGACAAAACTCTTGTCTATTCAGGTATTATGGTCCCAGCTGGATTCTTCTGCATATCTGGCAACCCGAGTCAGGGAGAGTGGAGAGGTTGCATAAAAGAATATTTTGAACAGCCTTATTTCTATACATGTAGTAGTCTAAACTAAAACTACATAGGACTGGACAGGAACCAACTAAATATCAGCTGGGGTAATAATTTACATATGTAGTTTTTTCCAACAGAAAGAGTCTTGTAAAAGTAAAATGGGTTCAACAAATCAGACCATGTCATGTTATGTGTACATGTTATCCTCTGCAGGCTGTGAGTCACTACTGACACTTTTGGCTGAAAGCTGATTGGCTGAGTAAGGATGGTCCTCTCTTTTTCACGTTTCTGCCTGAAAAAGCAGAAACGTGAACCAAATTGTTCAGAAAGCGAGGAACTATAGTTAAATTGAGTTTATTACGTGTTTACATTTTTTATGGTTTGAAAGTTAGGGTTAGGCCATAACAGTTAGGTACCCCAGCTATGAAAGACTAACCATAATTAACCCAAATTTAACAACATAATAGACTGTATACATAGGGAAGATAGAATGAAGCCAAGGCTAGACCTGGACTATATAAGCTAAAGTATACAGTATATATTTTATATTTTGTTGACCGGATCAAATTGGGGGACCAGATTCTAAGAGGCCTGACATATATTCTGTGTTCAAGTGCTTTCTTCCCATTTCATTCATACATTTCTGTTTCCATTGTTTTGTGTGCATGTGTTCAGTTCTGGCCCATTGTCTCGTTTAGAAGAGGAAGAGTCTGAAGTAAAAAACTCAGGGAGGCACACGAGCTCTTCCACAATGACAGTAGTCAATGCCCTGGGCTCCTCCAACACCGGGCCGTGCAAAAAGAAACAGGTGAAGCGCCGCCACCGCCGCAAAGGAACGGGCTGCCCCACCTTCAACTGTGTGGACAGTTCCTCCAAACAGGAGCTGATGGAGCACAGTGTGAGCTCTGAGAAGGGGGAGAAGAGAGAACAGTCTTCTAAAACCACCAGGGATCTAACCCCTGGCCTCAGCTGCCCAAGTGCCAAGCACACTGACTCCACCTCAGACGAGGAAACGTGGAGACAGACCCGGAGTTGGAGCAAGGAGAAGGCCAGGAGGGCCCGGCGCCGCAGCACAAGCAGCCAAGACAGAGACATGGTCCAAGCTTTTGAAAACAAGGTGGAAGCGATGGAACTACAGTCTATCAGCTCAGAGGAGGAGAAGGAGAACCAGCTGCTGGAGGAGAACTGTAGCGGAGGTTTGAGGAGTCGTCATGGAAGCAGGGCCTCCATGAAACAGGACAAAGATGTGACCAAAGATTTGTCAGAGGTGAAGGAGACGTCTCTGAGCAAAGAACAAGAGGAGGAGAAGTCTCACAGCAGCAGCTCCGCACCAGAAGAAGAGGAGCTCCAGGAGCACATCACCAAGCGCTATCAGGAGAGAGGCTCAGGGGGCGGAGACATGTCTGTGCCCACCCCCCAGGCCCACTGCACAGGCAACGGGGTCAACACACTGCCCCCCTGCTCCGACTCGGAAACAGAGGTCTGCAGGTCAGTTTGGAGAGTCATGTGTCATGTGTGTTGTGTAAAGCCATATATTCTCAAATAACCGTGTTTATTTTCAAATGATAACATCAATGAGCCAATCTGGGGAAATATCAAAAGTAGAAGCAAAGCAATAGCGAGTAATAAAAAAAGTCTTCTTATGTTATTGTTCATAATCTCGGAAACATTGCCAAAAAATAAAAGTAACTGCTTGGCACCTCAAATTATGCAGCTTGTTTAATTTGTATTTTTATCAGCTGTTAAATGTTTTTTTGAATATTTCTAGTACTCACTATTCTTTTTCATATTTGAAACAAACGTATTTCTCATGTTTCAAAAAATCCAAAAGGCACTTCATTTGGAGCAAATGTCATGTTCTTCTGTGTCCAACAGGATATGTCACTGTGAAGGGGATGACGAGTGTCCATTGATTATGCCTTGCCGCTGCACAGGAAGTCTCAGTTTTGTCCATCAGACCTGCCTGAACCAGTGGATCAAGTCTTCAGACACTCGCTGCTGTGAGCTCTGCAAGTTTGACTTCATCATGGAGACCAGGCTCAAACCGATACGGAAGGTCCGTTCACGAAAACATGGGATGGGTACATAGTCATTATTCAAATTAGTATGAACTATATCTACCATCTGCCCCCAGTCATTGGTTGAGAGGTTAAATTGACTGACCCGCACGTTAGCAGGTGTGTGAAACCAGCTTCCATTGGTGAATACTGCCATGTGTCCTTGGGCAAGACACTTAACCGACCTCACCCCCAGTGTCTGTACACTAGTGTATGAACAGGTGTGTGAATGAAGCACTTTAAGTACTTTGAAAAAATAGAAAAGCGCTAAATAAATAAATGACCATTTAAAGACACCAACGCTAATGTAATATTTACTAGTATTCTGACACTTTACTGCTGTCTTAAAGATACAATATGTAACTTTTCTGGGAGCTAGCTGGCATCAATCCTGTGGACATTATTTCAGGTGTATTTGATTCATTTTAACATATTTTCTTTGTTATCGTTTCGGTAGGGATAAAGTGGTGTATATAGATACCAGTAATCCAGTTAGTTGATTAAAAAGAAGCTTCGATTACATTTTTTCACACAAGCTGTTCCTGTAGACACCCACTCTGAATGCAAATTATGTGATCTTGCATTTAACTATAACATTTTTGACCAATGTTATAGTTGTTCTCCATTGTCCTTTACAAATGTGTGAGTAACTTATATTTTCATATAATTCTCTCATGATCCTCTAAACACTGTTTACTGTTACTTATTTTGTTTTTGGAATCTGTTTCCTGTCATTGATGATAGAGCAGAGTTGCATAGACAATTGTGTTTGAAGCTAAGAAATATGAATGATTGTCAATATGTAGCTTACAGCAGCCATTTTATGTCTTGCTATTGTATGCAGAAATATCTGTTTAGAGTAACTCATCACATATACACTACACACAGCATTATTTCCCTTTTTAGAATTAGAATAAGCATTAAAAGGAGAGCTCAGATGTTCCATATCAAACGCCTGTTCTCCTCTTACGCGTTCGTCAGTCTGGCTATGATCTGACAAAATAAGTTTTGCGCTCGGTTGGCTGAACCTGTCATGTCTTGTAGTGGGAGAAGCTCCACATGTCCAAAGGTGAGAGGAGGAAAATCTTCTGCTCTGTCCTGTTCCACCTCATCGCTCTCGGCTGCATGCTGTGGTCAGTCTACATCCTGGTCAAAAGAACTGCTGAGGAGGTCCGGTTGGGAAAGAATGGTCTGTACATGAAAACAAAAGTATAACCATATTTCACTTTGAATATATTCATTAAAAACATAGTCTATTTACTTGGACTATGTTTTATAATGGTTGTCTCTTCTCTATTGACTCCTGTATAAGGAGAGTAGAAGCTGGATAAATGTAGGGGCCTCATTTATCAAGCATTTGTATACTGGACATGATTAGCATCCTTTCAAATCGGAATCAGCTGATTGATCATGCACATGTCCTATAAAACTAAACCAGGACAATTGCATAACAGCTTTACTTTTCATCCACAATTTTGCACCTGGATTGATAAATGACGCCCTTGGTCCCATAGATCCATACTCCTCCTTAATGGGAAATATAACAAATATATAAAAAGTGTTTGACTACAATCTTTGTATGTGCTTGATCTTCCTGTTGATCATCAATGACCGACAAAATGTAATTATATGTTGACCATTACAACTTTATAATAGTTTTATCTGGACAATGGCAATGCCACTTTTGCATTGACTTTAGTCTGCAATGTATTTCTAGAGCCTCTAGTCACAAAGTGCATAGATCAGTACATACACAAATATCAGTAAACATATACGCTTTCATTCGAGACGTCCAAGACAGAGGCTCTTGCACATATATGTATTTATTTATTATTTGAAGCAGGTCGTAATCCCATCCCAGACTGTGTTGTGACAGTGGCCACAATGTTTTGTTTTAGTTTCCCTGGTAGAATTGAGTGTACACATTCACTACTATGTGGCCAGAAAAATGAAAATAGTTAAATAAAATCATATTGTACTATTATAAAGAGAGATTGCGCCCACTCTTGATTGCAGACGAGTTATGGAGACTTTCTCTTACGAAGCACTACTCGACCGGGGGTAAGCACAGCTCAGCAAAGCCCTCATGCTTCTTTTTTCACATCGTAAAGTATTTCTATGACCGGTGTCTCTGCATGTGCGTTTGTGTCTGCCAGGTGTGCTGGAGTGGCCCTTCTGGACCAAGCTCATTGTGGTGGCAATAGGCTTCACTGGAGGACTCATCTTCATGTACATCCAGGGTAAAGTGTACCTGCAGCTGTGGCACCGGCTCAAAGCCTTTAACCGCATCATCACTGTGCAAAACTGCCCCGATAAGGAGCTCCACAACCCCCTGGCCCGTAGGTCTCACCACAGCAGCCCCAGTGTGGAGGTCGGCCCAGCACCTCACCCAGACTCAGACCTGTCCGTGGAGGCTGCTGTGGCCCCAGCACAAAGCCCTGTCTGACTTTGACCCGTTCACCTGCTCATCGGCATCGAAAAGGTCCATTTAGAATGAGATTTGTCAAACATGCAGGACTTGCGCTCAGCAGCAAAACTGATGAAAAGGATACTAAAGCCATCTTTGTAAGACTGCTGCGAAATTGTACTTTTACGGTTTATAAAACTTATTTTTGTATGCACTTTGTCTAAATGCACTTCGGTGCCACTATTGATGACATGAAAAATGCGGACACTCTGCCATGTTGTTATGATCAAGTCTTTAAAATATGTTATGATTTCAACAATATTCCAAACCAACAGGGATCCTTTGGCTCTTGCTAGTCGTTTTTAAAAGATGCCTCTTGTGGTTGTAAAACAAGTAACAAACACTCTTTACCTTTTTTTTTATTTTCACAAATTTATAGTTTATATTTGAGTATTTATAAAGCCTGAAATGGACAGTCTGTAAATCGTCTTCAAGTCACTGTTAAACAGAAAGTTGATCTTCACAGGTGGACAATCAGGTTTTCACAAACAAAATATAAAACAATAAATACTGGTTTAATTTACAACAAATCTGGTGCTGTGTTTAATGACTGGTTGTGTAACTTGTGCCATTTCGGTTGCCATTTTATTTTATATGAAAAACATGCAAGTTAAAAATATATGGTTTCCCATAATTCTACACTGTAATGTCAATACTAAATAAGATGTGGTCATCTCACGTATTACATTTAAGTCCTTGTTATTACTGGATCAAAATGACAGCTTGCTGTCCATTTCACTTTGTAAAATAAATTAACATAGGGGTCCGTTCAAGTTGGCGCCATCTACAGGTCAGGAGCATCTCAGTCTGACATTAACAACATGTCCTCCTGCTCCTCATCCAAGTCCTCCTCTTCACCTCCTTTTACCTCCTCTAAGGATTCTTTATCCTCTTCAAGTTTTTCTTCTGATTCCTTATCCTGCACGTCACCTTTTGTCTCCAGTCCTTTGTTAGAAACTTTCCGAAGTTTAATATTTGGTAATTTTTTCAAATCTCCGGTCCATTCTCTGTCAAAACATTACATTTGGCAGACATTTAACTTAACTTTAAAAGAAACAGTGGCCGTTTTGTAGATTTGTAATGACAGGATGTGCCTACAAAAGTCGACCCACTCACCTGAACATTTTTAGATGTTTTGCGTTCATGATGTCTGGGATTTCTGCAGGAAAAGTGGTGTATTAGAACATTGTTGTAAAATGTACAAGGAAAATAATAAGCGCATTTCTTACCAAATCCGACGCCATCAAACTGCGCCCGCTCTCTCTCAATGGTCTGTTTGATCACTGCTTCTCTGGCTCCATGAAGACGACCTTGACGACCTTTGATTCCATTCAACAACTCAATCTGTTCCAGTTCAGAGTCAAATCTCTGCAGGTACCTATCAAACACAACAGATACAAATAACGCATGATCAAAAGCGTCCTGCGCAATCTATTTAACAAGTGATTACCTTTCGATTATGTCACATGCGTCTTGTTTTGAGTAATTTGTCCTTGTGGGATCAAGCTGTTCCTGAAACCACATCAGTTTTTCGCCTGAGAAAAGATCGGAAGCAAAGGATTTGTTTAATCACATTATAACACATACTCTAGTGGTGATATATTTACCTATGTTGTTGAGGCGAGAGGCTTTGTCATTTTGGTGCCTGGGAAAAGAAGAACAATGTTATCAAAGTTAGGGATACCACTATAGATACCAAAGATATCATATTGTCTGCATGTTGTGTCTATTGCATCCTCTGAATCCCAACTAACCGATTAACCTGTTTTGTCCACAAAACAGCAAAAAGCCCAGTGGATCATCTCTCCTGATGTTTAGGCACAACTTGTTCAGGGGTAGACAATTTGAACTAGGTTATGTTGGCCTTGTATGTCTAAACCAGTCAAGGTATACGCACTACAAGTCCTAGCCAGTAAACTTAGATGCACTTAGTCTTATCTAAAAAGCTTAAATGCATGACAGGTCATCGCCAGTCAACTTAAATGCACTGTAAGTCCTATCTAGAAAGCTTAAATGCACTACAGTTCGTCAGTAAACACAAATGGTGCATCTTACTGCTACAGGGATGCAGGATTAATCACAATCTAACCAAAATCGGTAAATGCATTTATTTCAGTCCTTCGCAAACAAAAGATCCAGGCCTTTTTAATAGAGAAATGTCAGTATCAACGCAAATTGATCTAAATAAAATAGTAAAATAATGTCTGCATTTTCTTCGTTAGTTTGACTAGTCCTTAGGCTGTCTTCACCAAAATGTTACTGCGGTCAAATGTTGAACAATTTAAAAAAAAAGAACTTTAGGGAGCTTCTTGGAAGTGGGTGGCGAGTTGTTATAATAGATCCATAGTGGCGAGCTACTGGTAGCTCCCGCGCCACAGGTTATAGACCCTTGTTGTAAACCTTAGTATTAGACAGTCTGTTTACCCATCACGTCCTTCTGGAAACAATCCATATGATCACAATGATACCTGTACAAACTCACTTCTCTTTGCGCTTGAGTCGCAGCTCCTCTCGTGCCAGATACGCAGCCTTCCTGCTGTACGGATGAACGGCTTTCTCCGCTGGTTTCCCCTTCTGGGCTTTCGGCTGCACACAGGTACAGGAACAAACAAGCATATGTTTCATCTTTAGTGTTAATCGGGAAATTGGAAGTGAATCCAATCTGAAAGATGTCTAATCACCATTTTCACGTGAGAAGTGTAAAAGCCCCACGCGTGCCCCTCGTGGATGTTGTTGACAAATGCACCGGAAGCTGGTCCGCTGGTGAACTTTGCCCGCTGTGTACTAAAGAGCAGACCACAGAGACTCTTTAGGCGTCAATTTACAGCGGTGCATTTATATCTAACATAATGGGTTCATTATTATAATTGTTTATATAGAGATTATAAATTAATGTATCATATTTATTTTCTAAGTTTCCTAGACGAGCCCCTTTTTCATCTGTGTGAGAACAGGGACATCTTGTGGTGACTTTTAAGAATAACAGAACATTTTCCTTTAATGAAGGACTCTCTCTTTGAAGGACCATTAAAGTTGGGGTACCTAATCTTAAAAAAATATCTTTTCGCTCCAAACCAGTTTGGTTCAATCATTAGTCTTCATATTTCTGGCCTCTAGATTTGGCCTTTTGAATATAAGATAAGATGAGATAAGAGATCTTTATTCGTCCCACAGTGGGGACGTACAGGACACATACAGGACAGCAGTCACAACACAGGGAGCACACAAAATATACAAAATAAGTAGTAGCTATGTTTCTTAGCTAGCTGTATATATATATATAATTTTTTTTTTTGGGGTAAGCTGGACCACAGAGTGAAGGCGAAAGGACCAACAAGTGCTAAGCATCTGTGCGAACTCCTTCATGACTGCCAACCCTTCGTGGGCGACAGTAGCTCAGTTGGTAGAGCATTGACCTTTGAGCCTGAGGGTCGTGGGTTCGAGCCCGACTTTCACCATCGACTCCTGCTGTCGTTGTGTCCTTGGCAAGACACTTTACCCCCATTGCCTAGAATGAGTCTGGTGTGTGTGTGAATGGTTGGTGGTGGTCGGAGGGGCCGATGGCACATACTGGTTGCCTCGCTTCTGTCAGTGTGCCCCAGGGCAGCTGTGGCTACAGTAGTAGTTTATCACCACTGGGTATGGAGTGAATGAACAATGACATGTAAAGCACTATGAAAAATTATTATTAAGACTGTTGGAAGACCATTTCAGGTGGCTTCAGTGTGAATCTACAATTTTCATAATCATTAAAGTAAAAAAACTCTTTGAATGAGAAGGTGTGTCCAAACTTTTGGTCTGTATACTATGGTAAGTGAAAAAAGAGGTCCACTCTCGCCAATCAGCTCTCAGCCTAAAGCGTCAAATAGTGACTCACATGGCTCTTTGTTATAAGTATGCAAAATATCACAAGTTTTTGAGAAGAAGACGACATGCTGTGGTCTGACGTGTTCAAAGATGACGAATGATTCTGCAACCCAGTCCTGCCTTCCACCTTTCAACATATATAATATAACATTTACTGATTGAGTAATATTTCCATTTGGCAATAGTACAGTCTTGAAAAAGTTTCAGAAGCAACTTTTGCAAAAGGCAGGAATATATTTTATGTCTGATTTAGAGTTATATCAATATTATTTGTTAAAATAGGAGAAAAGTGAATTATTTCAGGTCGACGCACACTCTGCTTATGACTCACTCTCATTGTACCATTAGGTTTAAGATACTCTTCCAAAGTCTTTGGTAATACATGTCATTACCAACTCTGCAACTCCTGCCGGTCCCCCGCCCAAGGCCCACACAGAAACTGAACACAAAATTACTATTTGCCAGATTAATTGATATGTTGAAAAATACTGTATGAGGTCAGTCCAAAGAGTTTAATCATGTGTTCTGCTAGGGGGAAAAAACAACCTTGTAAATTGAGATAATGCTGCCGCTCACTGTCATGCTCTAACTTGTGTGTTTTCCAATATACTCATTTATAACAAAGGCATTTCAGCTTCATATGCCACATTGCACAGTGTTTATATCATCTTGTCTATTAAACACTTTTCTCACCAAATTATTTTTTCCCCCTCCTTTTCCCTGTTCAGCCAGCATACCTACCAGACAGGAATGCAACTTGCAGCCACACGCACCCAGCGGATTGCATCACATCCCTCCGCTCGATGTGACTCAGATACTGGCTGTTTTCAGTGTTTGAGGAAGTGCGATGGTGTGACAAGAGCGCGAGCAGAGCACAATGGCAAAAACATGTCTGTCCACTTTGACATGAGAGGACCCCGCAATCAGAAGTCCAAATCCCCCTCACTGCTGTTATTACTACTGCTGCTGCTGAGTGGACTGAAACACACAGGTAAGAGTGGAGTGAAGGAGGGATAGGGCTGGGCACAGGTAGAGACGGACACAATATTTGTCTTTATTCAACCCGGGGGAACACAAGTTGATTCATAGTTTGCTTGGGAAACACTCAAAGGTTGTGTGAAACTGCATGTTAGTTGTTTAAAAAGGTTTGGTTTTGTTTGGAGGAACACAGAACTTATGCCGGGGTTTTTTTTTTTAAATTGTGGATATCAAAATTGCATGACAATGTCAATCTGAAAGAGATTCCGGCAAAAAAAAATCCTATATTTTATAAAAAAAACGTGTTTTTCATGAATTTAAGTTGTCTATGCTCTAACCTGTGTGTGACGTCATAGCGGGTTACGCCCATGCATTGAAAACCATGGATCTATGCCACAGGACTGCCTTTTCTCTCCTCTCTCCACTGATGCCCAACACAATACTGCCCTCTACAGGTGACAATTGCTCACTACACATAAATTGCCATTATGAGTGTGAAAAAGTGTCTGAGGTGGGATTTGAACCCCAGTATCTGGATTGGCAGTCCATCGACACAACCACTGGACTACACACTCGCTGTACACAGCCTTGTCATCTTGAATATGGCCAAAAAAAGAACGAATACCAAATTGTAAACAACTTACAGCGTTGAAACGTACCCACTCTGACGTCACCAAGGGCTGTGAAGTTTTTTCGTCTCTAAGGGCGTTGCTATGGGGTTATTTCGATTTGGGGGGATCAGACAAAAAAAACAACAACTGATTTTGAAACCTTTAGTAGTTCTCTTCTAGTATAAAATGGTATTAAAACTGTATTTCTAAATAAATCAAACCCGGCATAAGGTCTTTAAATGACCCAAATTCATAGTGTAATTTTATTGGAAAAACACACAATAAACTCAATTTCAAATTGTTCTCATGTAACACGATATTTTACTGAATATAAGTATCAAAGTGTATTTAATTCATTCATCAATGCTGTAAATTTTAGTAGTTCTGAGAGTAGTAAAAATACCTAAAATATCACCTTCTTGACAATTAACTGTGTGTGTAATTCAGTCTCCTTTCACATGCGGTGTTGGTTAGAAACTGGTTTCACCTGAGGGGCTTAAAGAGTATCAGTCAGCTTTTAGGAAATCCTGATCAAATTCACGAGATGTTACGATGCTATAATTTAAAAAACACATTCCCATAATAGATTAGAGAGTTTTAAATGTAATGTATTGCAGTGCATTATTGTGAAAACTATGTAACTTGACTAAATACTGCAAAATTACCCCCTTGTTGGAGGAATAAAGTTTCTTGTATCATCGTATCTTCAGTGTATCCATAACCAACGAATAACACATTGTAGTTTCAAGATTGAATTTTCTTTGCCATGTCCATACATTTTGGAATATTTGTGCAGGGCTCTCAGTCAAGTCAGGTCAACGTATAACTGCTTTGACTTTGAAAATACGTTTAAAAAAATGAAAATGTGAGCATGCGTTAGGTCTGTAAACCTGAATTATGCAATTTTATCATAAAATCAACTCAAAATGTATAATCAATGTCTCTGCCCATCAGTTAAACGAATATGTGAGCCCTGCCGTACTCTTACTAGTTACTATTGTTGTTGGTAGCTGTTACTCTACATGTCTCAAAAATGTATTTTCTATCAACCCTCAGTATGCCACATAAGTAATTACTAAGTTTCATGCTTACACAACTTCTTTCAGTTAATGTGATTTTGTGCTTTTTGTTATAATTGCTCTTTTTTGGTACTATAATTTTAGAACATTACGAACATACATAAAACATAGATACCAAAATAACACATGAAAATATAATCTTACCTAATTATAATGCAATAAGCAGAAATGATCCACAGTGGTGATGATTGATCATTTTTTTTACAAATGAAAATACATTTATTTCCACAAAACTATTTTTACAAATTCTCAAGAAGAGATCCACGAGTACGCATCACACAAATGACCAATATGCCTCTCAAACAGGACTTCTTCAACCTTTGTAACCACCTCTTGAAACTGTGCTGGAGGAAGTGCAGAGTTCCTGTTGGCTCATGCAGTGACTGTTTATGATTTTATTTTATTTTATTTTTTAGGGATTTTTATGATAGAGAGCAATGTTTTTTCAATAATTTTTTCTGACGATAGCATTTTTAAAAGACATTTATTTAATATGGACAAAACAATTACATTGAACGAACCAGATGCAGATAAAATAAATTAAAAAGAATAATTTACACGTGAGAACAAGTCTGTCTGGATCTTAACCACTGTTTGAGCTCTCTGCTGAAGATGGTCATGTTAGTCTATAGCTTCAGTCCGGTGGGGAGAGAGTTCCACAGTTTAACCCAAAATGAGAAGCTAGAATGTCCAAAGATGTTCTGAGCTTTGGGAACACACAGTCCCCACTGACTGAGGCTCTGGTGGAGGCTCTGAGAGCAGACTGGCGTTTCAGCATGAGCCCAGAGAACAGAGGTGACACACAGTTGTTCACACATTTAAATGCCAATTTTAAAAGCTTTGTTTTGGTGTTAAAAGGACATTTGTTGTGAAATGTATTGTCAACATTGCATGGCTAAACCATTTAAAAAAGATTCATTAGTTAAATATGTTGTAATATAAACTGTACGACATACATTGTTTTGTAGTTGTATGTGAAGAGGAAGATGCTGATCCAGAGGCTGAGGGCACTGAGAACAGAGGTGAGGAAGAAGTTGCAGCTGAGAACGAGGGGGACACAGGTGGGATTTCTTTAGGGCAAAATTAACTATGTTGTCACTGCTTAAAGAAGCTATGCTTCTAAATTCAACAACTGATCTCACCTTCGACGTGTGTTGTTTATTGCCGTATTGGCACTAGTGTTCACGGGATAAAATATGCTAAATAATCACATTATTTATATACATAAATATAGTCCACCTGAAGTGGTTGGGCAGTCCTTTAGAGGTGAGGAGCTCAGTTGGGAAGAGCTCGGAGTAGAGCTGCTTCTACTAGATGAGAGAAGCCAGTGGAGGTGGCTTGATTTGCATCAAGACACCTTAATTTTTATTTTATTTCAGTTGATTTTCAGTGTACAACTAGGGTCAAATTGATAAATGGACAGTATGGAGAGAGATTTTGTGTTTTCCTAACCTGTGACTCGCTCCCAGTGTAGAATCCAACATTGTGAAATCCACTGCAGTATAAACTGTGTGATCAGTGATTTGATGAATACTAAATGAGTCATGCTTATCTTTTGTTTCGATAGATCCAGATGAAAATGATGCCAACACCCCTACCACCTACACCACACCTACAGGTGACCCCACGAGAATGTTTATTGTGAAATGTACTAATTGTCATGATCTTATTTTCTGTGATTTGATTTTGAAGAAGATGGAGTGAATGAAGAGGAACGTGGCTCAGGTGGTTCTGGTGAACATGAAGCAGGTAAGTCTCACTTTGAATATCATCTGATTGCTCCTTGTTCCAAACTGTGTATCACAGGCCAACACTTCAAACCCTAAATCCAAATCTAAGAAGCGTTTACAGCTTCTTATCTCTGTATATTTTGAGTACTCCTTGTGTGCTCTCACTGCTGTCCTGTATGTCGCTTTAACACCAACATCACCCCACTGTGGGACAAATAAAGGTTCTGGAGGTTTTGCAGATCTGATCCCGTGCTGCTGGTTTTGCGTTTTTATAGCTATAGATAAGAAAAAATGTGTTTGATCCTCTGTAGTTCAAACCAAGCACAACACAAACCATACTGATGGGTCCCCGGGCGCTGCAGTATGACCACCGCTCCTGATAGAGACCCTGTATGTAAAAATGGCAGCAGACCAGACTTTAAAGTAATTACTACATACTTAATTTTGTATCATTTAATTTTTTTTGTTGATAAAAAAGTACCGTACAACATTATCATGGGACCCTATACAAGACTTATTTAATGTATTTAACTTTTGGTATATGTGGTGGTCCATTAAAGAATGAAAGAAAAAATATATTGTGTTGAAAATAAAATGTATGGAGCGATCTTGAAACAGATGAAACAATCTTTTACAAAAATTAGAGTGAATATGAGGCAAGTCGGCCTAATGTTAAATACTAAAGCTTGAATAAACTCATTTGACCCAATAAATATTTGTGTTTATTTTTACCCCAACCGTAATAGACAAGGCCAAAATATTAATATTAATTAATTAATATTTACAGTCTATGGGCCAAACCCAACTTAGCCTTTTTAATCCATCTGGGTCATCAAAATTGAATGTTTAAATACGAGGTATATTTGCATGATAATTGTGTTTTTCTTAGATGATACGCTGTCTGAGTCATGAGCACTCTCTCCACAGAATCTACCACTCATATAAAAGTGGAAATTTAAGGTCCTGGGTTCGTATCCCGGTTCAATCAGGCCTCTCCTCTGAGTGGAAGTTTTTTTTATTTTTTTATTTTATTTTTTTATTTTATTATGCAACATTTACACAAACAATAGCAATAATAACATAAAAGTCTGATGTTGACAAAATACAAAACAAAAACAAACAAATATAAATAAGACAATAACAAATCACGGAAATTAGTAGTAACTGAGGGAGGTATTCTGTGAGTGTTTGTGTACGTGTACGTATATGTGCGCGTGTATGTGCGCGTGTATGTGCGCGTGTACGTGTATGTGTTTGTGTATGTGCGCGTGTACGTGTATGTGCGCGTGTACGTGTATGTGTTTGTGTATGTGCGCCTGTACGTGTATGTGTTTGTGTATGTGCGCGTGTATGTGTGTGTGTGTATGTGCGCGTGTATGTGTGCGTGTATGTGTGTGTGTATGTGTCAAGGTAGTTGAAATACAGATACAATATTATTGTCATCCACACATTGTCACCATCACCACCAATAATAATAATCCACATTAATCATCATGACCAAAAACCATTTGAGTTTCCAATTGGAGATTTTAAAAAATAATAATAATTATAATAACAATCTTATTAATAATAATAATAATAATCACTATCATTAACAAGTTTTTAGTTTTGCATTCTGTCCAATTGAATATAATATTTTTCGTTACTTAATAAAGAGCTGAAGTTGACAGTACACTAAACGATATATTTTTTTAAATTTCTGATTCAAGCAACACTTTTTACAGCATTCGGGGTGGGTCAAATGTAGAGGACAAATTTCCCTTTTACAGAAACATTAAAGTATAACTTAACTTATAAGTCTGGCTCTAGACCTCTCTCCCACGTTAACCCTCTCTCGTTTAAACTGCAATCAGATTCAAAGTGGATTTGCAGTGAGCTAGAGAGGTTTTAAAACAATTCATGAATAAGTTCCAAATAGTAGCCACGCGCTCAGATACACAGGGATTTTAAATTAGTCTTCAATGGGCACATATTTATTTTTTGCCTCCTTGCCTTAGTCTGTAATTAGGCTATTCCTTTATTGTTAATAAGTTATAATTGTACATTCGGTCCAGAGAGTTTCCTGCAATTTAAGTTATTGTAATTAGTGCATTTGAATGATGTATATTTACATGTTTATGTGCCACCAGGAAGCACCATAAAGCCCACCGATGAGACAGGAGTAACTTCTTCCTCTTTGGAGGAGGAAGACTTTGATCTCCTCCTCATTATCATTCCTGTGGTGCTGGTCATCCTCATTATCTCCATCATCTTCTGTGGCCTTTTTATTCACCGCAGACTAAACAGCGGTTCAAGGCCTTCAGGTACTTCAGGACTAACACAGTTTTCACTCCGTAGACATTACACAACTCATTATTTACTGTTTTCTTTCAGAGGTCGACAAGGAAGATCCATTTCTAGATGGCTCCAGCACAGAGAAAGTGCCTATGTATGTGATAAAGATGTCCAAAGGGGAGTTTTACAATGTTAGTTTACTAAATGTTCTGCTGTTTTTCAGGCCTATGTTTGAAGAAGATGTCCCGTCTGTTTTGGAGTTAGAAATGGAAGATTTAGATGACTGGATTAAAAAAGATGGTAAGCCTGTTTCTGTTGACCATTATTTGAATTGTTCATTTGCAAAAACAAAAAAATATTAGTTGGAAAAGCATGTTCTATTTTAGTGCCTTACAAATAAAGCCAGAGTAATACAACTTTCCAGACAAAATTTCAAAGATGTACGAATTATCTCTTTTTAAATACAGTTTGTTTTGTAAAGAGAATCATGACAGCTACATTTTGTTGTTGTTTTAGGTGATCAAAACCAACTAGCATGACAACTTCCATGGTAAGCTTTCACTTTTCGTGCTAATTCTGTAACACTTTGACATAAAGTTGCAGCAACTGTTAAAGTTGGGGTACCTATTTTTCAAACAACAGAAAAATTACAAAGAAACATAACCCAATTTATCTATCAGTGGTTTTTGCTCATGCCTTGATTTTTGGCTTCAATCGATTAAATTCAATTTATTTATATGGACCTAAAAACCTATGTGACTGTGCCCTGAATCACAACAGCAGTCGTCCTGAAGGACTTTACAAAGTTGTTGATTCGCCATCTATAGATCAGACAATCAAACAGGTTACACCATTAGATTTTCAGACAGAAAAGTGAAACATAGACCACCCCCGCTCAGCCAATCAGCTCCGGCCCAAAGTGTCTATTAATGACCTATAAGATTGTTTCCTTTATAAATTCTTTAAGTATTAAAAAGATAACATGTTTTCTAGTGGATAAGACTTTTACGTAGAAACACTTTCTGTTGAGACAAGCAAAAGGCATTGGAACAAAAATAGTGGGTACCCCAGCTTTAAATAAGTGTCATAATCTAAAGCTGTACAATTGGAATGGACTGTGAGTTTATAGTGGAAGAAACTGGAACACAGGAGGAAATCTACGGAGACACAGGGAGAATATGCAAACTGAAATCAGAATGGCCCCATGCCACCTGAGAGTCAAACTCAGAACATTCTACCATCCCTGTGCCACACTTTTAACCCATTTTATTCAAATCATTATTATTTATTTTCAAGACAATCAAACGTTATGGATTCTAACTATTTTGTTTCTATAATTTCTAATGTGTATTGTTAGCCCCAACAGAAAGCGTCTTGTAAACGTATCATATATTTACATCATACATGAGGTAAAATCTGTGAAATCATACTCTTTTAGGGCTATTATTAGATGCACGCATTCATAAGTTCATTCAAAATTCAAAGAAGAAATTTGTAAATTTCTAAATGAAATGACCACCCTCACCATGTCGCACTCGCAAAGACAGAAGTGAAAGTGGGCCCTCGCAGAGACACAGGAAAAGAGGAGTGCAGCTGCTCAGGGGCCGGAGCAGGAGGAGAGACGGCAAAACAACCTGGTGTTGCCAACGACAACCAACCGATTAAGCCAACATCAATTATTCTGATTATTGGAACCAAGAAATCTCAAACCTTTTTTGAACTGAATAGTGCAGCATACGACAGACCACTTTTCCCAAAACACAGTTATTTTCTTTAACTATTATTATCCCTGTTAGAAATTCTTTTTCTTCCTGGTTGATATGAATTGAAGTATATTGGCAAGGCAAGGCAAATTAATTTGAGGACCCTCTCGCTTTCATAGGGAACAAGCAAATCTTGCACATAATTGGGGGAAAGTCCATTTACTGCTTTGTACACTGGTGGAAATGATCAATTACAAACCCTTATATTTCAATTTTAAGTTTTTTGAAAAATTGTGCCAAATGTTAAGATTTCACCCTACTTTTACAATCCTGCCCTGCATTTCATGTACAATCTCCTCCCCCTCATTTATATTTGAAACAGCTGCCATTCCACTAAAATATGTTAAATAAAACAAACACAATGCAAAAACTTGAAAACCTTGTGGTGCGGCACTGCCTCTTTGTTATCATCTATGAGAAAGTGACCCTCTCAACATCTGTTTACCGTTACAAGAAGCATGTGTGGAAACGTGGCGCAACCAAACCCAGAATGTATCCTCCGCTCAAAAGGCCTGGGAACAAACAGAGGTCAAGGTCCATGCCACTCTCTGTTATTGACCAATGCTCTGTATACAAGTGCAGTGGATTTCCAAAGCGCTGCTGGGGCGAGAGGAAGGTTTCATTCATCCATAGAAGCTCTTGGTTCATGTTGTGCAAGATCTAGAAACAGGATGAAATGTGCACTGCCACTGTTACTCAATGGGCCTTAACTTGGATTTAAATGTGGACTTTTAAGCAAAGATGGAAAACTGCTTGATATGATAACTATCTCCTATACTACAATCTCCCCTCAGGTTCGCAGAAGACTATCAATCACCAAGCATCTACCTTTGGTCAAGAGATTTGAGTCTGCAATGAAGAGATCCCAGTGTTACAGAGCCTTGTCTGGGTTTTAAATGGATTGTATTTCATATTTCATTTTTAAATGACATCGAAACATCTTTTACTGTATATCTCTCCCCAAATATTGGGGCAACATGTGCAACTCATATTTGGCCTATTCTGAACAAAATACATAGTATAGAAAATACAGCAGAATGAGCAGATTAAGGCTCTCAGTTGGGCTGCCAGTTTGTCCATAGGAGCTACACAGAGAATCTGGCAACAAAAGTTGGTTTGCAATTGTAATGACTTGATTAGACAGTTCAGAGCATATAACTGTCCCTTTAAGTCATATTTTTCTACTTGATAAAATGATCATTGCATTATTGTTTTTAATACCTTTATATAATTGCAGCTATGAAACCAGACAAACCAAAAAAGCAAACGGAATGCTGTGCTGTTGTCACAGCATCATGGGCTTTCCTGTTTTAGTACCAGATAAACTTCTATTCAGAACATTGTGCTTGTATTATTTGAATGTTTAAATACTTATATGTATTATCATAGCTGTTATCCACTTACCGAAGTGCCTTGTAACTGTTCTGGATGCTGTCTATCACAATGAAAGACTGTTTATACAAGAGAGTGTCAAATGTAAATAATAAAAAGGTTATTTGTTTAATGTAATGGTTGGCTTTTAAAGGTATTATTATAATCATGTTTAATGACTAGATTGTGTCCCTGCCAGACACATGTCATGTCATCAATGGAGTACAGTTTTTACTGATTACAGCAAAAAAGATAACTTACTTTTGGTTCTTAAGATATTCAATTAATCAGTTATACCAATGAGCCTCACATTATTTTGGGTTTAGTTTTGTCAGTTCCAATAAAACAAAGTTATTTGGTTATTATTAACAATGTAGTCTATGTACTCTCTTCAACAAGTAGAACCAAAATGGAGGGTTTTTATGTTTTGGCCATGCACTATGTCCATAACCCCCCATTTCAGGCAATTTTAGATTTGCACTGTGACTTCAAAAGGTTGATCACGCACTTTTTCTCTCCAGCGGTTCATCTGCAGGGGCAAAACAACCAATCCGCACAAACCTATGAATACAAATGAGAGAAGTCCCAGGCTCAGTTCCTCTGCATTAGATTTGTATACAGCACTCCAGTTGGATCCCACACTGTTGAGCCAACTTTGACACTTTGATGATCAACAACAAACATGAAGAAATACTGAGGCTGTATTTACACTTTCATATCTAGCCACGAACGACACAGAGCAGGGCAGTAGGGCTGTGACTTTGAAATGTCTTGCAAACAGTCTTATCATTTTAACTGTGATTGGTTATTTGCTGCCAAGGACCTCATTTTGATTTATTCCCATTGGGTTTTGGATGTTTTTCATTACATTAGATTTGACGGAATTGTGAATATTCCAACGCATATGCAGAATGTGATCTGTTTTATAACTTTACATTTACCCTCTAACTCAATTTTAAAGGGACCATCACAGTTTTTCTTAAATTACACAAATATTGTATATGCATTTCCAAATAATTGGACAACATGTACAAATCACAGTCTGCCTTTCCTGAAGAAAATTAAAGTGGATTTTTTTCTTAATTAAAAATACAGTAGATACCATATTTGTGTTTCAAGATATATAGAAGATTATCCAGAGAGCAGAATGTGTCTCTCATTTGGATTGCCATTAAAACATTTTTTATTTTTATTATTACTATGAAATAATTTAAAATTACAAAATTCAAACAAACAAATAGCACCACACATTTGTTTTTAATGAAAGCAGCTACAAATACAAGTAGTCCAACATAATATGCAGAGTTTGTACAGTCCTAACTAAACTCCAGCAAGTGGGTTGCATCTGTTATTAGTGTTCATGAGCTAAACATGTGTCAATAGCCCTTATAAGTTTATGTTATATAGAATATCAAATCAATATTCCAACAATAATCTTTAATCAGATTAAGCAACAGCATGTGCGGCAGGTGGTCACTTAACCAGTCACCATTGGCCTGTCTCATGTTTGTTTGTCCGTAGAACTGCACTGGTACACATCATCTGTCTGTCTGCTGCTAAAGCGACCACGCTTAATCATTTCAGCCATTTGTGAGAGGAAAACACAAATCACCATGGTGACTGGAGCTTCTTTGTGTCAGAAAAAATCTGAACAAGCTATTAATTATAGTTTAAAATCACCAGCAGCTCACTGGTTCAATGAAAAATAAAATACATTAATTAATATAAATCTATTGTAATGGTCAAGAATAGTCACTAAAGTTAGAGCTGTATTATAGCTATGGAATAAAGCCCTGGGAGATAATGTGTTATTAGTGCCCCTTTTGCCACAGTTATGGATTTAGAATCAATGCCTAAAGCCCTGAGGCTCTTTAAATGCTATCCTCCAGCCTTCCCTTTGATTTGTCACCCATCTTTATTTAGCAAGCCCATTCACAGCCAGACTTTGTTTTGTGACATGCTTCTTAGTTTTGATTCGCTGCCAGTCTGAGCTCACTTTCTTCAGGATCACATCGTGGTGCTTAGTGATATCTCAGGTTTTCAGACTCTCCCTGGAGGATCGAAATATGCTGCACAAAAATGACCATAAGCCAAAGCCAACCATAGCTGGCACCACAGGACTAACAGGAGCAGCAGGCAGCTCTCTAATCCACATTAGTCTGCATCTGCCTCCTTCTAACCAGAGCTACACACTTTGAATGAACCAGGTCTGGGTTTGTGACGTCACTTGCATGTATGGGGCTGCTGTTGATAAAGAATATTGAATTGCAGGATGATTAGTGGTGCATCTAAAAGCCCATGCATTTGAACAAATGTTTTTATTTTTATTTGTGTATGTAGAATATTATTTTAAAGTAGCCTTTTGTCGTAACTGTTGAAGTAAGATACATTTTTTCGATTAATTTGTATTAATTTATTTGATTATTATAGAACACAAATTTACAACGGTAACATTTGACAATGCAGATCCAATGGTGAACAATTAAACCACATGACCCCTGCTAATTTTTACATTTATTAATTGAATGCAGTAATAACAATGTAAGCTATTCAATACAAACCAAAATTTATTTTTAGTCATTTTCTTTATTTATACACATTAGAATCAATACATACAAATATTACAAAATAAAACAAATAAAACAAATAGACAAAATCAATGTACATGTATTTCAATGCAAATGCATTGCATATATGCAAAGTATTGCTTATATTTGAATATTGGCATTGCTTAAGGTTTTCCCAAAACTCCCTACAAGGATTACATTCAAAACAACAGGCATAAACAACATGACCCAGGCGTTGACGTCACTCTCCAGCGCCCACTCACAAAAAAGTAGGCGTCATAGGTCTGCGACAGCCGTTCGCTCCAGTCAAGGCAGAGCAGTCAAGAGAAGAGCAAACCCAAACCGATCACGTCTAACCCGCCTTTTGGTCCCCGTGGATATGTTTTTCAGTTATAATGATCAGAGAGCCTTTTACAGTGCTCGATAAAGGCACAAAGTCAAAACTCCGAGCCGCACATCCGTTTGTTTGACGGGGAAGCTACGGTTAGCGGTGTTTTACTAGCCCGCTAACGACAGACTCTTGCACAGTGCCGTATAGGCTTATTAGCTTGCTATGCTAACCTGCTAGCTCCTGGTACTCGGCTGAAGACTGACCACTGCTGCTCGTGGGAAACCCTTTAACGAAGAGGGAGTGCATACCTTTTTGAAGCATTTAGCATTAGCATCTCTACAACCCCTTGACAGGATTTGGTGCGCAACCCGAAGAAAGTCACCTGAAAGGCCTGGTGCATTTGTGGAACTACACAAGGCAGAGGTAAACGCACACAAAACACAACATGTAAAGCGTTGGTTCTAGGTGAAGTTAAGGGAGGGCAGTTAGATCCTGGCTCTTGTTTAGCAAAGTTAGCATTGCGAGCTAGTCAACTTCTTGTTGTTAACTGCTAGGTTAGTTTCTCTTGTTTCTTCGTGCTTTGTTGAAAGGCAGTGGAATTTAAACCACTCTTTTAAGATTAGATATCCAGAGGGGAATTACCAGATGTATGTCGTGTGATTTCATGGACTGTCCTATCTGTGAGTTGCAAACTCAAGTAAAAGAATGACATTTGTGTCGCGCTGTGTATAATTTGCATATGGACATGACATTATGTAGTTATGTCTTTGGAGATGCCTTTGGTATCATTCTTATAGAATTGTGTATCGTACAACGTCGTTGATGCAAAATAGTCTGTTTCTGAAAATGTTAATACTTTGGTACTCTCTAACTCCTTTTCATACCAACATGAATACGTATCAGCAGGCCCAAGGTCCCGGTTTTGGATCAATAAGTATTATTCACTGATGTCTATACGTAAATTCTCTTTATTTTTGTTTACTATAATGTATAGTATGTACTATAAACTTTCAGGCCCAACTTTGCCCTCTCTCTTTAACTCCTGCCAACAAGACTTTAGAGAAGCCCCATCACTGTTGATTGCTCTTAGTATTACAATATCTAGTTGATTATTTGACTCTCAAGACAACAAGCAGCACGCACATATTTCTTTCCCATTCAAAAATACTCACAATACAATATTTTCTTGTATAGTTCTAAATCACAACAGTAGTCATCTCAGAGGACTTAAAAAACCCATTGAATTCACCAACACAGATCAGAGAATCAACAGTCAAGACACAAAAAGAATACAGAACACATGTTGATAAATGTCCATACATGTTGTAGAATGTTAAAGTGTCCTGGATCATCACTGCATCCTTTTTGTTAGTCAACTGTCCAACAGACCCTCCTGCATCAGCAAGGAAAAACTCATAAAAACCCAGTGGGAAAAACGTGAGAAACCTCGGGGGAGACTCTCATATTGAGAGAGGGATGTGGAGCAGCCACACGGACGGACGGGCTATAGAGCCAGAACCTAAGCTACAGAAAGTGGACCAGGGCCACGCAGCGGTCCTGCCATGCATGTATTCTTTCTAAATAAGTGGTCTATAATTCTGCTAAAATGAAGGCCAATGTGTAGAAAGTGGTTATTTGTATTATTGGGTGCTTCATCTGGGTCTGCCTTTGCTATGGTCAGCATGAAATGTTCACAATCGAATTTGGTTTATGTAACTTACATTTCACAGACTGAAAATGGACTGGATTAGTTCTCTTACAATACAATACAATACTATACAATTTATTCCTAAATCACAACAGCAGTCATCTCAGAGGACTTAACAAACCGTTGGAATGACCAACACAAATCAGAGAATCAACAGTTAAAGCTGCATTACCTAACTTTATTTCTGTATTTATTAGGAAAATTCAATCCTTATCCATGCAGTGCATTGGCATACGTCCTTTTGAAGAATAAGTAGCGCTGGTTTGTGCTGGCGTGTCATTTTATTTTAGATCGAGTTTTCATGCTACAAGGAACGAGAATTTGTTTCGGGACCAGATTGTGACCAATCACAGCGGATCACTGGCCCCCACTTTCTTGAGAAAAGCTACAAGTCTCTCGTTAGCGCAGACAGCTGAGGTAAACAAGCGGCGGAGGCTAACCTGAAACTTCTCGTGTCTTCGTTACCGCTTACTAGGGCTGCACGATATTGGATATTAGTGCGATATTCGATATAAGTGTTTAGTGTTGTGATAACGATATTATTGCGATATTTTTGTCTTTCACCTAAAATTGCATCTGCATTGAAGCGCAAGAGACAAACGTTAATGACATTCAAATGCATATGAATAGTTTGGTTCCAAAATACTATAAATCCATTTTGATCACTTTGAGTAAAACTGCGTTTTCTTAAGCAAGAAAATTACATGATGAAAATCAAAGACCTCCAATGATCAGGGACACTCCTTAAAGTTTAGTCATGAAATCTGTTTCAGAATTTAAAGATAAATGAATGGGCTCAGACCTTGTCAGATTGTCTACACAAAAACAGACTCATCAACACTTCTGATCCACTTTTGATACTCTTCCTCTACTCTCAACAACTACAAGCCATCATCATCATCTGTTCTGTTCCTGTGGCCTTTCGTTCGTTCCCCGCGGTTGTTTCCATCCCTGATACTTTCACTCACATGTGGGTGTTATACCCTGTTCCCTCCACCACGTCCCCTGCTTGGCGTTCACAGAATGCTTCCACCGCAGCCACACCAAGGTGAAGCAGCCGCTGTACTGTGGCTGATTGTTTACTATGATGCGGACTCCTGTCAATAATAATGTCCGTGTCCTCTTCACTGGACACCTGCGTGTCTTCCTCCTCTAAATCTGAGTCAATTAGTGCCTGTAGAAGTGCTTTGGCAATGGTAAACAAACTAAACTAGCTAAATGATGAAAACTCCGGTTCGCTCTGCTCTGGCTCCGCTCAACACTACTGCTACTACTTATCGCACCAAAATATATTAGTGACATGTTAGTACCATACGAACCAGCCCGGACTCTGAGGAGCACAGGGACTGGACTCCTGTTAGTGCCCAGAGTCAGAACTAAACATGGGGAGTAGGGCTGAAACAACTAATCGATTAATCGACGACTAATCGATTAATCGGCGACTAATCAATTATTGAAATAGTCGACAACTATTTTAGTAATCGATTAATCGTTTTCTGGTTCACACGGACTCAAACAGAGCAAAAATGACATGAAAATGTAGTATTTTCGATTAAAACCGACTTTGTTTTTATAATTTCATGAATATCTGTTTGTCTCATCCAATCAAATAGCAGAATTAGCACAAAGAGCCTGTTACAAACATTTACTTTAAGTTTACGCCATCAATACGTCCTCGAGTGTTGCCACTTTAGCTTTTTGTGATGAAAAAATATTTTTTTTCAACACAATTCACAGCCAAGCGATTACTCGATTAATCGTAAAAATAATCGATAGATTAATCGATTACAAAATAATCGTTAGTTGCAGCTCTAATGGGGAGGCTGCTTTTCAGATTCATGCTGCTAAAATCTGGAACAGTCTTCCTGAAGAACAGACAGGCCTCTTCTCTGACAATGTTTAAAACCAGGTTAAAGACAGTTCTGTTTAGCTGTGCATACAACTGAGGGATTTTATACTTTTATCTTTCTTTTTAATGTTCTGTGATTATTTATGATTTTAATGCTTTCTTGGTTTGTTCAGCACTTTGAGTTGCCTTGTGTATGAATTTTGCTATATAAATAAACTTGCCTTGCCTTGCCTACTTCTCGCCTCCGTGCCGCTGAGCCGCAGGTGTTTCACAAACTCATTTTACTCTAAAACTTTTCATGTTACCACCCCCCCAAATGCCACTCATATTAAAGGTACACATGTCCGCTAGCTCCAGGTGAAATCTAGGAAAATATTCTGCACCACATTTATAGATGCAGACTGTAGCAGGACGCTAGCCCCAGGTCGCCGCCATTATTGTTTACTCCACTCCATTTATCTTTCGATAGAACCATAAGCTATTTACGCCAGCATATTTACACGTGACTCTTTTTATTTATTAGTATTTGTTCTGTAACTCAAGTGAAACAATATAGTGTATTATAACACCATTTTTGTAGCTTTAGTCCTGTTACTGTTTCACTGCTTTCTATGTATTTTCCCAATTATTTTTGTTACTGAAATATTTTATGTTAAAAAACATATCTGGCCCCTTGCGATTGAAAATCCCCAAACTAATCAAATATCAAAATAATGGTTTGTCTTTTAGTTATTCCTGACACTATTGCATTGGGTATGCAAGCTTCACCTCCTATGGGGCTGTTCCCTTCAGTTTGATAGCAAGTAGAAAAACACCAGGATAAAGGAGGCTAAACTCCTGGGAGGGTTTAACTGCTCAGGTCCACTTGAATGAAAGCTGCAGCATCTGTGTTGAATTGAGGAGCTTCTATCGTGTCCAAAACTGTCAGGGCACAACACACACTTTGTCCACTTCAGGCCACTGTACTGCAGTTGGTTTTTTGTGTTATACCTGTGGCGTTTGCCAAATTTGGTTTTATAATGCGTGGTATTTTGCAGTTGTCTTGCAATTATTCATCCAATCAATTATAATTAGTTGTGTTTGGTTTGATGCCTTCTGATGGAGAAAAGGGTTGATCGTGTAAAAATCTTTAATTGATAAATGCTGCTTTGTCATAACACCTCTTCTAATTCCATGCTGTATTCAATTATAGATTAGTGACTAGTCCAAACAAATAGTTGTCATTATAATTTAGAACAGATAGTGTGAAGCTGTCTGCAGGATAAGGATTACTTTTGTTAGCGTATGACTGAAATAGTTGCCTTTGCAATTCCCGACCACGTAATTACACTGAAACCTGGTGCCCTATCCACAAGTTTTATTTAATTTATAATTTGTTAAAACCAAGGGTTTATGAAGGGTAATGCTATCAGACAAAAGGTGTTTTATATAGTGCATAGTGTCCAGGACTCCCTTGAAAAAGAGGTTCTTAATCTCAATGGGACTTTCCTGGTAAAATGAAGGTTAAATAAATAAATGGTATTAAACCAGTAACAGTGAATGGTGAGAACCTATGAGACTGCAGAGGGAAAACTCAAACTACCTGTTCTCCATCTATATGAGTAACTCCTCCTCAGCCCCTCATTCAGTTATTGCCACATGAATGGTATATTTAGTGTTAACAATCATAATCTACAAAACCTGATTGCGATCAATTGCAAATATAGGTCTTGCATTGTAAACAGAATCATGCAATATCTGAATATAGACCATTAGATCAGTGTTTTTCAACCTTTTTTGAGCCAAGGCACACTTTTTTCACTGAAAAAATCTTGCGGCACACCTCCAGGAGAAAATGTAAAAATGTATACAGTACTAATGTAAAAA